GACCAAGAACACAAGTCTGGCATGTGCCCTGACTGGCATCAGACCAGTGACCTTTCGTTGTACAGGATGCAGCTCTAAACTAACTGAACCACACCTGCCAGGGCCATCATGTACCTTAGATTAGACATTGAATCACACAAAGCCAGTTTAGTTGGGGCATGGAGGGCAGGTGAGACTAGACTTTTGTTTTTCTTTTCTTTTTTTAATATATTTTATTGATTTTTTTTACAGAGAGGAAGTAAGAGGGATAGAGAGCTAGAAACATAGATGAGAGAGAACCATCGACCAGCCGCCTCCTGCACAACCCCTACCGGGGATATGCCTGCAGCCAATGTACATGCCCTTGACCGGAATGGAACCTGGGACCCTTCAGTCCACAGGCCGACGCTCTATCCACTAGACCAGGGGTCTGCAACCTTTAAGACATAAAGAGCCACTTGGACCCATTTCCAAAGGAAAAAAAAACCTGGGAGCCACAAAACCATTGCGACATTTAAAACAAATATAACGCTGCATATATTGTTTCTTACCTTAATGCTATATACCGGATCGTGCAGTTAGCTGTCAATCTGAAGGAAAAAAGGACTTTTTCACTTAACAATGTAAAATATATTTTTGCAAATTAATAGCTAATTAAAATATTTAATTTACCTGGTTAATGGGATTTTTGCTCCTGAACCTTAGTGAACAGTGTCGGCACATCAGGGCTGTAAGACGTTACCTTCGTTTTCACATAGGCTTGCAAGTTGTCGGAGCCGCGGTAAAGCTTCAAAAGAGCCGCAGGTTGCTGACACCTGCACTAGACTTTTTAAATAGCCAGAAACAGTCCTTATTTATCTTTTATATTTTCAACATATTTTTATTGCTTTCAGAGAAGAAGGGAGGGGGAGCGAGAGAGAGGAAAAACCAGTGATGAGAGAGAATCATTGATAGGCTGCCTCCTGCACGCCCCCTACTGGGGATTGAGTCCACAACCAGGGATGTGCCCTTGACCAGAATCAAACCTGGACCCTTCAGTCCACAGGCTGAAGCTCTATCCACTGAGCCAAACCTGCTGGGGCTATGTTAATATCTAAAAGTGAGGATAAAAAGGAAACAATGAAAATGAGGGGTGTGGAACAGGCCGAGCTTGACTCACAGGCTGTTCTAGAGATTGCCAGCCTCTGCTCTGGGTTTATTTTGTTCATTAAAAAAAATTACTGATTGTTGCCGAGGCCGGTTTGGCTCAGTGGATAGAGCGTCGGCCTGCAGACTGAAGGGTCCCGGGTTCGATTCCGGTCAAGGGCATGTACCTTGGTTGCGGGCACATCCCCAGTGGGGGGTGTGCAGGAGGCAGCTGGTCAATGTATCTCTCTCATCGATGTTTCTAGCTCTCTATCCCTCTCCCTTCCTCTCTGTGAAAAATCAATAATATATATATATTTTTTAAATTACTGATTTTAGAGAGAAGCATCGATTTATGCATTCATTGGTTGATTCTTGTGTGTGCCCAATGGGGTTTGAATCCTCAACCTTGGTGTATCCAAACAACGCTGTAACCAACCCAGTCACCAGGCCAGGGCTGTATTCTAATTCATTTTTTTAAAATATATTTTATTGATTTTGTACAGAGAGGAAGGGAGAGAGATAGTCAGAAACATCGATGAGAGAGTGTCATCAATCAGCTGCCTCTTGCACACCCCCCACTGGGGATATGCCCACAATCAAGGTACATGCCCTTGACCGGAATCGAACCCGGGACCCTTCAGTCCCCAAGCCGATGCTCTATCCACTGAGCCAAACCGGTCTCAGCCCGGCTGTATTCTAATTCTTAATCATCTTATTGTAATCCTTCCCTCCACCCGCCTGCTTCATCTTGAATATTGAAACTATGAACAGAGCCTTAAGTATTTCCTTATTTGACTTGTTTGTGTCACCCCAAAAGTCAGAAACTGAAGCCCTAATCCCTAATGTGATGGTGTTAGGGGTAGGGTCTTTGGGAACTAATTAAGTTATGTATAGAGCCCTGTTGAATGAGATTAGTGTTCTTACAGGAAGAGACAGGAATTCTGGATAAGTGAGGACACAGCAAGATTGTAGAGGGCCTTCGCTGGGCACTGAATTGGCTGGCACCTTGATCTTGAGAACAGAGAGCAAAAACTTTGTTTTGTTTCTGGCTTTTGTTCCTGAACAGCCAGAAATGGAACAGTGCCAGGCACATAGGAGGCCCTTAGTCATGGTTTGAACTAATATAGCGAGTGATTTAGCTTGACTTCCTTATGCCAGGGGTCAGTCTTTTTCTGCCCCAGCATACTTGAGATGTGCTTTCATCCGTAGCTTGCTCAGAACAGCATTGTTTCTGAATCTTGACATCAATCTAATATCTGAAATATAAAACATCAGTGAAGAAAATTAGCTTCCCTGCCCACGAATGTGTTTCTGTGCCACTTGAAAGTTAGTTGATGCATAGAAGCAGTCGTGTAAGTTAGAGAGATTGGAGGTGAAAGAATTGCCTCAGCCCGGAGAAAAGAAGAGGGATGAAGAATCTGGTCACAGTGCAGAAGCCCAGCCTCGTGACTTATGATCAATAACTACATTTCTTGAACTTTCTTATTAGTACACCTGGCTATTGTTTTCTTACACCCCTTCATTCCTGGATGGATATTCATCTCTCAATGAGTAACTCGGGAGATATTATCTAGTGTATTTTGTGTTTGTTTTTGCCAGGCATTGTATCAAGTGATTTATTTTATTTTTTATTTTTATTAATTTTATTGCTAACACTGGTTAACAAAATTATCCAGGTTTCAGGTGCACAGTTCTATCTAGTCCTTTCTAGTTCCAAATAAGAGATAGCTGAGCGTAATAGCTAAGCACATGATCTTAGACTTCATGAGTTCACATTTGCTACTGACTTAACTTTTCTGTGCCTCATCTTTCTCCTCTGTGAAATGCAGTTGCTAATTTTCCCACTTTGTAGGGTGATATATGTGTGATTAAACTAGTGTCATCCCCCACCACCACCATACACACACACATTCAGTGAAATGTCTGCTGCTCTCTATCTGCAATTCCTTGTAATGACCAACAAGAGTTCCTGGAATGGAGAGTGATGGGCCGAGAAAGGCACTTAAAGCAGGTGTATTCTGTGCTTTTCATTGCTGAGAAGGAACTGCACTTGAATCAAATGAACCTACTGTTTTCCTTGTATCTTTCCCTCATGCCTGGTGTCAGAGAGCAGGGTGCTAAACAGCTAGGTGCTCTTTTTGGTAGTGACATTAATTGCAGAATTTGGTTTGGTTTTTGGTCATGGGTTTTAACACTGGTGGAAGGTAATGCAGGAGTTGGACAACCAAGCTTTTACTTCTGAAAGTTTTAGTGTTCCTGCTATTTGTGAATCACTTTGGTGGAGGAAAAGGACATTTCAGTTAACATTGTGTTTTTGGAGCACTTTCTGCTTTTAGGCACCAGAGCTGTAAAAGGCTGGTTTGGACTCTGGGCTTTTCCAGTTTAGGAGAGCAGGCTGACAAAAACTCATAATAGCACGATTTTAGTGTTTGGCAGTGTTAATAGCAATAAATAATAAAGAAATTGAAAGTAAGGATGGGAGGCTCAGAGGTAGGCTGGAATTAGAGAGAGCCGAGGGGGGAACTCCAGCTTATAGAGTACCTTTCCAGGCACTTGTGAATTAACCTGTGGGAAATGGCTGGCTGGAGTATGGAGGGGCACGTGTACAGGAAGGAGACATAGAGGTTGAGCCTCGATGTGTTAAAATGAAACTAGTCAGCATAGGACCCAGAGTGCCAGGCCGAAGTAGTTTATACCTCTGCTGAGGCACCACCAGTGAAAGTGTATCAGGTTTTATTTTCTGTATCAGTTTATCCTTTGGAGCATCACCAGAGCAGAACATGATTAGAACTAAGGTGATGGTGGTAGGAGAAAGGGAGAGAAGACCTTTTAAAAATGTTCAATAGGGTTTGATGTCTGTGATACAGGAGATTAATTATGGGATCAATATTCCTTTATTGGATTTGAGATGATGGTAATTTGAGATGATTGGATTTGAGTTAGAGGTGATCCTACATTCTTCAAGCCAGGTGCTCATTGAGGGCCAATCGAGCAGATTTTGAACAAGGCTCTGCAGATACATGGGGTCAGGACTGGCCAGCACCCCTTTCCTGGAGGGGCTGGCAGTCTGGTGGGAGAGCTGACAGCTATTACGCAGCTATAGTTACAGTTTAAGTCCCAGTCACGAGCAGAGGAAAGGCACTGCGCCGTGCTGCATTTGAGGAACTAAAAGGCCAATGGAGGTGAGCAGAGTGAGGAGAGGAGAGTGAAGAATAAGTAAGCTGGAGAGGTAGGCAGGTCCACCTAAGGTGAAGGCTATAAAGTGTTGGTGGTTAACAGGAAATGTGTGTCGTAGACCAAAAGCAGAACTCTGAGAGAGGTGGTAGGAGAAGCAAGAAGCTAAAGATAAGCCTGGGGGGGGTGGGGGGGGTTGGGGGGGGGGAGGATATGAATCCAGGGAAGCGGGTGCTGGGGAACCGCCCTGTGGGCTGGGAAGAAGCATTCAGAGACAGGCCCACTGGGTTTGGCATTGAAGATTTTGGTGACCTGCAAGCAAAAATGGGATTTTAAGAGATTGAGCAAAAAGACTGGGTGTTTAAGAAATTGAGGTGTGGCCAAAACCGGTTTGGCTCAGTGGATAGAGCGTTGGTCAGCAGACTGAAAGGTCCCAGGTTCAATTTTGGTCAAGGGCATGTACGTTGGTTGTGGGCATATCCCCAGTAGGGGGTGTGCAAGAGGCAGCTGATCGATGTTTCTCTCTCATCGATGTTTCTCTATCTTTCCTCTCTGTGAAAAATCAATAAAATATATATTTTTTTAAAAAGAAATTGAGGTGTGGCTATAAATATCCCATTTAAGAAGCTGCTAATGAAAACACTTTATATAGTTTTTTAAATGTATTTGCCCACATAGACATTTTTACTTAGCTAAGATCATCTTTTGGTGTGCTTCAGATGAAAAAAAAGATATTGACCATGAGACGGTGGTTGAAGAACAGATCATTGGGGAGAACTCACCTCCTGATTATTCAGAGTACATGACAGGAAAGAAACTTCCTCCTGGAGGGATACCTGGCATTGACCTCTCAGATCCCAAACAACTGGCAGAATTTGCTAGGTAAGTTACAAGAACTTTCTCTTCATCTTACTTGAGTATTGTCGGCTGTATTTTTTTGTGCCTAAGTTACAATGACGATTTGTATTTTTGCTCTAGGGGGAAACATTTGAAAACAAAAGCATTTAGTTTGATTTTTAATAGTAACTATACTGTTAATGTGAGTGGCACCATTTTAGATCTTTGAAGACAATAAGATGAAGTAAATACTCTTTAATTCCATAAATGACATTGCTTATGAATAAATAAATTGGACATAATTTGTTTGATATCTTTACACCTTCCCCTGGCCTGCTCCTGTAAGGTTCATATGCCGTCTGTGGTCCTGGGCTAAGCTACAGGAGACCTGGGTCTTTACTACTTTGTACAGCTCACCACTAGAGAGGATTTCATGCGTTCGTGATTCACTGGGGCACTGGGGAAGCTCCCAGCTTTTTGTTAATGTCAGCTGGTGGGACAGGAAGAGTGCAGGTATTCATGGCTGGGACCTGTGACTGTGAAGAGGGAAGGAAGCCAGCAGCAAGGAAGGTCTGAATCCGTTGGATGTTTGTCTTGCCTAAAACAGGCCGAGTTCCCTATAGAAGCCTCTGCGCCCCCTCCCCCTTTTAATATATTTTATTGATTTTTTACAGAGAGGAAGAGAGAGGGATAGAGAGTTAGAAGAATCCATGAGAGAGAATCGTCGATTAGCTGCCTCTTGCACATCCCCCTGCTTGGGATGTGCCCACAACCAAGATATATGCCCTTGACCGGAATCGAACCCGGGACCTTTCAGTCTGCAGACCGGCACTCTATCTGCTGAGCCAAACTGGTTTTGGCACCTCTGCCCTTTTTACATTATTTGTTTCCAGTATTGTTGGTCAGTTTTTACAAGGGCATAGAAAAGTTTACAGAGATGTAAAATTTTAAGTAAAATGAAACGAACTAATAAACTCTGGAGTAGAGGGTCCTCTTTTCCCCTGCCTTAGGTTGAATGGAACCACCAGGATATGTAGTAAGGACTAGGTCAGGAAGAATGAAATCTGTGATCCTACTCTTAAGGAGCAGTGGGGCACCTTCTTTTCTTTCTCTTGAGAGTGGAGTAGGAAGGAGCTGGAGGCCCAAGAGTATCCAGTGTCTCCTCCCAACCCTGCCAAAAACAAGGTGGGTGACCTCTTGCCATCTGGAGCCTCAGTTTCCCCATATGTTAATAAATGTGTTTAAGAATTCCATTATGTTTTTTTAAAATATATATTTTATTGATTTTTTACAGAGAGGAAGGGAGAGAGATAGTTAGAAACATAGATGAGAAAGAAACATCAATCAGCTGCCCCCTGCACTCCTCCTACTGGGGACGTGCTGGAAACCAAGGTACATGCCCTTGACCGGAATCGAACCTAGGACATTTTAGTCCTCAAGCTGACGTTCTATCTACTGAGCCACACTGGTTTCGGCAGAATTCCATTATGTTTTAACAGAGGTTTGCAACACTGTTCTACTGTCCAGTCAAACTAGTTATAGAGAAAAATACACACATTAATTTACTTCTAATTTGTTATGGCTTAGCAAAAAAAGTTAAGGCTCAATACTTAAGTTAATGACATTGTTCCAGCTGTTAATCTGCCATTCATATTTTAAATGCAGGCCTGTGTCAAATATTAGCGCGCGCCCCCCCCCCCCCAGGACAAATATAGATGGAATCTGTAGGATACATAGTCATTAGTGAGATTAGAGATTTGAGGAAGATTGGGGCAGATGTCATGCCAATGTTTAATATTGTCATGTGTTCTTACAGTTAGTGACCTCTTCCTTATGGAACTCAGAATTTAGTGAGATATGTGATACAGGCTCTATCTCAGGGGTAGAGATAATAAGACACCTGGTCAAAGAAAGTGTTGTGGCAAGTGGCATTGGATTGGGGCCTTGCAGAGCATTGAGCTTTTATGGGTAGGTGGGTTTCTGTGGTGGCTGCATACTAGATTGGCATGATCATGGTGCACACATTCCATATCCAGTGTATAATCAGAGAACAGCAAACAGTCAGGTGTGCCTGGGAGATAGGGTGCTGTGAAAGAGTAAACATGAGAGGAGATAGTGGGAAGGGTGATAAAAAGCTTTGCTCCTTGCCCTGGCCCATGTGGCTCAGTTGATTGAGTCTTGTCCCATGCACTAAGAGGTCCTTGGTTCAACAATACCTGGCCAGGGAGCTTGCCTGGATTACAGGCTCATCCAGGTAGGGAGTGCGAGGAAAGGAGTTAATCAATGTTTCTCATCTATTTTTCTCTCCCATTTCCTTTCTCTATTAAAAAACACACACAATAGTCGAAACTGGTTTGGCTAAGTGGATAGAGCGTCAGTCTGCGGACTGAAAGGTCCCAGGTTCGATTCCGGGCAAGGGCATGTACCTTGGTTGCGGGCACATCCCCGGTGCGGGGTGTGAAAGAGGCAGCTGATCGATGATTCTCTCTCATCGATGTTTCTAACTTTCTATCCCTCTCTCTTCATCTCTGTGAAAAATCAATAAAATATATTTAAAAAAAAAAAGAAAAAGAAAAAAAAGAAAGGTCCCAGGTTCGATTCCAGTCAGGGGCATGTACATTGGCTGTGGGCACATCCCCAGTAGGGGGTGAGCAGGAGGCAGCTGATCGATGTTTCCCTCTCATCAATGTTTCTAGCTCTCTATCCCTCTCCTTTCCTCTCTGTAAAAAATCAATAAAAATATATTACACACACACAATAAAAACTTTTTTTTTTTTTTTTTTTTTTTTTTTTTTTTAATCTTTACTCCTTAGATGATGGGAAATGGGGAGGCGGTTCTGGCCTGGGGTTCAGGGTAAGGCATTCTCTGATTTTAGGTGCTAATGAAACATCCATTCTGGACTTGAGGTGGTTTGGGGAAGTTGGGGCTGATAAGGGGTGGCTGAATGCCTGGAAGTCTTAGGTAAGTCAGTTCTCTGAGGGAGAGGTTTTGGAGGGAAAAGACTCCGCAGGAAGTCCTGGGGAAGCCCTGGTATTCAGAGGGTAAGAGGAACCAGGGGAGGACCAGAGGGTCATTTAGGTGAGGAGAAGGAGGAGGAGACTAGGGTAGGTGAACACAGCATGGAGAGAGCCAGGAGGCCCAGGGAGGGAGGGATGCAGCACTAAAATGTACATTGTGATGTGACCTCATGAAGGAGCAGAGAGTGTTGGAGAAAGAGCCTGTGGGTAGTGAGCAGTGGACAACCCTTGGCGCTGTTGACCTTGCGGGAGAATCAGAGCCGCTGATCTGGAAGCTTGCTCCCAGTCCTCTGAACAGAAAACACAGGGTCTTTCAGCCCTAAACCAGGAGACACATGTCACTGTTGTGGAGTAGAAGCCTCTGCATTTCCCAAGTGGTTTGCCTCTGTATTAGGACTTCCTGAGACCTTCCTTCTGAGGACCAGGTACCAGATATCTTAGGTACCATTTATGAAATTTCAAAACACTGAGGATAAAGAACCTAAAAACTTTTCAGGGAGAAAAGATAGCTCATCTACAAAAGAATGATTGAGACTCTTCTTCAACAGCAATAGATAACAAGAAATTTTCTGACAGTGGAGCAGTGTTTGAGGTTTCTGAGGGAAAATTTTAAATGTAGAATTCTTGATCCAGCAAAGCTATCGATCAAATACAAGATTTGTTTTATTATGTTGCATGCATGCTTTTCAAGGAGGTTACTTAAGGATCTATTCTAGTAAAATGAGAGTGAACATGAAAGGAAGACTTCCTAGTGAATATAGTGAAAAGAAAACCAAAAGGCAATTTAATACAGGAAGTCTGTGGGTTGTGAGAATTGCTGTAAGACAAGTCTATCTCGCCCTAACAGGTTTGGCGCAGTGGATGGAGCATTGGCCTGCGGACTGAAAGGTCCCAGGTTTGATTCCGGTCAAGGGCATGTACCTTGGTTGCAGGCACATTCCCAGTAGGAGGTGTGCAGGAGGCAGCTGATCGATGTTTCTCTCTCATCGATGTTTCTAATTCTCTCTCTCTCTCCCTTCCTCTCTGTAAAAAAAATCAATGAAATAATATATTTTTAAAAAATTTATCTCATTCAGTAGTGGACAGAATGAGTAAGAAACTAGAAGATTTTGGTGGTATGGGAGTCTTATAAAAATGAAAAGATAAATCAGAAACTCTCTGAAAAAGGGAGTCAGGATGAGGGAAGCAATGGCATAAAAATGGGCATGCTACTGACAGTTTGAAGAGAGCTCATTGACTCACTGTAGGAAAAGGTTCTTATGGGCACTCCTTTGGATTTCTAGAGCAAGCAGGGTGATCCTGGTTCTAAGAAGTATTTAACATAATCATCTTAATATAGAATGGGATTAATTCTGTATGGCCAACCTGCTCAAGATTTCATTTATATGCAATAGAATGAGATCTGGCTCACCTTGACAATGTATACGAAGTGATAGGGTTGGGCTCATTCTCACTCCCATTTCCCATGGTATCTTGAAAAGATCATGTAAAAACGGAACAAATCTCTAATTGGACTGTAGTGGTGGTGAGAAATATTGAGCCAGGAATGCCCTATTTTGAGAATGTGAGTAACAACAGCCGAATGGGATTTCCCAGAGTCTCCATAATTGGTGACTGAGACTCTGAAAGCTGAAGACACCAAGTTTCAAACTGTTGGGGCCAGACCCCATTTTGTTTGCTTATAAAGATCACAGAACTTGTTTTGCTGGCCTCCACTCTTCATCCACTTCCTCTTGTAATTAGGCTGGCTATTGTCTTCAGGAGGTGTGTTAGCTGCTCTTTTCTCCTCGGAAGACTGGGTGTAGGGGTTTTGCACTGGACTGGCAACAGACCACAGGATGGTTCCTGCTGCACTGACCCTAACTGCTTAGTAAATCAGTTAGCATGTGGGCAAGTATAATGACTTACACTTGGAAGTCATGGTATTTGAAAGGTGGAGTTATGGATCACTTATTTCCTAAAATGTCTTTTTAGTAAATACTTCCAAAGGGGTCAGTGGGTGGGACCTGGCAAATTCTATTCCTGATTAAATGGACAACTTTTGTACATTTTTCATTAACTAAAGTTAGCCCTTTGGAAACATTTGGTCTAGAAAGATCAGAATAAAGAGTGCTTAAGTTAGTCCCGGGTTGGTTATTTTGTTGTTCACTTCCCACCCTGAGACTTTATTTATTTATTTATTTATTTTTAAATATATATTTTATTGATTTTTTATTTTTTTTATTTTTTTATTTTTTTTTTACAGAGAGGAAGAGAGAGGGATAAGAGTGTTAGAAACATTGATGAGAGCCAAAACCGGTTTGGCTCAATGGATAGAGCGTCGGACTGCGGACTGAAAGGTCCCGGGTTCGATTCCGGTCAAGGGCATGTACCTTAGTTGCGGGCACATCCCCATTTGGGGGTGTGCAAGAGGCAGATGATTGATGATTCTCGCTCATCGATGTTTCTAACTCTCTATCCCTCTCTCTTCCTCTCTGTAAAAAATCAATAAAAAATATATTTTTGGGGGGGAGAAAAAGAAACATCGATGAGAGAGAATCATTGATCAGCTGCCTCTTGTACACCCCCTACTGGGGATGTGCCCGCAACCAAGGTACATGCCCTTGACCGGAATCGAACCCGGGACCTTTCAGTCCGCAGGTTGACGCTCTATCCACTGAGCCAAACCGGTTTCGGCCACCCTGAGACTTTAATCACAGGATTAAATGAATGTGATCATGGAGCTGAAAATACCTTAAATCTCTTCAGTATCATCACTGTTATTTGGAAGATAATTCATTTATCAAATGTTGTCTCACCTGGCTAAGGCAGCATTATTCTTTTTATAGTTCTTCACCATGCTTGCAAACCCTAGCTGTATTACACAGAAACCTCTGTCCTGTCAGCACAGGTCACAATTGGTGATTCCAGTCTGAATCAAGTGAGCTTTTGCAGGCAAGTGGCTTATTTTCATTCAAGAATCATTGCTTCAGAAATGTATTCTCGGGCCGAAACCGGTTTGGCTCAGTGGATAGAGCGTAAACCTGTGGACTGAAAGGTCCCGGGTTCTATTCAGGTCAAGGGCATGTACCTTGGTTGCAGGCACATCCCCAGTAGGGGGTGTGCAAGAGGCAGCTGATCGATGATTCTCTCTCATCAATGTTTCTAACTCTCTATCTCTCTCTCTTCCTCTGTAAAAAAATCAATAAAATATATTTAAAAAAAAAAGAGAGAAAAAAAGAAATGTATTCTCGGCTCTGGGACATTGCAGATTTAACTTGACTGGAACTTCTTGTTTACTTGATGCCCTGCAGGCAATCATACCAGGAAATTCTGATGGTTTCTGGTCCTGGAGTCCAATCTTTACCATGTCTTCCTTCCACAGATGCAGAATGAGACAGCATGAAGCCAGTCATGTCATAGGGAGCGGGTTCTCCATGTTAATTGAAAGGGAAACATCTCTTGTTGGTACCTGGCTCCTCATATAATTTCTAACACGTCGAGGAGGCCTTTTACTTTACCAGTGCCTCTTTCCTGTCTCACAATCTTTTAATGGAAAGGGTGGTTCGATGGAGCACTAGGCCTGGGTGGTTAAGTATTACTGGCTTCTTTTTTTTTTAAGGAATTAATGCATTTTTAACTAGGCCCATTTAACACACAGCCAGCTGGTAAAAATAATAAAATAATAGCTATCATTTCCCAAGAGTTCAATGTGAAACTTTTAACCTTCACAGCTCTAAAATAGGCAGTATTATACCTTTTTACAGAGTATGAAACTGAGGCTGAGAAGTTAAGTAATTTGCTCAAGGTCGTGAAACTAGTACAAGTCAGCATCAAGTCGCACATCCCATTCCGTCTCATTTGTAGTGCCTTTGGTGTTGTCATTGTCGTCTTTGGATCAAAAGATCTTTGTAAAGTATCACAGTCCGTGAAAACTCCAATCTTGGCTACTTCTGTCTACTTTGGGGCAAGTCAAGAAGATATTCAAAATGGTAGTAATATGATTTTAGTCTTCTTTTTTTCCTTCCTTTTTTTTTTTTTTTTACAATTTTTGGATTTCAAATATAGAATATATATTTTTTGTTTGCAAATTATATATAAATTGGTGCTGTGAAGATTTTAATCTTTATTCACAAAACTCTTTTCATCTAAGTACACTTCTTTGGGAAATGACCTTTTCCTAATGTTTGCATTGGAATAGAGTGTAAAAGGTACCAGCATTTACTGCCTCATTCGATGCTCTGAGTGAAGCAGGGTGATTTGCCAAGCAGCTTAAAAATGGCTGCAATTAAACACTTCCACTTCCTTTTTGTCCAAATGCATTTTATACTTGCACACATTTTGAAAATGACATTTAAAGAAAGAACACTCAGTAAATATCATTTTTAAAAATTAAAAGAGTTGAATAAATGGTACACAGCACTATTCTCTTTACTTTTATGTATATTTAAAGTTTATCGTGCTTTTAAGAATGCAGTTCCTATGAGTAATCTAAGAAAATGTATGGGGTGTGGAATCTCAGCTGAGCCATACCTGCCCTCCTGGTACAGGGACCTCCACTACTGCCACATTCAGACCCCGACATGTGTGGGTCGGGAAAGATTGTAAGACTTCTTTGTCATTCCAATGGGCATTTTTTATTTAAAAAAAATGGTTTATTGAGAGAATTTGCAGACAGTAAAACTGGCGCTCTTTAGGTGAGCACCATTTTATGAATCTATTATAGGCACTCACAGTAGTGTAGCTATCTCTAGAGTCCAGATCTAGAACACGTCAGTGGGGTCATCAAAGGTAAAAACATTCTTAATTGGGAAGACTGAAGCTTGGTTCTTGATACATTCTTTTTAAAAACATATATATATCAGAGGAAGGGAGAGGGAGAGAGATAAAACATCAAGGATGAGAGAGAATCATTGATTGGCTGTCTCCTGCGGGTGCGCGCGCACACACACACACACACACACACACACAGAGGATAGCTTGCAACCCACGCATGGCATTTGACTGGAATCAAACCCGAGACTTTTCAGTCCACTGGCTGACATGCTATCCACTGAGCCAAATCAACTAGGGCCTTAATTATTCTTTTTAATTGATACTTGGAGTTAGAACCCTTTCATATAAACCACTATAGTTTTTGTGATTACAAAGATCACAGCAAAACTCGAATAAAAAGATGGGGGTCAATTGGCTCTTGAAGAGGAATCATTGACTTAGTTGTTCATTAAATATGCATCCTCCTGTAGGAATGTGAGATGGCAGAACTAGGGACAGAATATTTGTTCCAGAGATGTACATCTTTTTTCTAGGAACTCTTAATTTCTCACCCCCACCGCACACAGTTCTGTAGGGAGTATTTGGAGAGAAAGTTTTGACAAAAGACCAAGTGTTGGTTCAGTGGAAATAGCAGGTAGGTAAGCTAGCCACTCAGTAAGCTCTCTGGATAGAAATTACATGCAGGGCTCAATCTTGGGATCAGAGCTCTTGTTGCGCGCGCTCTCTCTCTCTCTCTCTCTCTCTCTCTCTCTCTCTCTCTCTCTCTCTCTCTCTCTCTCTCTCGCAAGCAGGGCCATGCTCTTTTATTTATTTATTTATTTATTTAAAGAACACCCTATAGTGTGCTAAAAATTAAGCAGAATGAAGAGATGTGAGTGTTCCTGTCTGTCCACCAGTCCCTCGGGGGCTCCTAACGTAGCCAGCACTACAGTTAACAGCAGTTAGGTTCCCCTTCCAGAGCTGTCACACCCATGTGTGATCTAAACTGTGTGTGATCTAAAGGCCATTCTGTCCGTATGAGTGGATCCCCTCCCTTTTTAAGTATTTGTATTAGGATATATATATTATTTGTATTTTAGACTGGAAGAGAGGAGAGAAGAGAGATGATGAGAGAGAACCATTGATTAGCTGCCTCATGCATGCCCCTTACAACCTGGGCATGTGTCCCAACTGGGAATCAAACGATGACCTCCTGGTTCATAGGTCAATGCTCAAATACTGAGCCAGTGCAGGCTGGGCTGAAGAATATATAATAATAATTATAATTATTATTATTATTATTATTATTATTATTACTATTATTTTACCTATTTTTTTCACAGAGAGGAAGGGAGAGGGGTATAGAGCCAGAAACATCCATGAGAGAGACACATCGATCAGCCACCTCCTGCACACCCCCACTGGGGATGTGTCCGTAACCAAGGCTCATGCTCCTGACTGGAATTGAACCTGGGACCCCTTAGTCCACAGGCGGATACTATACATCGAGCCAAACCGGCCAGGACGGGCGGTGGGATATGTTTTTAAGAGCCTCCCATATCTGTTTCTCTGGGTATAAGCATCCTTATTATCATAGCAATTGCTCTTGGATACATTGTTTCCCTCCCACTAGATTTCCTCTGTTTATCTGGGCTGCTGATCTTTTGTGTCTTTTAAAGAGTTCCGGGGAAGGAGCAGATATTTGAGTCACACAGATCACAGCATGGCCATCCTAAACTGCCCCGCCAGCTCATTAGCATTGCGGCCCTAAGCAGCACCCCAGTCTTTCTGAACATCAGCATTCTTTTCTGGACAGTGGGAAGAGCTGCACACGCATAGGTATTCCGAATGTGAGTCATCTCGACCCTCCCCTGCAAGAAGCATATTGTATCTTAGCTTTTGGACCTAGAAGGAAACCATTTTAGGGACTATATGACTTATGCCAGTTGAGTCTACCCACTCCTACAAATCTCTCTCTCTCTCTCTCTTTTTTTCTTTTGGTAAGAATGAAGCCAAGAAAAATTAAAGAAGATGATGCTCCAAGAACAATAGCTTGCCCTCATAAAGTAAGTAATGCTAGGGGAAAAGTGTTCATTAGACTGTTAATGAAGCTTTAGAGAGATTATAAGAAATTTGTACTTTTTATTTGTTTTCATATTTTTTGAGATTAAGTGAGGAACTATATAATCTTGTATGTCTAAATTCAAGAGACTATATTTTGTAATGTAAGTTTTATTCAGTAAAGGCCACTTAAATTTAAATACTATTAAATGGGGTTGCTATAGGGCATCAGAGTTTTTATTATTACTATATAGTGAATATACTATGTTAGGATTTTATTTCTTTTTGGATCATTACAAGTCAGTCTTAGACACTGGTTTGTGTGCTCACCCGTGGACCTTATTGGGATTAGGTGCGTTACAAGTTTGGGGATTATTTTGGATGTTGCTAAAGTAAGCTTAATAAGACTTCGTCATTCACAATTTTCTTAATTTACTTTGTTAATTGTGTGTTACTAAAGGGGTACTTAATTGTTTTCAAATGTGTTTTAGTCTTTAAAATAAAACGATAGCCCAAAAAGGTACTTTGAGGTGTATTGGCTTGGGTCGGTTTCAAATTTAGTTGGATGTAAAAGTAACAGAAAATATCACACAGGTGCAGAAAAACAAAGGGCAGAATTTTTGCATGGAATAAATAATTTTTTTAAATGATGGGTGGTAGGACAAATTTAGCTTTGAGGTGTCACCTCTAATGACTACGCAACTCACAAGTTCTTTGTTCTTTTTAATGCTCCTCGTGTGGAGAGTTTGAAATGTAAAGTGATATTCATTGGGGCCAAAATATAGATAAGCATTTGAAAACAGTTCTGCCTTTGAGTGCCTGCCATCTCTCTAGCTTCTCTGTCTACTTCTTTAAAATCCCATCTTCTAAATGGAAACTCAACTTAGGGGTCAAGGTGAAAAAACTGTGGCTTTTCCTGCCCGCCCTTCTGCCTGTGAAGCTGTCCACTGGTTGGCTTGTGCTGTCCTCTGTTGTGCTGTCTGTCATTTCCCCCACCCACTCCATCACTGGGCAACAACTGCAGAAGAAATTGGGCAGGACATGCTTCTCAGAGCACCACCCTCCCATCTGCCGCCCCGCTCTCGTATCAGTTTGCCTGCTTCTTTTCCTAGTGTCTCACAAAATCAATTTCTTCTGTAGTTGCCATTCCTTGGAGACCCTCTTGCTTCTTTCTCTGTCAAGAAGGGGAAAGAGGCAAAGAGAGAAGAGGGAACAGTAGGCGATGGAGAATGACAGCCCATTCTTGCAGCACAGAATATGGGGCCCACCAAAGGTAGTGGTGGACTGCCGTCATTTTAACTCCATTTATTTCTCAGGGCTTCTGTTACTTCATGTGGGGGACGGAGTTGGGTGAGGCAGCGGTGGTATAGCTGGAAGCCAGGGTGTTGGGTTCTACTCCCAGCTCGGCTACTATTTGTAGTGTGACCTTGGGCAAGTCTACTTAAGACATCTCTAAGCCTCAGTTTCCTCATCTGTAAAACAAGGGTTTACATTAAATGATAAGGCCTTTTTCAGCTGTCTTTTTTTTTTTTTTGTCTTAAATATTTTAATATTTCTGCTGTAATACTAAGTAAAATTAAAATGGGGCTGGGGGTTGTTTTGTTTTAATGTGTCAGTGAAGGCTGTTCAGTGGTTGACCCTTTGTCGCACTTTGCAGTGTGAACCACTAAGCTTCTCTTTCTGTTTGAAGGGCTGCACAAAGATGTTCAGGGATAACTCTGCCATGAGAAAGCATCTGCACACTCACGGCCCCCGAGTCCACGTCTGTGCAGAGTGTGGCAAAGCTTTCGTTGAGAGCTCAAAACTAAAACGGCACCAACTGGTTCATACTGGAGAGAAGCCCTTTCAGGTAGAGCCAGTCCCTCCCTCCCCCCTCTCCCCCCCTACGACCACCACACACATACACCTGTGTGTAGGCAGGCAGCCCCAGCGCAGGGAGAGATGGCCTGGTGTCTGTCACAGGAGGGCTGCTCTGTGACATACTGGAGACCGTGGGAGTGCTCAAGAACAAGCCTAAAACTGGATTCTGTGCATCCACGGTGGGGTCAGAGCAGTTTAGTTTGGGCAGTTAGCAGTATGTTGAATCACTAATTGGCAGGGGACTTCTCAAATTTTACTGTGCGAGAGTAAGAACCGTTAATATTTTGTCGCATTTTAGAAGCCCATGAACAAGGGAACAGACTCACAGTACAGGCAGTAAACCTGACCTGTTCTTGATTTGGCACCGGAAGCTTTCCTGTGCTTTTTTTTTTTTAACGTAAGTTTAGGACCATAACATAATATTTAGAGAGATCCAAGTGATTCTCTTACTTAGTATTTAAATGGTTCCGGAGGGGTGCTCCTGGTCTTGGGGATTGTTGTCGCAGAGCTGGAGCACCATGCCCACTGATTCCAGAACAGCTGGGACATTTCCCCTGGGCGGGGAGGAGAGTGTTAGTCAAAGCAGCAAGCTGCCCTCCGCGCAGCGGTGTCCCTGTCACTGAGCAGGTTCTCTGGTCTTCCCCGGCAGTGCACGTTCGAAGGCTGCGGGAAACGCTTTTCACTGGACTTCAATTTGCGCACACATGTGCGAATCCACACCGGAGACAGGCCCTATGTGTGCCCCTTCGATGGTTGTAATAAGAAGTTTGCTCAGTCGACTAATCTGAAATCTCACATCTTAACACATGCAAAGGCCAAAAACAACCAGTGAGAAGACGAGAGAGAAGAGCTTCTGGACCTCGGAAAGCATCTTCCAGGAGTGTGTTTGGGAATAACGATGCCTCTCCTTTGTATATTGTTTCTAGGAAAGAATTTTAAAAATGAATCCTACACACTTAAGGGACATGTTTTGATAAAGTAGTAAAAATTAAAAAAAAAACTTTAATAAGATGACATTGCTAAGATATGACTATCTAGCTCTGTAATCTCATTTCAAAAACACGGTGTTTTGTAAAGTGTGGTCCCAACATGAGGACAAGTCATGAACTTCTCATCAAAAGACAATTCTTTATACAACAGTGCTAAAAATGGGACTTCTTTTCACATTCTTATAAATATGAAGCTCACCTGTTGCTTACAATTTTTTTAATTTTGTATTTTCCAAGTGTGCATATTGTACACTTTTTGGGGATATGCTTAGTAATGCTATGTGTGATTTTTCTGGAGGTTGATAACTTTGCTTGCAGTAGATTTTCTTTAAAAGAATGGGCAGTTACATGCATACTTCAAAAGTATTTTCCTGTAAAAAAAGTTATATAGGTTTTGTTTGCTATCTTAATTTTGGTTGTATTCTTTGATGTTAACACATTTTGTATAATTGTATCGTATAGCTGTATTGAATCATGTAGTATCAAATATTAGATGTGATTTAATAGTGTTAATCAATTTAAATCCATTTTAGTCACATTTTTTTTTCCTGAAAAATACTGCCAGATGCTGATGTTCAGTGTAATCTCTTTGCCTGTTCAGTTACAGAAAGTGGTGCTCAGTTGTAGAATGTATTGTACCTTTTAACACCTGGTGTGTACATCCATGTAACAGAAAGGGCAACAATAAAATAGCAATCCTACAGAAAGAATATGGCAGAAAAGATCTGTAAGCACAGTCTTATTTCCTTTTGTTGTCCAGAATAATTATAATTCTTGAGCCTCCCAGAAATTGGAAGCTAAATAAAGCAACTCGAGTTTCCTTTATTTTGCACTCAGTTACAGTGACTTATGATTAAAGTGATGCATGGGTATCTCAATACTTTCCCGCAGGGACTGAGTTCTGAGAGAGTAGTAACAGGCATCCCGAGTTAAGGAACTACCTCAGAGGACTCCCAACCAGGCCCTTTGGCGATTGGGTTTTGATTTTTGCTTCCCCAGCAAAGATGTGACTGACAGTTGCACCCTGGCCTGTGTTTTCAAGGTAAGGTGTTACCTGGCAGGGACAAGCAGGGTCCAGTGCTCAGGCCGCCCTCTGGGCGGCTCCAGCAGGTCCTCGCCCAGCCAGAGGCAGGCCCTGGTGGTGCTGTGTGGTTGAGAGACTTGGGTCCTTTGGCAGTGGAGTCCTCAGTGTTAGCATATGTAGCAGTTGAGCGCCAGCAGCTTAATCTCACGCTTCTAAATGGACACTGAGTACTGATTGGCAAGGTGATTCAGTTAAGAGAATTGTACTCAATGAGTACTTTGCCTCTCACGTTGTGACCTCTTAAATGTACGGTTATGATTTTTTGAATTTTACTTCGAGTCAAATATCAAACCCATGAGACTATTTTATAAACTGCCACAATACAGCAAAACCCCATTTATCCAGAATGCAAACATCCGTGTGTCTTTGTACTGTGTGCTCGACAAACTAGCTGAACCAGATTTATTCAACTGACGTCCAGAACACGTCAGGTCACAGGTTGCCCTGTCTCCAGCTCCTCCGGTCCTGTGCAGGATCGGGGGCCCGGGAGCAGTGACACTGTGGCTCTCCGGAATTTCGAAGTGCCTTCTGATTCATAAATGAAAAATTTAACTTGAGACAATTTTTTTATTCGTTCAGAATCTGTTTTCCATTGAGTGAGTAGCTTGCTGGAACTGAGTTAATCCGAAGAGCCCAGCTGTCCCCTCGATAAGCCAGGAGCGTCTGTACTGGCAGCCGGGGGCGAGGTAAGCCATGATGGAGCTCCCCTTTGAAGCCGAGTGCCCGGAGTGTGAGCACCCGTTCCTTCCCTCCCTGCCAGCAGGCGAGCAGGCCTGGGGGCATATCCATTAGTTCTGGAGCTGCATCGCCCTCGCCAAGCATTGTACCACCATGGGGCCTGGTCCTGGCACTGCCCTTGGAATCCTTCCCCAAGGGTACGGGGCAGGGGAGCCTTGTGCTGTGGGCCATGCTGGCGGTCCAGAGAGCCCTCTGTCCTATGACCTACAGGAGCAGTACCTGTGAGGAGGTTGGTCCCTCTTCCCGTGCCTTGACCCCTAGGGGGATGCCGTTAATCATCTCTTCATCCCTCCGAGTGAAATAGTCATCACCCCCTCCCCTTGACTCTGTTCACGTGTCTTCTCTCAGTCTGCAGAGCTAGTTTCTGGAAGGAATGTAATGGAGGGGGGTGGGGTTTTGAAGAAATGTACTGTCCAAGTTCCTTGTTGACGGAACACTCGACCCTCGTATAGAGAACGAGTAGGTGAGTGACAGTTAAAGAGCAGAGTCGTTCTCACGGGGGTACCCGAAACCCAGTTCGCTGTTGTTGAAATTCTTACGTTTGCTGAGGATGCACATGACAAGACTTTGACATGGTGTCCCAACAGTGAGTCAATTGGTGGTCTTGAGGGTTAACCTGATTTTTAAGTGATACTGATAGACATATTTTCCTACATCTGAGCTGAGACCCTTGCATGTTTGTAGGATATGTAATATAAGAGCCCAGAGGATACGTTTACATTTAATAAGATGTTGTTTTCTATTTTTGGATTTCTTATTATTTCCCCCCTCTTTGGTAGTGAAGTTAGGGGGAAACATAATATTTGTATAAAGAGCTGTCACCTCAGAGTGACATTTACTTTCCAGGGTGACATTGAACTCACTATTGGTTTCATATGATGTTTGTGTGCTTTGCCTAGATTCAAGACCTAAGGATTTGAGGAATATCAAGATTATTTTTTCTATCTGGTTTTCATGTACAGTTCTTTTACATGTCACTTATTTTACTAAATTTGAATAAAGTAAGGCCCTGGGCAGAAGAGGAACTGCCTGCCCCTGTTCCAGGCAGAATTCTGGTTTGTTTCTTCACAAACGAGAACGTCCATCCAGCGAGCAGCCCGGAGGGACACAGGGCAGGGCAGGTGGATGGTGAACAGAGGGCTTTGTCTGCCTCCCACCCCCATCTGCTTAGCAAAACTTTCCTGTTGTAACATCTCAGATTTGTCTGTGGCACAGGAAAACCGGGCCCTCGGAAGCTTTTCAGTTGGAAATCTGATCGTTGTACCCCCATGACAGGCAGAGAGAATTGCTCACTTCTTGTGTCTGAGTTGGGATCACATGGTTTAGGAAGACCGTGTTGTTCATCTTAAATTCTCCCAAGTTCCTCCTGCTTTCTTGATGTCTGGCCACCAGCCAGAGCTTGGATCCAGGGGTTGAAAAGGTGGTGAGAACTGAAGCTGCCGACAGGCACCCACTTAATGCCATACCCACGCCACAAGGCTTGCTTGCAGCTGCTCCACCGGCTGCTGAAGCCAGCACTTTGCCTGTCACTGGACAGCCTAGGACCCACCAGAACTTTTAACCCAAGCTCTGCCCCCTTGCAGCTCGGTCATGCGCTCCACAGCCTGCTCTTCAACATGGCAGAAGGCACCTCTTGCCAGCTCAGAAACTTGGCCTGAGTGGGTGGCTAGGTCTCCTACACCCTAACGTATTGGCCTTGGTTGGCTTTGATGGTTACTGCGTGGGCTGTGCTCAGGTCCCTGGTCGCTGAAGACAATGCAGTGCAGGCCTTTCAGAGCAGCAGCAGGCAGGAATGGCCAGGTGCCTCCAAATGCGGGCTTCGGTCGCCTCCAGGCCTAAGTGGTGAGCAGAGAGCCAGAGAGGTGTAAGCCGGGAAGGCAGGCTGCATATTGTCCACACACTTCATCAGCTCTTCTAGAAACTGGAAGGGTACGGTGACAGCAGGTAAACCAAATTCCCATGAGCTGGTCACCTGGTCCTTCTGGCCAGGATGTGGGCATCTGCACAGGGTGAGAGTGACAGTAGCACATTCATCCTGCAGCACAGTGATTTCCCACAAAGTGGCAGATTTGACCAGACTGACTGCTTCTCGTTAAGGACACTCAGACGCCATAAGAAATAGCATTGGGGTGTCGCGGGGAGGGACCAGTTGCTGTGCAGTGTTTTGTTGGCTGTGCTATCATTGGGGGTTGGGGGGTGCAGGAGGTACTTTACATGGAGGGGAAAAGGCACCGATACCAAACCACCTTTTCTACAATATCCGTAACTGTATGAGGCTCTGTTATCTGCAGATGGTGATTGGTCAAGTCATTTTCATAGAACAATTGTTTTTATTCACTTTCTGGTAACTTCTGTAGGCCCTGGCTCAAGGACTTAGCATTGGCGTCTCATGTGCATCTTTTTCTTAAATGTGTTCTGCCATTTCTGGAATTGTCCTTGGTTTTTCCTTAGCTCATAGGTCATAGGTGCAGAAGTATTATCGCGTTTAAGGCATCCGCATCTCAAGCATCGAGCAAGATGGCTTTGCATCCGGAAAAACATTTAACGTAACCCAGTTTGAAGCACCAAGCATGTATAATAACATGGCTCTATAAGATATAATAAACGCATAATGTTAAGCTTTTCAATGCCTGCGGTTCTTGTTTGTTCCTCAAGCCTCTAAGCCGCTTCTTTCCCTACGTTTCATCACACAGTGAACCTGGCCGGAGGCTCCTTCCTGCCTGGACTGAGGCAGGTCCTCCAGGATTCCTTCGGTCTCACCAGCAGGAAATGCTTCCTTAGCGCAGCCCCTCAGCTCCAGGATGGACTGATGGACTGGAAGAATTTTATTTTTTTTATTTTTTATTTTTTTAAATATATTTTATTGACTTTTTACAGAGAGGAAGAGAGAGGGATAAAGAGTCAGAAACATCAGTGAGAGAGAACATCAATCAGCTTCCTCCTGCACACTCCCACTAGGGATGCGCCCGCAACCAAGGTACATGCCCTTGACCAGAATCGAACCCGGGACTTCTCAGTCCACAGGCCGACGCTCCATCCACTGAGCCAAACCGGTTTCGGCGGACTGGAAGAATTTTAATGAGAAACTCACCCACTTTTTAGAAAGCAAATTCTCAACCTCAAGTGACAGTTCTGGGAACTCCAGTAAGAAACTCGACTGTAACTAGGCTCTTCAAACTCAGTAAAAGGGAGCTATCTAGGATTTGGCCAAAAACAGAGAAGCACTCACTCCCTGGCATCCGGGGCTGCGGAGCTTCACTCCTGGGTGGAGGGGGCTGCTGGCAGGACGCTGCTGAGTGAAGGGCCAAGGAGGAGCTGGTGGTCTAAGATTGGAGGCACCCTGCCCCCACCCCATAGCTGAACCCACTGTCCCCATTTCACACTTGCCAGCATCCCCACCTGGGTAACTGACCGCAGCACCATGCTGGGCACTGTGAACACAATTTCATTCAACTCGTCATGGATGAGGGTCATTTGCAAAGGTCTAGGCAGCAGGAAGTCAACCCCAGGCCTGCCTGGCTCCTGCTGCCTCTGGCCCGCAGCCTGAATTCATCTCCAACCCAGAGGGAAGAAGCCTGGGGCGTTGCTCTGGGCTCCCACGGCCAGCATTCCTCACCCGCCCGTTCTGGCCCAGCGCTCCTCTCCAGCTTCCTGACGCTGCACGCTGTGCAATCTCCCAAATGGGGCTCCGGCGTGGGTCTCCCCTGCTCACCTGAACCTGTAAGGACTCCCCACTTCCTACCCGACCAAGTCCAGCCCTGACCTACTTTTCCAGCCTCAGCCCCCCTCGCAGCTTCTCTCTCCCAGAGGGCCCAGGTTCACTCATTCAGCAGCAACTGAGCCCCAGATATGTGTCAGGCCCTTTCAGGTGCTGACGGAACTGCATTCTAGTGGAGGAGACAGGAGAAGAGGGAGAGGCCTCACCCCAGCCCCAGCTCTTCCACCACCTGCAACAGGTAGCTTACCGGTGTCCTAGGAGCTGGTGGCCAGAGCCCCTCTCCAGCCCCATGCACCACCCCCAGACAGGGCCGGCCCGCCCATCCCCACCCTCGGCTGCGTGAGCTGCTCCCCTCTGCTCTGGCCCAAAAGCCTGAGGGTTTGTTCTCCAGCCTCAGACCCCTGACTGGGCCGGCACCGTGGTGCGCCTTCCTCTCCACCACTGGAGGGTATGTGTGCCTGGTGTTGGGCAGCCAGTCTGTGGAGGCCTGGCTGGGTCCTGAGCCCGGGCCCCACTGGGGAAGCTCAGAAGCCTGCACCTCGGCGCCCACGGCATTCCTCAGACACTTGGCCCAGTGTGAGGACCCACACAATGGGGGAGGAGGGTCACTGATTTGTCCTCCAGCACATGTAGGGCCACCTGCTGCTAAGGGGCCACTCCAGTTGAAAGGGCCTTGGGATTGGGCAAGGCAGAGGGCAGGTGACCTTGGGCCCGTCGGGAGCTTCCTTTTCCTCAGCAGAAGCTGGGCTGAGGGGGGGAAGGGTGGATGGAGCAGGCTGGACCCCAGTAGGGGCCGGCGCTCGGGGTGCCCTTGTAGGACCAGAAGGGAGACCTGAGCAAGGCCTGGGGTTGGGAGGGCTCCTGGTGCACCCCTAGACCAGGGAGGGGTGGCCGGATCCCCATTCCAGTCCTGGGTGAAGCCAAAGCCTGGTGGGGGCTGGGAAGAGGGACCTGAAGCCCTCCGAGCCGGGCTGCTTTTTCTCTCACCCCCTTCCCGCAGGAGCAGTGGGTGGGCCCCCCTTCCTCGGTCCACTTCCACTTCCAAATCCTACCGCCAATCCCAGCCCCACTCCGCCATCACCCCGTTCATTCTAACGCTGGCCCGCTGGCTCCCCGCCCATCTTCACTGGCCACCTCAGCATCGCTCTGGAGGACGGTCCACCATGGCCTTGTCCTCCTGATGACCCCACTCCACCTGCCACTGCCATGGCCACCCCCAAACCTCGTGTTTCCGACATCTGTAGCCCCCAGTCTCTGTCCTGGGGTCCTGCTTTCTCACTGCCGCTCCTACTTCTGTGGGACTGTACCCCAGTGCCCTCAGCCAATCACCTCCTCACCATCCCGCCCCACAAAGCTCCATGTCCCAGCTTCCCGCCCTCCTACATTCTTGCCTTCCCCTTGTCTCTGGCAAAACCCAACCCGGCCCTGTGCTCCTGTGCTCCGCAGCCTCTGCCCTCATCTACCCACTCAGCCTTTTATTCACGGTGCCCGCCCCCTTCCCATCCTGCATCCACAGGGACAGTTAAGCCAGAAGAGGGTGGCATGGTGGCCTCCCATCTCTCACCCCCTCACATCCACTCGGGCATCAATTCTGCCCACTTGGTTTCCCAAACCCACCTGGATGCCCAGGGGTGGCGTTCAGTGCCTGCCCAACAGCTGAGGAGACCTTGAGAGCTCCTGAGGGGGTGGAAGGGATGGACGGTCCGCGCTGCAGGCTTGCCTGCCAGTCTGCCAGGGCACAGCTCCCACCCAGCAGCATCTAACGTGGAGCACCTCCCCCCACTCCGGTGAGCGTCTTTGCCTTGAGAGGGCTGGACACACAGTGCCCTTCAGCAGGCCTGGCGCTCGGGGCTGGGTGGGTGGGGGCCACGGCCGGGCTTCTCAGGGTGGGAGGTGAGCAAAGGGCTGTAGTGGCCCAGCTCCCCATGGCCACTGCCTCCACCGTGGTCACAGTGGACACGCCCTCCCCTGGGAGGGCCGGTGGGTGCCAGGTAAGGAGGCATAGCAGCAAGGGAGCCGAGACCAAGGGGCACAGAGGGTGGGTCCCCAACCCGTCCAAGGTTCCTGTGCTGCTGGGTGCCCCTCCGGGGTGTCTGTCACCGCAGCCAGGGGAACCCGGGGGTCAGCCTGGGCTGTTGGTGACAGTGGGCCATGAGGTGCACAGCCAGGCCCGGGGCATGGGGTGCGGTGAGGGCCGCAGACCAGGAAGGCCTTCAGGCTCTTGACCCAGCGCCAACTGGCCGTGTGGCCTTGGACAGGGCCCATCCCCCGCTGCAAAACGGAGGCGAGAGGACCGGAGAGGGTGTGCGCACAGGGGGAGCCGCTGCCATCGGGGGAGGGCGGAAGGTCCTCCCTCCATCCCTGCGGCCTGCAATGCTGACAGTGAATGTCTGACCTCCCAGACCTTCAAGAGGATAAATGCCTGTTGTTTGAGCCACATCTCCAAGATAACTGTCAGGTTCAAAGAACAGTCAGTACCTAGGCCATGGTCCGCAGGAGGGGAGTGTTCCCATGGGCTGGGACTCACCCAGGACGTGCAGGCGTCCTCCAGGAACTGAGACAGCCCCGGGCTCCGGGGGGAGGGTGCTGGCAGGGGAGGCGCCGGGGGCCAGGTTTCCCCTTCATTACACAGTCTGGGTTTCGTCTGCGTCTTTTTATTTCTTTGCCACATTAATAGATTACTTTTCCCAAATAGAATAAACATAAACTTAAGTCAGGAAGAAAATAAATTGTTAAATAAATTGATAAAAACAAAACCAAACCCCCAGTTCTCTCAAACCCTCTTCCCACCCAACCTGTCGGTAATGTTTAACCGTCAGCACTCACAGTGCGAGTGGGGGACCCTGGTTTTTAGCATTTGCCTGGGTTCTCTCAGAGGAAAGAGAGAAGCCAGGGCACCTTATGGGGGAGGAGATGCTGCTGGGACCCCAGGGGGGCCATGGGCTCACACACGAGGACACGTCCCCCCAGCCCCCTCCCGGCCTCCACTCCCTGGACACCAGACAAGCCCAACATCACAGGCTGGTGCTGGGGTTAAATGGGGTGTAAAGAGCTGGCTCCCCTGCAGGGAAAGCTGGGCCCCCTCCCTCCCTGTGCGTGGGCAAAGCTTTCTGGCTCAGCAGTTGGGAAGGACAGAGCCTCCATCCAGGCTGGCAGCTGGGAGACACAGGGTGTCCAGGATTGACCCCAAGAGGCTGAGAAGTGAGGGTGGGCACCCAGCAGGGACCTCTTGGGCTGGGTTAGGTCTGATCTCGGTGGGCAGTTCCTCTCACCCTCCTGCCAGTGGCCACATCTGATCTGAGCACAGCTCGGCCCCCCCGGAGAGCTCACAGCACGTGCTGCCAGCCCGCACAGCGGGAGGGACAGGCATCCTGTGGCCGGGGTAGCCAGGCACCCCGTGAGCTCCTGCTGAGCGCCCACATTGCAGACCAGGAAACTGAGGGGCTAAGATGTGCCCCAAAGCTGACCCAGGTCACAGCTGGGCTGCCGTCAGGGCCGGAGGGCACAGATCACAGAGCCGGCCCCTCTCACCCGGGGAAGGTATGGAATGAAGCCCCTCTGTGATACACAAATGAAGCCTTGACCCTCTTAAAAAACAAGTGACTTTATTACCAGTGACACCCATGCACAGGGTGGGAGTCCTGTCTTCCTCGCCCAGTGCCTCCTGGGAGAGCTTGTCACACTGCCCAAGAGGCTCAGCCCCACTCGGGGAAAGGGGGCCACAGGCACCTTCAACCATGCAAACCATCCGCCTCCCCACCCCGTCACAGACCACAGCGCACCAGGTGCCGGGCTCCCCGAGTTCCCCCGCAGCACCAGCTTCGAGCGGGAGCCCCGGAGCGTGGGCTCAGCTCCCCTCAGCCCGGAGGGGCCCACACGGCCACAGCCATGCCCACCCATGGGCCCTCCCACCGCGCAGGACCCCAGGCACTAAGGAGCCTGCCCATGTGCTGGAGAAGGGGGGGTGGGGGGCCCCCACCATCTCCCTCTCCGCCCCTCCACTCACCTTTGTTAAAGTGGGCGGAGCTCTAGCTATCAGCAGACCCGTGTCCCATGTTACAGATGGGCAGCCCGAGGCCCAGAGGGCACAGACCTCCCCTCCCGCGGCTGTGTTTAGAACTATGGAGGACATGGAGCCTCCAGCAAACCCCTGGCCTTTCGGGGGTCCCAGGTCAGCCTCCCCTGGGAGTGGCAGCAGCAGGGGTGCCCCCAGCAGTGCCCTGTGGAGAAGCTGGGGTGCACCAGGTCGGGTCCAGTTCTCTGACACCAGGAGGCGCCGGGGCTGCCTCTGTCCTCATCACAGAGCCTGTAAGGGCGGCCGAGAAGGGCCCTGGAGCTCCGCCAGGTCCAGGATGTGCAGCGCGTGTCCCTGGGAGAGCTGGAGTGCTGGTGGGTGGGATCCCGGGGATGCCTGGAGTGTTGGCTGGGTTTCTGGAAGCTTCCAGGTTAACAGGGCCAGCTCCCTGGCTGCACAGCTGAGAACAATGAGGAGTCCAGTCTGTGGCCAAGGTAACCCGGCTGGTGCGCAGCGGCATCGGGCCAGATCTGATGGGGTCCCCGCCCCCCCGGCCCGGGCAGGGGGGGCCCCTGGATGCGGATGTCGGGGTGAGGAAAAGGGGAGGCCATGCCTCTGCCCATGGGCGGCGGTCACAGGCTGGAGGGCTGGGCCAGCGCGGACCCCGGGGCGGCAGCGGGCACCCCCTCGTCCTCGGCCGGGTCCTCGGGGCCGCGCGTGTAGGTGAGCACGATGGTGACGGTGGCGAAGGTGGCGGCGTTGACGGGGAAGGCGCGCAGCAGCGTGGAGGTGAGGCCGCGCGTGAAGACGCGCCAGCCCTCGGCGCGGTAGCTCTGGCGCGCGCAGTCCACGATGCCGCGGTAGCGGGCGGCGCCCCGCACGCCGTCAGCCTGCAGCCGGGACTTGACCACGTCCACGGGGTAGGTGGAGAGCCAGGACAGGATGCCCGACGTGCCGCCCGCCAGCAGCAGCTTGGGCACCAGCAGCGCGTCGCCCGGCTCGCAGCCCAGCGCGCGGGTGCCCAGGTCGTAGGAGAGGAAGTAGACGCCGAAGCTGGGCGTCTCGCGCAGCAGCGTGGACACCATGCCGCGGTTCACGCCGCGCAGGCCCTCGCGCCGGTAGATCTGCGCCAGGCAGTCCAGCGAGCCGCGGTAGGTGCGCGCCGCGCCCACGTCCTGCAGCTGCAGCCGCGTCTTGGCCAGCTCCATGGGGCAGCAGATGACGCACTGGATGGCGCCCGCCGCCGCCCCCGCCAGGAACTGGTTCAGGGGCGAGTCCTGGCCCAGCGCCCGCAGCGTGTTGCCCTGCACGCCGAACACCAGCGCGTTGATGAAGGTGAGCCCCATGAGCGGCGAGCCCAGGCCCTTGTACAGGCCCAGCACCTGCAGGGCAGAGGGGCGTCCGTCAGGTGCCCGCCTCCCGCCTGGGGCCTGGGCAGCCCAGCTATCCTCCTCCCCTCTCTGGCGCGTGCGCCCCTCCCGTCCTGTCCGTGTGTCCCCCCCGCCAATCTGCACTGCAGGTGGAGGCCCCAGCCCACCCCAGGTGACCCTAGGGATCAAACAGAACATTATTAGAGCCAAAACCGGTTTGACTCAATGGATAGAGCGTCGGTCTGCGGACGGAAAGGTCCCAGGTTTGATTCCGGTCAGGGGCATATATCTTGGTTGCGGGCACATCCCCAATAGGGGGTGTGCAAGAGGCAGATGATTGATGACTCTCTCTCATTGATGTTTCCAACTCTCTATCCCTCTCTCTTCCTCTGTAAAAAAAATCAATAAAATATGTATATATATTTTTTTAAAAGTTATTAGAGCCAGAGTCCTCCATCTGAGCATTCGCACCATCCCATCCCCCACTGGGCCCCGGCTCTTCCCTCCCACCCTGTGGTCCAGCCCCGCAGCCTCCTCCCGGCTGCCCCCGCCCCTGCCCACGCCACTCACGCTCTCCTGCTTGATGATGGACTGGAAGCAGTGCATGGTGCCTCGGTACTGGGGCTTCTCCAGGCTCTGCACCTGCAGCCTCACCTGGAAGGAGGACCCAGTGAGAGGAGGGCGAGCCGGGGACAGAGCACCCCGCTCCACGGTGCCCGTGACCACGGCAGAGGCCAGACCCGCAAGGCAGGGGGCCACGCAGCTGGCTTTCCGTGGCTTTCGGGATTCCAAGGTGGGGTGGGGCCGGGGAGGGGTATGGTGAGCAGACAGCCAGAGACTGCCCGCTGCACTGGGCAACACCCAGGGGGGCAGGGGCCCCTCGACCTCAGACAGGCAGAGGCTGCAAGTGAACACAACCAACTCCATCTCTGCGTCCAAGATTTAAGCTCCACGCTGTGACCTCTGACTGAGGAGAGCAAAGCCTGCTGGTTGGCGATTACCTGCGTGCCTTAGAGGGCAGCCATGGAGAGCATTCTGAGGAACAGCCGGGATGGCATGACCACCGAGATCAATATCCGTCAGTATCGGCGGTAGTGTCCGTTACACCTTTCTGCCCCCTGGGTCTGGGGTGAAATGTGGCCCAAGGATAAGATGACCAGATGTCCCGATTTTTAACAATTTGTCCCGCGGCTTTTAAAAGACTTTTAAAAAAGTCTCCATTTTTGGATTTTTTAAAACTTTCCAGAAATTGGGACTTTTTAAAAACACTGCGGGACGCGGGACAAATTATTAGAAATTGGGTCTGTCCCGCAGTGTTCGGTCGCCTTACCCAAGGACCCATGTCTTATGACATCTAGCCTGGAGAGTGGTAAGGTTTTGGGAGTCAAGATCTTGCTTAGGACTAACGACTCGCCCCTAGAAAAGGGGTCCTTCTCACCCAAGCCCAGGGAGACCCTGAACCAGAGGGGGATTTTTCCCGCCCAGCCCTGCCCCGCCCCACTCCCCCAACCCGGGGCCTGTGCTGGGCCCTAGTGCCCCTCCTGCCCCGGCTAGGCCCACAGGGAACGTGGGGGTCAGGCCCAGGGTCTGGGTCAGGGGGGACGGAAATGTGGGTTCACCTGGTCTCTGGGTGAGGCTTCAGCTCCCCATAACAGTTACATTTTTGCTGAGGGTGGAGACAGCTCCCGCTCAGGAAGTAAAGACGGTTAACGCAACACAGAATTTCAACATCGCACTCGGGCCTCCCCCCTGCCCCGGGAGAGCCGCTCCCTGGCGGAGGGGGCTTGGGCACGGTGTCCCGGTTACCGTCCGGCCCCAAAGCAGGACAGGAACGGCCTTCCTGCGAGGGCAGCAGGGCTGAAGACTGGCTGTGGTTTAGGCTCCACGGCGGGAAACCACATTTTGGGCTCCCATTTCGGTCCCGAGGGTCTGGGAGAATAAACTGGGAACGTCCCTGCTGTGAGGCGAGTGACTGACACAGACACAGGGTCCCCTCGCCCCTCTGGAGCCCCGGTCCAGTGACATGAGGCTCAAGGAGCGGCCAGGTGAACGGGCCCTGGCCTCGGGGTGAGGAGGGGGAGGTCTGGAGAGCGGAGGGGGTTTCCGGCCTCGTTCTTTTCCCGGGATTCCTAGGTTTGCTCTCTCAGCACCTTTGCCCTTTGCTATACATCACGTTTCTATTTCAGCGGCAGGGCTAGGAAACAAATCCCCCTTTTGCCAAAGCGAGAAGGTACGACATGGCTGGTTTTCAGCATAAATCAACCACGGGGCGCGGACGATGTATGAAGGACTGTGGGGGTTTTTTTTCCTTTTTTTTTATATGTCTCTATGACGGTTACATTGTTTTACAACCTGGATTACGTCTGTAACAGAAAGCCAGCCAAACAGCTGACTCCCCTATAACAGTTACATTTTTGCTAAGGGTGGAGTACACACAGTGTGTGTGTACCTGGTGAGCACACACAGACAGGCCGCCTGCCCGGGGCAAGGCCGAGCACGGGTGTGGGGCGGGCTGCTCCGCCGGAGGAAGCCATTAGCTTCTCTGCATTTCCCAATTTCCTTGTGAGAAGAGCGTTTAGCTTTCGAAGTGGAAAACAGCCAGTAAAAACAATAAAATAAAATAAAGCCATTATAACCTCACATCCAGCCATGTGTGCTCCACGTCCAGCACCACGTGAGCCCGTGCAGGGTGGGACGATACGGCCACGGAAGGTGAAGACTGGGGCAGGCTTCCTCCCCTTTATAAAAAACTCAGCTTTTAGCCGAAACCAGTGTGGCTCAGTGGACAGAGCGTCGGCCTGCGGACTGAAAGGTCCCAGGTTCGATTCCGGTCAAGGGCATGCACCTCGGTTGTGGGCACATCCCCAGTGGGGGGCGTGCAGGAGGCAGCTGTTTCTCTCTCATCGATGTCTCTAACTCTCTATCCTTCTCTCTTCCTCTCTGTAAAAAATCAATAAAATATATTTTTAAAAACACACACAAAAATTCAGATTTTAAAGACAGTTTGCCCAGATGTGATGCTGGTGGGGGAAAAAAGTCACAGATTTACTCCCTCTAGGTGCCAGGTAAGGGGGTTCCAAGTGCAGAAGCTCCTGCACCCCACCACTTGCTGCCAGGGGTGCTGGTCCCGGCTCAGGAGCCCAGAGGGGCAGGGATGCCAGGGCCATGCTCCCGGCCGGAGGGACCCGAGGGGAGCCTGCCGAAGGCCTGGCCAGGCCGGGGCTGCGTCACCGCTCTGAGCGGCCTCTGAGGAGCTGGGCTGAGGGCGTGGAGAGCCACTTCTTGGCTGGACGCAGCTCCCAGAGGCCTTTGCAGCACGTGACCACAGATATAAGCACAGCACAGCGTGGCTGCTGCCAGGCTGGCCGGGCTGCCCGGCTGTGGGCAGAGCCTGAGCAGCGTGTGGACAGGTGCCACCAGGCCCTCGTCTCGGTGGCCCTCAGGGAACCCAGGGGCCGCTGTGTGGCCAGAAAGCCTGGCCCTGGGGCCTCCTCCGCAGACCTCGGTGCGATGGAAGGAAACCTGTGCTCTCCGGGACTGACCCCTAGGGCCTCGGGAATCTTGCCCAGCCCCGCACTGTGCCAAGAGGACGTCCGGGCCCAGAAGCAGAGTGACGGCCCACGTCACTGCAGGCCAGCGGGAGGGGGGCCTGGCCCTGCACCAGGCCTGGGGCAGACCTTTCCCAGGAGCCAGTGCACAGGGCGGGGCCCAACCTCTCTGTGGCAGGAACCCAGCCCCCGGCTCGCGGGCCCTTTTCCCGGCAGAGGAGCACCTGGGTCCTTAAGCCCGCCTCGCACCAGCTCAGGTGAGGTCCCTGCCTGAGCTCTGCCCTCCCCCAGGGCAGTTCTCCGAGGACAGGCTGCCCTGTACCCTGCTGCGTCTAGCAGCCGCCCGGCTCCCGGCTCCCGGGGGGGCAGATAAGGTCAGGCCCTGACCTGGCTCGTTCAAGGACGTAAAACCCCAACCACAGGGAACATCTGAGCTGGAGCCTCTGGAGGGAGGACATGGACTTGCTTGGTGTCCACTCCGAGGGGTCTGGGAGCCTGGAACCCGGGTTCCTCGGGGCGCAGGGCCTGCTGCAGACCACCCGCCAGCACCCACAGATAGATGTGCACCTGCCCGGGAGACCTCACCCAATGTCTTGACCACAACGATCCCCTTACGGGGAATCCTGAGCAGTTTGGATTCTTCTGTATTTCCGTATTTTCTCCCTGAGCTTTTGTTTCTTTTAAGAAGCGGTCTGGCCGAAGCCGGTTTAGCTCAGTGGTAGAGCGACGGTCTGTGGACTGAAGGGTCCCAGGTTCGATTCCGGCCAAGGACATGTACATTGGTTGCGGGCACATCCCCAGCAGGGGGTGTGCAGGAGTCAGCTGGTCGATGTTTCTCTCTCATCGACATTTCTAGCTCTCTATCTCTCTCCCTTCCTCTCTGTAAAAAATCAATAAAATATATTAAAAAAAAAAAAAAAAAAAAAAAAAGAAGTGGTCTGGAGGAGTTCTGTAAGAACAGTGGGATCCCTGCTCTCCTCGAGGGGAAACTGCCCCCCCACTTCCGGTCTCAACCTGGCCGAGCCTCAGGGTGGACCTGGTCGGGCCGCCCCGCTGGGAGATGCGGGGCAGACCCAGGAGGCACGGCCCACTCGGCTCAGTGGGTAAATGCTGGCCCATCTGGTGTCACAGAGGCCCTGCCCCACGTTTCCCTAGAGCCCATGGGCAAACCCTGAGGGGTCCCTAAGGTGGGCCCTGAGGGAGCCCCAGCCACCCGACCTGAAGGCTTCTGTCCTCTGCCTGGGCCTCCGCAGGGCCCGACACTGAAAACACCACGAGACTCACCTTGACCGTGTCAAATGGGTGTCCCACCAGCACGCCTGCCACACCTGGGGGAAGAGAGGGGGACTTGAGGCCCAGACGTCTCAGACACCTGTAGGGGGGGGTGGGGCTACGGGGAGGCCATTATCTGCTGTGATCCGGGGTTCCTCCGGGAGCCCCTTAATCCTCATGGCTGGGGGGAGGGGAGGAGAGAGAGAGCATGTGAGGGTGACATCCCCAAGGTCAGGCCAGGATCTATCCAAGTCAATGCTGATGTCCCTTCCTCACCTGCTGCTCACGCAGTTGAAACGTGTCCCCTGGGGGGCTGCACCTATTTCTGAGATGGCCCCACTGCTCCCGGCACCCCGGCACTGGCAGGGGCCTCCAGGAATGTTGGACTTGGACCCGCGCTCAGAATGCAGTTTCCCCTCTGTCACCAGCTGGCCGCGCCCACAGAGGGCTCAGGGCCCGCGCCTCCCCGCGGTGTCAGCCCAGGTGTGAGCATCGACTCCCCCGGGGATTCCCGGGAGACACCCACCCAGGACCTGGTCCGTGGCACGTGCCGGCTGACCACGCCCTTCCCCAGCGGGAGCCGCCTGATACCCAGGGTCACCAGGGTCAGCTGGTGACGTGGTCGTGCCCGGCTGTGTGTCGGCCCAGGCCCTGCCGACATCCAGCCCCCCTCGAGGGACAGAAGGCTCACAGCGCTTCTCGGAGTCCTGCCTGCTGAGCAGGCTGCCGGCGCCTTGGTACCCCGCCTCCTGGTGGGAATGCTGAGGCTCAGGGAGACTGAGGAACGGCCATGCTTTCCTCCCTAGGATTTTTTTAAAATATGTTTTTATTGCTGAAACCGGTCTGGCTCAGTGGATAGAGTGTTGGCCTATGAACTGAAAGGTCCCAGGTTCCTTTCCGGTCAAGGGCATGTACCTTGGTTGCAGGCACATCCCCGGTAGGGGGTGTGCGGGAGGCAGCTGATCGATGTTTCTCTCTCATCAATGTTTCTAACTCTCTATCCCTCTCCCTTCCTCTCTGTAAAAAAATCAATAATATATATATATGTTTTTTAAATGGTGGAGCCAGGACTCAAATCCTATAGCCCACTAGGGAATGCCCCCTTGAATCCAACTCTCCTGCAAAAGCCATGTTTTTGAGGCCGCCAGGGAACGGCTCTGTGTCTGCTGAGGTTCTGGGGCGAGGTGCAAAGGGGGGCGGCGTCCCGGAAGTCCCCTGGCTTCCAGGCCTTTCCTGTCAATACTGATTTATTTGGACCGGAAGCCTGAGATGGTATCGCGGACTGCAGGAATGCCACTGAGGATGCCAAGGGTGTGTGCCTTTCTCCAAAACAGCCCTGCCTGGCACTGCCCAGCCCTGTCGTTCTGCAGACGCACCTTTCTGTGATCAGAGGAAACTTCCCCTTTTATTCACTCATCCTCTCCTCCGGGAGCCTGTCCGCAGGTGGGTGAGGAGGCAGGCTCCCGCACTGTCTCTGGTCCTGAGACACACTTAGCTTCTGTGGTCCAAGGTCAGCCTCGTTTTGTTTTGTTTTTTCCATTTCACGTTTTGAATTTCCAAGTCCTACATCTAGAACCTCTCTCCTTCAGCTGTGACTGGAGTTGGGGTGTTCTGGATACCTAGCACTTGCTGTGGGGTGCTGATGGGCCTTCCTTCTGCCTCCAGCACAGCCTCGGACCCAGGGATGCAGATGCTGGGAGCACGGGGGGCTCCCCGCCCTGAGGGAGGTCCTGCCTCAGCCTCTGGGATGGGGGACGGCAGACCCTCAGCCACTGGCCTCTGCTGGCAGGTCCCAGGCAGGGTGAGCCAGGGCAGACATTTGCATGGTCTCCGCGCCCTCGCCCAGAGCATCAGCAGGCGCAGAGTAGGCCGCGCGGCTGCCTGCATCAGGGCCTCAGGCCCCCAGAACCTCATCCTGTTACCCTCACAGTCACCTGAGAGCCAGGGGGCCTCACGGGCCCGCTCCTGGAGAGGACCCTGAGGCCACGGTGCAGCAACAGAAATGGGCCCTGTCTTCCAACTCCAAAGCCAGTGCCCCCAAAAGCTGACTCTCAGGGACCCTCCCACCCATGACCGCCCAGAAAGGCGGAGGGAACACCATCCTGAAGGCACCTGGCAGCAGCCTTCCCTGCTGCCCACATAGAACTTCTCTCTGCACTTTCTCCTACCCATGCCCCCCGCAGGGAGACCCCCAACCAGAGCCCAGGGTCTAAGCAGGCAGAAGACCTGAGCTGGCCCTGGCCGGGGAGAGCAGGCAAGCATTCTGAGCCCCCCAAGGCCTGTCAATCAAGATCCCGCCTGGATATGTACACAGATAATAATTTAATAAATAAAAAAAATTAAAAAAAAAAAAGATCCCGCCTGGCCTCTTTAAGAGCCCGCTGAACAGGAGATCCACCCTCAGACTAACCACCCTGTGTGCTGTCTGTCCCCCCCATTCCCACCCCCGCCCCCCGCCAGGGAAATCAGGAGCTAGGGGACCCCGCCACTGAGGAGGAGCACCGGCCTCATCTGCCCTGAGCCTCCAGGCCTTGGGCAGCCAGACAGGGGTCCCTGGGGGCCAGGCTCTGAGGGGGAGGTGTCCCCTGCACATGGTTCCTGCCCCCTCCCTTCAAGGCCCAGGCTGTGCAGCGGCCACGGCACACAGTCACGTCACGGCTGCATGGGTTCAAGGGGAGAGGACCTGCCTGCCTGCCCCTGTGGTAGGAGAGGGCCGTATGATCTTGTACTAGTCCCCCCAGGGCTCATACTGACCCTCTGCACCCCTCCCTCCCGGCAGCTGCCTCCATCCTCGTCCACCTGAGGCTCAGCGGGGAGGCAGGTGGCACCACCCACCCTGTGCTTGCACAGGGACCGCAGTGGACAGTGCCCCCATTGGGGGACATGGGGCACCTGGTGAAGCACCTACAGCTCAGCAGGCAGCTGGATCCCGGGCCTCTCCCAGGAGCCTGGTGAGGATGGGCCCAAAGGCATTCTGGGAAGAGACGCCACCAGAGCAAGCGCCCAGAGTGACGGGACATCTCTAAGCAGGCCTGGCCGCAGGACGAGAATTCCTACCCCGAACCCCAAACTCCCAGGTCGCCTGCAGAAAAGCAGAAGGGACCTGCCCCTCCCGGGAGAGAACCCACGTTCCCCAGGAAGTGGAAAAGGGCACTGGCCCTGGGACAGCCCCACCCTCTGGAGCCACCCCAGGGTGGGGGGATGGGGACCGCAGAGGGGGTCAGACATCAGGGAAGGGAAAGATGAGCGGAGTGAGATGCGAGGAGGGTGGAGGGTGAGAGCTGGACGGGCAGAGGCCCTCCTTGCTGTCCCCTCTGGAGCCTATTGGGAACTCTGGGGTTTCTGCCCGCTTTTGAGACTCTCGTCTGTGGTCTCCTGAGGCCTGACTGGGTAACAGCCTGGTAAGTTCTTAAATCCCTCCCAACACACAGCACTGCCTTCCCCAGGCTTCTCTCACCCGGAGCTTAAGGCTTCCTCCGGGGCGCCCACCGCTGGCAGGTGCGGGAGGGGAGAAGCGGGAGATCAGGGCCTGGGACACTCCGCCACCCCTCTCTCTGCCCAGGAGGCAGGGCCTGCCAGCTCATCGCCAAATCCCCGGGGCTAAACCCGGCTCCCAATGCATGCCTGCTGGCTAAACGAACTCTCCAAGCAAAAGCGGGGAGGCTGAAAGCAAACAGGGAGGGCCACAGCAGGCCGGGGCCGCACCCGGACCCAGGCCCGGCCTCCGTGAAGGTGTCCCGCGTGGGGAGACACGTCCACGTAAGCCCGAGAGCTAGCCCCGGAGCGTGCCAGGCCCGCTCTGCCCCCGGGCGGAGCCAGGTGGGAAGGGGGCAGCGCTCCCAGGCCAGCCCGCGGGTGGGCACCCCCGGCGCCCCTGCTCCGCCCGGAAGGCTGCAGGAGGAGGAGCCAGCCCCGAACTCCTGGGGCCCAGGGAGCGGACCCCGCTCCAGATGGGATGGAGCTGAGGGTCGAGGATTCCTTCCCGGAACCCCGAACTCCCAGGAACCTGCAGGAGCCCAGGGGCCTCCGGCGGGGAGGGCGCGGGGGGCGGCGAAGCACCTTCCTGGTGCCGCCCCGGCTCCGCCAAACCAGAGCTGCCCGCGGGCCCAGAACTCCTGTCCGAACGCGCCTCGGAGGTTTGCAAACACCAGCTCCCGGCCCGGCGTCTGCACGCCCACGGGAGCCCGGAGAGGAGAGCTCTGCCGTCACCCCGGTTTACGGAGGGGAGGTCCCGGCCGCAGTGCCCGCCGCCGGCCGGGCGCAGGCAGGTGAGCCGCCTCCTACCCCGGCGCCCGGCACGCACCCGCCCGCTCCTTACCCCCCGCGCAGCCCGCCAGGAAGTCCAGTGCCATGGCCGTCCTTCCTCCGCGTCCTTCCCCTTCTCCTTGGCGGCCCGGTGCGGGGCAGGTCGCCGTCGGGAGCGCCCGGCTCGCCGGGTAGAGGCTCGGTCTGGCCGCCGCCTCCTGGCGCGGAGCCTGAGCGGGGCGGGGGCCGGGGGCCGGGGCGGCGGCGGCGGCTCTGCGCGCGGCTCTGGCCCCGCAGAGGCTCCCGCAGGCCGGCTCGCGCGCCCTCGAGGCTGTGCGCCCGGCCCCGGGTCCCTCACTTCGGGCCGCGCGCCCCGCCCCCGGCCGGCCGGCAGGGTGATGGGGGGGGGAGGAAGGGGCCAGCGAATGGGCGGGCGGGGTGCGGACAACGCCCCGAGGCCTGCGCGCCGCCGCCGCGCCCCATTGGCGGGCGGGCCTGGGGGCGGGGCGCAGGGACGTGGCGGGCGCGCCTCATTGGCGGGCGGGCCGGGGGGCGGGGCGCGGGACGTGGCGGGGGTGGCGGGGGCGGCGCGGGCGAGGAGACAAAGAGTGCGCTTCGTGCGCCCGCCCGCGCGCCGCTCCGTGAGGAGGGACGGGGTGTTCGCGGCAGCCGGGCCGTGGGAGCCGGCCTGCGAGCCCGGGCCCCCGTGCCCGCTGGCTGGGAGGGACGTGGGTGCGCCGGCTCCGGACGGGGCCCGGGAACCTGGCACCTGGTTCAGATGCCGGCTGCGCCGCCGGACCTCAGTGTCCCCGTCTGTATAATGGGGGCACGGCCGCCAAAGCTGCAGGCTTGGACACAGCTCACTAGTTGGACACTCCTGCGGCCTTCGCCCTCCCGCCTGCCCGCCTCTGTGCGGGGTGGGGCGGGGGCACAGGACCTGGCGTCTCAGGGTCTGAGCGCTCTGGCATTTTTGGGTGTGGGGTGGGGGGGGAGGAAAGGGGGCGGAGAGCGAACCTGAAAAAGGACCCGGGTCTTGGGCGCGGCCAGGCCCTCGGAGCCCTGCACTTGCCTGCGGACTGCGGGAGCCGCAGAGACTGGAGCAGGGGGAGGTCCCTGGGCCGGCCGGCATCCGCGGGCAGAACCCGGCCATCGCGGCGGCCAGGACACCCTGGGCCGGAGGGGGCCGGGAGCCGGGGTGCAGCCCTGGGTAGTGGGGGGAGGGGGTAAGGAATATTAATGTAAAAAAAACAACGTTGAAACCTGTAAAGAATTTTTGTGAGTTTATTTGAGCCAAACTGTCGACATATGCGGGGAAGCAGAACCTCAGTGAATTGAGATAATGCTCCCCAGAATGCGGGGTTACATCTATATTTATATAATACATTGCAATCAAAGGAAAGGGACGTAGGGGAGTTACATGAAATCCTTTGATGGTGGCTTAGGGAGGTGGGACAGAGCGAAGCGAGGAAACCTCTGGGATAGGTTGAAAAGTGAAATGATGGACATGAGCTTCTTTTACAGAGATGAATAGAGGATACTTTAAACGTAATTAGCCAAAACCGGTTTGGCTCAGGGGATAGAGCGTCGGTCTGTGGACTGAAGGGTCCCGGGTTTGATTCTGGTCTGGGGCATCCCGGGTGGGGGTGTGCAATGGCAGCTGATCAATGATTCTCTCTCATTGATGTTTCTATAATAGCTCTCTGTCCCTCTCTCTTTCTCTCTGTAAAAAAAAAAAAAATCAATAAAATATATATATTTTAAAAACACGTAATTAACAGTTGACAATTAACTTGGTAACAATAACAACAAGGGAATGTCCTGGTGCCATTTGTTGTTCCCTGAGGGGGGAGTAGGGGAAGGAAGGTACAAGTTACCCAGACATCTCACAAATACGTTATCTTAGAGGCAGGAAGGCAAATGGGCTCAGTAAAGAAGATCTGAGTTGGTCTTTGTCAGGGAAAATATCGGCCTAGGACATGACTACCCACTATAACCTGTTTGTAGTTAAGTATTTAATTTACAAACAATCTTTTGTGGTTATTTTAGGTCTCTGAGTTTGCAAGACTGCCACACAGGCCTCCCCTGAGCTTGTCAGGTTAGCATGTGGCTCCTTCCGTCCATAGGAGCAGCCGAATCCACTGCTCAGTCTCTGAGCTTGGGGCCACTCTCTGAAGACTGCACACGCACACGCACACGCACACGCACTCCTTCCCCAGCACCTCATGAAGTCCAGACTGTCCGGTTGGGGCTGAGCTTGGCTGGGATCGCTCCTTCACTGTGGGAATCAAATAACACTGGGGCCAACTTCCTTATTCACCGCCCGCAGTCAGGACCACAGAGCCGAGTTTCCAGGAGCAGAGCACACGGTGCTTCGCCTCTAGTTTTACCGGTTCTGATATCAGGAGGGAGTTTGCCATTGACATAGCCCATAGACAGGTTTCAAAGGGGGCATTTGGGACGAGGGGTAAATGTCAGGCATGTGTAACAGTGAAGTATAGTGAGACAGGCCTCTGGGAAGCCAGCCAGCCATTAGTGTGCTTTCCTTTCATTCTATTTTATTTTTTAAAATATATTTTATTGACTTTTTTTACAGAGAGGAAGAGAGGGACAGAGTTAGAAACATCCATGAGAGAGAAACATCCATCAGCTGCCTCCTGCACACCCCCTACTGGGGACGTGCCCACAACCAAGGTACATGCCCTTGACCGGAATCGAACCCGGGACCCTTCAGTATCCACTGAACTGGATGGGTTGGAGTGCCTGCTGAACTGAATCTCTGAGGGGTCTGCTCTAGGATGAGGGCTTCAGAGAGCTTACACTGTCCCCCAAACCCAGGTTTGGCCAATACCCGGGATTCCAGGAAAAGTATAAACTGTGGGTCCCCACCTGCCAGAAACAAATCAGTTTCACTAATAGAGAGATGTGGACAGGAAGCCAGGAAGGCTGGTCAACAACCTTCATCACTCTAACCACCCACCCTTTAGTGGAGACATTGTTAGCTGAAGCAGCCTCCACCTTGTTTGTCCCATCTAAGTTTCTGTTATTTCCTTTCCAAGGGCTACATGTAAATTTCTGTTTATGTTGCCTAAGATGTGTTCCCCAAAGCCTTAATAAAAGGGATGGCAGGGCCAGAGCACAAGTAGCGTATTTTTCGGCGTATAAGACGACTTTTGAAACGAAAAAAAATCAACCGAAAATCGGGGGCAAAAGACCAAAATTGCACAAATTACCTGCAGATCTTGATGGCAAAATAAGTCTTTTCTTTGAAGTGGGGGGTAGTCTTATACAGCGAATAAAGGCCTAAACCTATGTTTTAACTGTAAAATTAGGGGGCCATCTTATATGCCGGAAAATACACTAGAGTTGGATTACTGCCTGGCCCCCATATCACCAAGTTGAATTTCTTCAAGTCTCTTCATTTGTGTGCGGCCCTTCTCTTGGACCCGAACCCTGAATTGGAACCCTTTCCACGGGGGACCTGAAAGAGAGTCCTGCACCCCCCCCTTTATGCCCTTGTCAGTGAAGGATTCATCCTCTACCTGAATTTATATTTTAAACTCCCTGCTCACTGGCTTCATGTTTAGCTTTTACTGACCCTTCATTTCTGCTGTTTTATTCTCAAACCTCAAAACATGCCACCTTTTACACTGGGCAACCGCCTTGGTTGTGTCTCCGCTGGGAGAGGGATATGCTGGTTGACTCTACAGGGAACTACAAAGGCACACCTCTTTAGTTTTTTATTAACGGTGTGTATTGGTGGAAGAGATCTTTAAACTTCCCTTTTTAAAGCTTATTTTATTCAGGTATGCTAATTATATTCAGGTATGTTAATATATATTTTTGTTATTGTCTCTGATTAATCATTTCCTGAAGTTTTACTAGCACCTTTTATTTATTTATTAAAAATTCATTTTATTGATTTTTTACAGAGAGGAAGGGAGAGAAAGCTAGAAACATTGATGAAAGAGAAACATCAATCAGCTGCCTCCTACACACCACCTACCGGGGATGTGCCTGCAACCAATGTACATGCCCTTGACTGGAATCAAACCCGGGACCTTTCAGTCCACAGACCGACGCTCTATCCACTGAGCCAAACCGGTTTTGGCTTACTAGCACCTTTTAGTTCAAACATATGCCCTGCTTAGGAGCCTGCAATTCAGAGTAAGTCAGAATCCTGTTCATGGGTTTTTCTAGAGACAGAAATGCACCAAAGTAAGGCAAGGGCTGTCCAATGACAGAATTCCAAAGCGGCATGGTCATACATTTGTTTACAATGCAATCGATGCCCTCCTCTTCTCTTTCCTTTCTGGCTCCCTTCTTCATTTTGTAAGTATAGACCTTCGTGGCTACTCCCAGCTCCTTTGTCTTATGTAAATGCCACTGTTGCTGCCCCCTGCCCCTCGCTTCCTTGTGTGATGGAGATGTACCTTCCTCCAATCTGTAGCCCCGTGTTTTTCCATGGGCCTCAATTCTAAAACCCCCCCTAAGCCTCCCTTTATCCCCTAACATTCCTGTTTCAGTCGCCTGTACAAACAGCGCTGTAAGGGTCGGGTAGCTGGCAGTGGAGAATAATCTGTGCAGGATTGCTGGTGTCTGACCCAATTTTCCTGTCAGTCAGTCACCCTACAATAAGTTCTGGGTTCTATTGGCGTCACCTGCCTTGTCTTTCAGTCTGAGGGTACCTTCTGGTTCTGGCAGCCATTATACCTGTTTCCTGCCATCAGACAGTCCTGACTCCCTGGGGGTCCTTAGGAAGGGACACAGTAGGCACTCAATAGTGGAGCTTCAGAAAGCTCCTGGGAGCGAGGTCCCATCTGGATGATGCCTGCAGGGGTCCAGGTGCATGGACACAGGCTTCCAGCTTCCGGCTTAGAGGTGGGGCCACTTCGGAGGGAGCCAGTGTTCAGGCTGGAGCTTTCGGGGTTTAGGTGTTATAGAAGACCGGAGAAAAACCAAGCGACGCTTAGAGAAATGGTGTTACCCAGCTTTAGTACACCGGAGGACTCAGAGGTTGTCTCTCAAATTCTGAGCAAAGCAATCTGGTGGAAGCTTTCCTTTTATATCTCTTCTAATGTCTTTGTCTCCTAAATAGGGGGCTGCCGGTCCCTTTTGCAAGTTTTCAAAAGAGCCCTATGTGTACTTAGCAGATGTCTCGCAGGAAGCTCGCAGCCTTGAGCACAGATAACTAACAGGCACCTGGCCTGGGGGTAGCTAGGGACAGTCTGCAAGGTCAGACAGTTAAGCTTATTTTCCCTGTCATTAGAGCAAGCATGTTTTACAGAGGCTAATAATAGAATTAATTCACTGCACAAAGACCCTTCTGTCTAGTGGAAATTTCAAACAGCAGTTTTTATAAAATAGAGGTTACTGTGCTTCAGTGCCCACTGGTTTTATCACAGCATTGCCCCTTGTGGGCCGTTATTGGGGACGGGGTTAATATCTGCCTCCGAGAGTAGCCTTTTGCCTTCTTTTTTTTTTTTTTTTTTTTTTTTTTTTTAATGTGTTGCTTTTATTTATTTATTTATTTTTAAATATATTTTATTGGTTTTGTACAGAGAGGAAGGGAGAGAGATAGCAAGTTATTGTAGAAACATCAACGAGAGAGTCATCGATCAGCTGCCTCTTGCACACCCCCTACTGGAGATGTGCCCGCAACCAAGGTACATGCCCTTGACCGGAATCGAACCCGGGACCCTTCTATCCATTGAGCCAAACCGGTTTCGGCGCCTTTTGCCTTCTCACAGGGACAAAGGTGTGTGTGTGGGGGGGAGGGGGCAGTGCAGGGGTGGCCTCTGCCGCAGGGAGGAAGGGGTGAAGGCAGGCCCTGGGCGAAGATGGGGTTACCTGGATGATTGCTGGGTCACAGAACTGCAAAACCCAGTTTCCCCTTAACAGCTCTCCCTCACGGTTGTGTTTCTGGGCCCCGGAGGGAGAATCACTCATCAGGGGGCAAAGATGGTGACAGTGCTGCCGTGTGCGGGGCATGGAGACAAGGCAGACACTCCTCCCTGGATGGGGAGAAACCCCAGAAAGGGAAAAATAAAGTCACCGCCAAGCAAAGGAGCTCGCGAGGCCCCGCCGGCGAGCCTGCGCGGTGTCAGCGAGGCTTCTGTGCCTGTTGTTGTTTCATTTCCTGCGGATAAAATTACAGCACAGAACGTGCTTTCTCAAACCCCTCGTGCTCTTGAGTCCCGGCCACCCCGGTCCCAAGGGAGCGCCCCCTGCAGGCGGCTCCTCAAACCCCAAAGGGGCAGGAGGACCCAAGGCCAGAGCAGCAGGAGCACAGCGAGTGGGGAGGGAAAGAGAGAGGGGCGCTTGGGGGGGAGAAAGGGAGAGGGATACAAGCAGTGAAGCCAGGTTGCTGAGAAGTATGGGGCTGAGTTTTTATCTTGTACAGCTTTTGTCATTTCTGGCCCGGATAGGCTCAGTGTGGAAAAATTAGAAACACCAGCGGGGAAAGAAAGTCACCTCTGCTCCGGCCAGCATGGCTCAGTGCTTGAGCGGCGACCTATGAACCAGGAGGTCAGGGTTCGAGTCCCAGTCAGGGCTCATCCCTGGGTGGCGGGCTCCATCCCCACTGTGCAGAGTGCAGGAGGCAGCCCATCAATGAGTCCCTCTCATTGCTGAGGTTTCTATTTCTCCCCCCGTCTCTGAAATCAATAAAAAAAATATATATATATTTTTAAAAAGATTATGTTTCTGCCAAAACCGGTTTGGCTCAGTGGTAGAGCGTCGGTCTGCGGACTGAAAGGTCCCAGGTTCGATTCCGGTGGGGTTGGGGGGCATGTACTTTGGTTGCGGGCACATCCCCAGTAGGGGTGTGCAAGAGGCAGCTGGTCGATGTTTCTCTCTCATCGATGTTTCTAGCTCTCTATCTCTCTCCCTTCCTTTCTGTAAAAGTCAATAAAATATATTAAAAAAAAAAAAAAGATTGTTTCTGAAAAAAAAAACAACAAGTTGCCTGTGTTCTCCCACACCAACCTGTGGAATTCAGTGAAGGAGGCCGTCTGGACCTGGGCTGGGCCGAGGCTGGGGCTCAGGTGCCAGGGTGAGTGGGGTGGGGTGGTTGAGGACCAGCTGGGTGCACCTGGGACCTGGGCTGTGCAGGGGCCAGTGCCTGGGTCAGCAGGCAGGGTCTGGCTCTGCCTCCTGCTCTCGACATCTCTGCAGGAAACGGAAGATCAGAGTTGATTTCTTTATTTTTTCTTTTTTAAAATTTCTTTATTGATTAAGCCGTAGGGGTGTCGAACTCAATCAGAGATGGGGCCAAAATCTAAAATCCAGCCTAAATCGCGGGCCGAATGGTTTACTGAACAGTCATAAACTGTCATTGTGATGGAAACGCAGCGGAGTGCAGTGATGACAGCGCGGTGCGGGCCACATTGCAAGGCCTGGCGGGACGGATTTGGCCCGAGGGCCTTGTGTTTGACACATGTGGATTAAGGTATCACATATTTGTCCTCATCCCCCCCCCATTCCCATCCCAAACCCCTCCCCACTCATGCCCCCCCCCCCCAGTTGTCCGTGACCACTGGTTAGGCTCATATGTGTGCACACAAGTCCTTTGGTTGATCTCTCCCCACTACCCCCACCCTCCGCTACCTTCCCTCTGAGGTCCGACAGTCTGATCCATGCCTCCCCGTCTCTGGGTCTGTTCTTGTTCATCAGTCTGTGTTGTTCACCATTTCCCCCAGATGAGTGAGATCATGTCCTACAGAGTTGATTTTTATGTTATAAAAGCAGCGTCACCTCAGTGTAAAAAGGAGTTAGTTTATTTTTTATTATTTTTTTATTATTTTTTAAAAATATATTTTATTGATTTTTTTACAGAGAGGAGGAGAGAGGGATAGAGAGCCAGAAACATCGATGGGAGAGAAAGAAACATTGACCAACTGCCTCTTGCACACCCCTACTGGGGGCATGCCACAACCAATGTACATGCCCCTGACCTTTCAATCCGCAGACCAACGCTCTACCACTGAGCCAAACCGGTTTCGGCTATTTTTTTTATTTTTAAAAAAACACATTTTATTGAATTTTTACAGAGAGGAAGAGAGAAAGATAGAGAGTTAGAAACACTGATCAGCTGCCTCTTGCACACCCCCTACTGGGGATGTGCCCGCAACCAAGGTACATGCCCTTGACCGGAATCGAACCTGGGACCTTTCAGTCCGCGGGCCGATGCTTTATCCACTGAGCCACACCAGTTTCGGCAAGGAGTTGGTTTAATTAATCAGGAAGGAACTGAAGGTTTCCGTGAGAACTCTCTGGGCCAGGGAGGGAGAGTCGGACGCACAGGTCCGCTCTGGCTGGGGAGGACGCAGAGCAGGTGGGTGGCGAGGGGCTGAGGACCAGCTGCAGGGGGGCGGTGTGTGTGTGTGTGTGTGTGTGGCCTCGCCTGGAGCAGAGCTGTCTGCTGGACGCGTCTCTTCCTCCAGGGAATAACTGTTTGCTGTGTGGCTGTCTCCCTGGCCCCCGGTCCAGTCTCTCCAGGCGTGTCCTGGCCTCCCCAGGAGCCAGTCTGCCCCGGGCCTCGGTGATGGAGGGCCGGGGACCCCTGGGGACAGCCAGCCACTGCCCTGGGGGCCCTCAGGCCCGTCCATGGTACCTAGAGGTCTCTCCTTGGGTCGATTTTGAGGAATTTACGTCTCTTCCCTTGAACTGAGTCAATCCCGAAGTTGCTGCCGCGCTGGGTGGGCATCTGGCTTCCTTGTTCTTCCGGAAGCGTCAGGGGCCGAGGGCTCCCTGTCCAGGCACGCTGGGCCTCCTCCCGGTGCTCAGGGCCATTCTGAGCCCTCTCCGCCGGCCGGGCCAAGGGGCCGGAGGGGGCCAGCTCCGCCAGAGGAGGTGACCGGAAACCCAAGATGCAGCGACATAAATAGTCACTTGGCAGATGCTTCGGGTCTAAAAACAGAACGAAGGGGGGCCTGCCTGGAGGAGGCCGTGACCGGCCAGAGGACCAAAGGAGTGGTCCCCAACTTGAGTCGGGGCTGGTCAGGGAGAACCTGGGACCCACAGGTCCCCTCTGGCTGGGGAGGACATGAGGGCCAGGCTGAAGGCACTCAGCCGAGTGTCCCCAGACACAGTGCGTGCTGGCTGTGCACTCAGCTGTCTCCATGCACAGGCCTCCGGGAGCCCACCCTCCGGGCTGGCCCGGCTGTGCCCTCTCTAGGGATCCCCTCCGCCTGGGTGGAGAATGGCTGGATGACCACGCCGTCTCTGGCCCACAGGCAGTGTGAGCCGCTGGCCAGAGGAGGGCGGTGCGCCCTCCCCTGAACCCTGGCTGAGTTGGTAGGTGCCTTGGCCTTGGCACCGCGGGGAAGTGAGAACAGGCGAGGTCAGGAGCAGGCGAGGGCTGGCCACAGACACAGCAGGACACAGATACAGACGGAGGAGAAAGGGGATGGCCCTCTGTCCACCGCAGCCACAGCCCTGGGGCTGAGACGCAGAAGCAGGTCTGTGGTGCAGCAGTGACAGGGTGTCCCGGACACACCGATGAGGAAAAGAAGCAAATCGCCAAAGGACAGGAACACGGGAACATGCGGCCTCCTGCAGGAAGCCGGGGCTGGGGCTCTCACTGTCTGTGGCAGCTGCGTCTCTGCCATCTGGGTTTTAAAAAGAACTTGCAGCCAAAACCGGTTTGGCTCAGTGGATAGTGTCGGTCTGCAGACTGAAGGGTCCCAGGTTCGATTCTGGTGAAGGGCATGTACCTTGGTTGCGGGCACATCCCCAGTGGGGGGTGTGCAGGAGGCAGCTTGGTCAATGTTTCTCTCTCATCGATGTTTCTAACTCTCTTTCCCTCTCCCTTCCTCTCTGTAAAAAAATCAATAAAAAATATATTTTAAAAAAATAAAAAATAAATAAAAAGAACTTACAGTCATTCCCTTTGTTACAAATTGTGAAGATGCATTCAGGGTTGTCAAGTTCCCCCCTGGGGGGGATTGCGGGGGGGTGGGGGGGAGCGCCTGCACCATCATGGCCCTGAGCCCAGCGGGTGGGCAGCCCCAGCGTCCTCCTCTTCCCCGACAGTCTTCCCTCCGGTCCATTGTGTGATGTCTGTCTCCCTCTAGCGGGCGGCCTGGCCTCCTGGCTGGGGCTGGGTGGGGCGGACCATGTGGGTGAAGGAGGGAGAGGCCTAAAGCAGTGGTTGGCAAACTTCAGCTCATCAGCGCTCCGAGCTGCAGTTTGCTGCTCTGTTGACTAATGAGTTTGCCGGCCACTGGGATAGGGGCTTAATCACAAGGAACAACAACAGCCTGTAATGATTGGAATTGAGAATCTAGGTCAGTGGTCGGCAAACTCAGTCAACAGAGCCGCAAATCGTGGCTCCTGAGCCGCAGTTTGCCGACCACTGGCCTAAAGCATGCCTAACTGCTGGTAATAACACTCCCTCTCCCAGCAGGCGACCCTGGGCTCTGTCTCCTGCCATCCATGCTAGACTCAGGAAGGTGACTCCGCTGACCCCAGATCACACTCTGGGGGAGGTGGAGCCAGGAGCTAACCCAGGTTGTTTGAGTATTCCCCTCAAATGGGAGGCTCTCCTTCGCTAAGATCCCAGCCTCCCCGCTACCAGAGTCTTTCCCATCTACGAGTCAGCTCAAGCCCGTGTGAACAGCTGACTCTGCCCAAGGCCCATCTCTGTGTGTCCATCTATCATCCACCCTGCATCCATTGATCCATCCATTGATCCACCCACCCACCCAGCCACCCAGCCACCAACCCACCCACCCATCTATCCACCCATCCATTCATCCATCCATCCACCCATTCATCCATCCATCCACCTACCCGCCCACCCAGCCAGCCACCCACCAACCTATCTAGCCATCTATCCACCCACCCACCCATCTACCCACCCACCCATCCATCCATCCACCCACCCATCCATCCATCCACCCACCCATCTCTTCACTGATGTTTCCATGCATTTAGTCACTGGGTGCCTGCTGTGTGCTGGATGCTGAGGGCTCAGAGACAGATCTGGCTGGCTCTGCCTGCCAGAGCTCACGGCTGGGTGGGGGAACATTCAGACCTGCCCAAACCAGCCTAAAGGGAGAGGTGGCGGGCTTTCCATTCTGCTGGAGAGGCTGTTTGTTTGGGAGACAAAGGGCAGGTGAAACCTGGATGCAGTGACTGAGGAAACATGCTCTCAAGTGTCAGCTTCTTGGGCTGCCTTTTCTAACGCGCGCGCCCCCCCCCCCCCCCCCGCCCCTGTCCCCGCCCCTGTCCTCACCCCTGTCCCCACCCTACTCTACATCTCTCCTGGGTCCTTACCCCAACCCGGCAGACTCTGTATTTTTATATTTTTATTTGTTTGTTGGTGTCTGTTTCCCCACCTAGAACGGGAGATCCATGGGGCAGGCGCATTTGCCTGAGTTCATTGCCGTGGCCTGGTGCCTGGAACGGGGCACGGAGGAGGCATGCTGTGTCTGTGGCATGAGGGAGGGCCAAGGGGGAACCACACTGCTGTCCGGGGAGACGATGCAGCGGGGGCTGTGCAGGCGGATGGTGAAATGGATCTGAACATAAACTTTGGAGGTCTGACCACAGTAATGGGTGCCTCACTGGGTGCAGGGTGCAGGAGGCAGGGGGAAAGGCATTCCGGGCAATTTCTGGGTTCCTGACTCAGGTGCCGGGGGCGGGGGGTGGTGGTGGTGGTACTTACTACGTTAGAGGCTCTTGAGGAATCACGGGACGAAACAGCTCCCTGTCCTGTCAGTCAGACAACGTTCTTCAAGCTCCCTCATCACGCAAGGTACTGGCCTTCCAGGTGTGGCATCTGCACACGAACCTGAGTTCCCACTGTATTTGCCCTGCTCCTAACAGGACTGTCACCTCCTTCCTTCTAGAACCTCTGCTCCTATTCATGCAGTCTTTGCATTTGGCTGGCCACTTCCGGAGCTCGCCCTGAGTGGTCACAGATGCGAGGCAGGTCCTATCCTCATTTCGTGGATGCTGAAACGGAGGCGCAGAGCCGTCAGGGAGCTTGCCCCAGGTTTCAGAGCTGACGTGAGTGACAGGGGTGGGATCTGAGCGCAGGCAGCTTGGCTCCTAACCAGACAGAGCTGCTTCTCTCGAAAGCCCAGGACAGGCATCAGCACTGGCCTTGAACGGGCCACGTCCTGCCCTTTGCCCTCTGCCGTGGCAACTGCTACTGGGCACTCGTGTCCTCCCCTCAAAAACGGCTGGGCAGGCGCCAGCGAAGCTGCCCTCTGTCAGCTCAGCCTGTTCAGGGCTGGCCTACAAGTCCACCCCCGGGACACGTGGCCCTGCCCTGAGGGCCACCCTCCCCGGTCCGGCCAGGTGTCTGGTCAGGGGACACCCTGGACAAGTTCACGGCTCTCTGAGCCGTAGGGTCCTTGCGGGGCTGCAATGATTTCGAGCCACAAGCCAATGGGCTCTGCCTCCTAGTCTGGTCAGAGGCCAAGCTGACAGCCTCCGCCCTGGGCCCCACAGGCTTGGTCCCCTCGCTCAGCAAGCTCCGCTCAGCGCTGGGTCTGTGCTGGGGCCGGGGACTCAGAGCGGAGCCCGGGGGGCAGGGGCAGTGTGGGGCCAGGGCAGTGTGGAGCGGACAGCAGGCCGTGACTGGTGTCCGTGCTGCGCCCAGGGAGGGCTCTGGCCAGCCTTCCGGGTGCCAGGCGTCAGGGGCTCCCACCCCCAGCCCTCCACGCCTTGAGGACTGGGCTTGGGCCTGATTTGCCTCAGTGCAGCCTCCGCTCTCATAGTGTTTGTTGAATGAATAAGTGAGGAACTTAAAAAAAAATCCTTGCTTGGAAGATAGTTTTGCATTGATTTTTTAGAGAGAGAGAGTGGAAGGGAGGGGGAGAGACAGAGACAAACACTATTGTGAGGGAGACACATCGATTGGCTGTCTCCCACATGCACCTGACCAGAGCCGGAGCCTGCAACCGAGGTACGTGCCCTTGTCTAGAGTCGAACCTGGGACCCTTCAGTATGCAGGCTGATGCTCTAGCCACTGAGCCAAACCAGCCTGGGCAAGTGAGGGAGCTTTGTGGGTTTCCTGAGCAGGAATCACTGCAGGGGAGTCGGGGAGGCCCAAGACACCGATGAACTGGGGCTGGAGGGGCAGGGACATCCAGCCCCGCCACGGACCTCCCCGGAGGTGTCAGAATGTGGTCTGGGGCCAGGCCTGCAGGTGCGGACAGTGGTCTCTGCTGCCCACAGCTGGGTCCTGAGGGCACTGGGACAAGGGGCATCGGGGGGTGGGGTGGGCGGGAATCCAGGTGGGCATCGACCTGCCTGCTTCCCAGCACAACCTCTGCCTTCTGGGCCACAGGTCAGCAGCTTCTGCTTCCTGTCCCCGCCCCCGCCCCTCGCCCCCCGCCCCCCGCAGGTATTTAAGGTCTGAGAGGACCTGACCGGGTGTTGTTGGTGACATCAGACGGCTCCCAGGAGGGAGACCCACGTCTCCATGGATTTTGTTGCTGGAGCCATCGGAGGTACCGGACAGGGCAGCAGGGCCTTGTAGGGGGCTGTGGCTCCTGGGGGTACCCGGAGGGGCTGGGGGTTGCTCCGTCCTAGGGGGGCCTCTGGAAGACATGGGGTTTGAGGAGTCACCCCAGACGTGGCTGGGACCTGGTTTGAGCATGGGTGCTGGGGGATAGGAGGACAGAGCTGGTTCCTGGGAGACTCCAGCGGCAACACAGGCCAGGGTGCAGGTGGGGGGGGCGGTGAGTCTGCACTGGCCTGGGGGGCCCAGCTGGGGAGGCTGAGGGGCAGTTCTGGGGGGCCCTCAGGGACTGAGGGTGGTCTTTGCCTGGGCCAAGAGGAGGCTGGGGGTGACCAGCACAGAGGACTGGTGGAGCCGGGAAAGGACCAGAGGCTCCGGGAGAGGTGGACAGTGAGGACGATGCTGCCTGGACGCTGTGGGCGGAGGAGGGAGGGCCCGTCCCGCCCCCGCCCCGCCGTGTGCAGCTGTTTTTATTTCTGGGGAAAGGGCTCATTGCGAAAGACAGACCCGACGGGTCACCGGCTCGTTGGGAAACAGGCTCATGGGCTCCGCATCCTCCCAGCACCCACCTTGCAGGCGGTGGAGGCCGTTTTGGCCCAGGCACCCTGGGCCTTGCTTATCGTGTGAAACAGCAGCGGCTCCTGTCCATGCTTCTGGGAACGGTGTGGAGGGGAGGGGAGCAGCGCCAAGCCAGTAGACCAGGGGCTTGCTGAGGTCCTACTGTGTGCAGGGACTGAGGCCAGCCGCTGCCCCGGGCATCAGCCCCCTCAGGAGGAGGCTCAGAGCACACAGCCAGGAAGGGGTCATGGACGTCACATGTTACCTCCAGAGTCCACGGAGGCTCTGTGCTGGGTCCTGGGTCACAAGGAACAGAGGTGGGCCCTGACCTAGACTCCAGTTCTGGAGGCAGAGCTGGCACGCAGTGGGACAGCAGCAAAGCCCTGCCAGCGGCTCTGATCAACAGGCCTCTGGCGACAGAGGCGGCCCCGAGCTCAGGGATGAGGGAGTGTCCTGGAGAGGAGGTGATGCTGTGGCAGGGCTTTGATGGATGCACAGGAGTTTGCTGAAGTTTATGTGAGTGTCAAGGAGGGTAATCCTTTTCAAGTCAGTCAGTCTCTTACTTCATTTCATTCATTCATTCATTCATTCATTCACCCTATTCTTTCGTTCATGCATGTTTATCGAGTCCTGGGATGCAGAGTAAATAGAACCCAGCCCCCACACGCATTACTGCCCTCACCTGGCCCTCGCCACCCATCCCCAGGGACCTGTGTGCTCACTCTCCGGCTTCTCCATGGCAGGGCTGGGGCCTGGACACTGAGTCGCTGGTGTCAGGAGACGGGACAGAAACAGGATGGTGGCACGGGCCCTCTCTGCAGGGGAGAGGGCCCGAGTCCAGGAGCCTCACGCCCACTCGGTGCCACACAAGCCCAGGGGCATGAGGCTCTCCCACCCCAGACAAACCCGTCACGCCTGAGGCTCCAGGGCCAGCGCCGCCCTGCCTGGGGACTGGCCCAGCCAGTGTCAGACCAAACGTGCTCCCAACACATGGCCCAGAGGCAGGGCCAGGAGTGTCCTGGGGCCCAGACTCAGGGAAGGAGACGTAGCCAGCAGCTGGTTGGGAGTCTCCTCCACTCTCGGAGCCTCCGCTGCCTCGTTTGCAGACGGGGTGGCTGGCTCTCCCGTCGACGAGACACTGGACGAGGAGGGTCTGCTCCTGCTGTCCTCATCGAGCTCTGGTTTCCTTCCAGGCGTCTGCGGTGTTGCTGTGGGATACCCCCTGGACACGGTGAAGGTGTGTGCGATAGGCCCTGCCCCTGCTCCTCCCGGCCCCCCCCCCCCCCCGCCCCTGCCTGATTGCCCTGCGAGCCTCCTCCACCTGACAGGGACAGCCTGACCCTCTTCTCCGGCCTCTGCCTCTGCTATCTCCCCTCATACGGGGCTCACTGTCCCTGCTCTGCTGCCGACAGTGTGGCCGTGACACCCAAGGAGTTGGCCCTTCCCCTCCCCCAGGCCTGCTGACCTTGCCCTGACCTTGGCCCCATCGTGAAGCCTGACTCTCCCACAGGTCAAGATCCAGACGGAGCCCAAGTACACAGGCATCTGGCACTGCGTCCGGGACACGTACCTGCGCGAGCGGGTAGGCCTGGGGCCGGGGTGACAGGCAGCCGGTCACCCGCCACTCACCTCTCTCTCTCCGAGCCTCGGTTCTCTCACTTCCAAAGGGGAGTAATTACACTCACCTGGGGGCTCCTCTGAGGCCAGGGCTGGGTGTCCGGCGTGCAGGAGGTGTTTACAATGAGGTCCTCCCTCCAGGAGAAGGTCTAGAGGGGGTGCCTGGGATCTGTAACGGTGTGGGGCACCCATGTGTTGGCACTTCTGTCCCCTTCAGGGTGGAGTCAGGTCCCCAGGGTCCAGGTCAGAGAGCTGTCCAGAGGGGGGACAGGGACATTTACCAAAGTGAAGTTGGGGCTCGGTGCTAGCCAGGGAGGGGCCAAAGGAAAACAGCAACAAGGAAGCATGCCAGGTCCCCAGCTCCCCCATCAAGTAGCTGCCCTGGGTCCAGCCTGGCCCTCTGTCTCTTCATCACAACCTCTCAAGTTGAGACTATGACCCCCATTCTACAGCCCAGGGTACTGAGGCCTGGGCAGTGACTCGCCTGAAGTCCCCTGGCCAGGAAGGGCCTGCAGGGGCGAGACCAGGGCATCCTCCTGGCTGACCTCTGGGCTGACTTGGGCCCTTGGGTCCCGTCCCTCTGCCCACCAGGTGAGGGGCTTCTACAGGGGCCTCTTGCTGCCCATAAGCACGGTGTCCCTGGTCTCGTCGCTGTCTTTCGGCACCTACCACCAGTGCCTCACCCGCATCTGCCGGTTCCGGTATGGCAGCGCCGACGCCAAGCCCGCCAGGACCGACATCACACTCTCGGGCTTCGCCTCCGGCCTCGTCCGTGTGAGTGGGGTCCCGGGGCCCTGGGGGCGGGGAGGGCCTGAGAAGTCCCCGGAGCCCAGAAGGCAGGGAAACGGGAGCTCAGGGAGGGCGTAGGCCAGATGGAGGCTGGGGGCCAAGGGTGAGTACCCAGCCGAGCCTCATTAGCTGAGGGAGCCCGAGGACTCCAGGGAGCCTTCCTGAACTTCTGACTCTTCATCGGTAAGAGGCCTCTGGATGAGAGGATTAAGGGAGGTCATATGTAAAGCCCCTCACCCGAAGTCTGACAGGTCTGAGCACCCGTGAAATGCAAACATTGTCAGCAATGTCATGTTACCTATGAATGTTACTAAATACTTGGTTTTATTATTCTTATATTAAACACATTAAATAAATAATAGGTAATATGTCATTGACATACTAATTATGTGATTAAATAAAGGTGACCAGATCGTCCCACTTTTGGCGGAACAGTCCCGATTTTTAACAATCTTTCCAATCTTTCCAAAAATCGGGACTTTTTTAAAACGCCGTGGGACTCGGAAAAATTGTTAAAGATCGGGACTGTCCCGCCAAAAGCAGGACGATCTGGTCACCTTAGATGAAATGCTTTCAGGAATTGGAGTCACAGCCCCTTACCTGACACCGACTGGGTGTGGAGTCCGCTCTGTGCCAGGGCGAGCGTGTCGCTGGGAAGGGGCTGGCTGTGGACGCCGCTCCCCCAGGGCCTTGGGCCAGCCTGAATCCTCATGGGGCGCAGACTCCCCCGTGTCACTGTGGCTGACGGGAGGCCGGGGCCAGGGTGTGGGCAGTGCTGGCACCTCCTGATTGCTGCGTCTGCTCCAGGTGTTCCTGACCTCGCCTACCGAGGTGGCCAAGGTCCGCCTGCAGACGCAGAAACAGACGCAGAAACAGACGCAGACCCAGACGCAGCTGCAGCAGAGGCGGCGGTCCTCGGCCTCGTGGCCCTCGGCGGTGCCCCCGGTGTGCCCCGCCCCTCCTGCCAGTCAGGTGCCCGGGCCCAAGTACCGGGGGCCGCTGCACTGCCTGGCCACGGTGGCCCGGGAGGAGGGGCTGCGGGGCCTGTACAAGGGCAGCTCGGCCCTGCTCTTGCGGGAGGGCCACTCCTTCGCCACCTACTTCCTCTCCTACTCCATCCTCAGCGAGTGGCTCACCCCTGCCGGCCACAGCCAGCCAGGTGAGTGGGATTGGGCCTGGAGGGGCGCAGGCTCAGCCTACGGGAGCTGAGTCGGGTGGCACGCTGCCACCCCAGGGCCTCCAGGGCGGGAACCTCAGTGCTCTCGACTCTGCGGTCAGGACAGACGGCCTCTGTGGGGTCTGGGACAAGTCACACTGGTGGAATGAGCCCAGGGTTTCGGGAGGGCTGGTCCTGCCCTGGGAGCCTCCGGGGCCTCAGTCCGCCTCCGATCAAGGTGCTCCCTCGTGGGTCTCCCCGTAGATGTCTCGGGCGTGCTGCTGGCCGGTGGCTGCGCGGGGGTCCTGGCCTGGGCCGTGGCCACCCCCATGGACGTGATCAAGACTCGCCTGCAGGTGGACGGGCAGGGCCAGCAGCGCTACCGGGGCCTCCTGCACTGCGTGGTGACCAGCGTGCGGGAGGAGGGGCCGCGGGTCCTCTTCAAGGGGCTGACGCTCAACTGCTGCCGCGCCTTCCCCGTCAACATGGTGGTCTTCGTGTCCTACGAGGCCGCGCTGCGGCTCAGCCGGGGCCTGCTCAAGTAGCCGTCCCCCCGCCGAGGGCCAGAGGAGCTGGAGGAGGCCCAGGGGAGTGTCCCCACCGGGTGGCCACCCAGGACAGCGGGGAGCCGCCCCGAAGACAGGCAGCTGGGGCTTGGGCGTGGTCCGCCAGCTACAGCGCAGAGAAGGTCAAAGCCACCTGCTACCAGCAGGGTTGGCCTGAGCGTCACAGGAGCAGGAAGGAGCGGCCTCTTGGGTGAAGATACTGTCATGTGGAGTCCTGGGCGCAGGTGGTCAGGTGTTCATGCCAACCTCCCCCACCCCGTGTCTTCAGAGCACCCCGTGTCTGCACCACCACTTACTCAGCTGTCCTCTGGGCCACCACCCAGCCCCTTGCTATTTAGGGTACCCAAGGCCCTTAGATGCAGCTCACCCAGGCTCCCCCCTTCCCCCCCTACTGCAGAGGCCCGGCCGGCGGCCTGGTGAGCTGGTGTGAGGGCAGGTGGCGCCCCCTCCCTCTGCCCGTAGACCTGGAGGGGATCGTTGCCAATTAAACGTTTCTGAGGATGCTCAGTGGTGCTCTGTGGTTTGGTGACCCGTGTCTCCGCCTTCGATTCATCTTGGGGCCAAGCTCCCAGGCCTGTGTGGCCAGCGCTCCCACCAGGCGAATGGGCAGCGAGGCCCAGCCCAGTCCCCCAAGGGCCCCAGTCCCGAAGGCCCTCAGCCCTGCCACAGCCGGCTGTTCAGCATTCGGCATGACACCTGCTCTCCTGGCCGCCCTGTCTCAAATCTATCGCCTTTCTGAAGAAAACCGGGTTCCAGCCAGCGCCAGCCAGCTGCCTGGCCCCACTGGGCCTGGGCACTAGGCTGGGTGCCACCTTCCCATGGGGGTCTGTCTCCTGAACACTGCTGGGTGCCAGGCACCTCACACAGCTTATCAAACAGCCTGATGCCAGGTGAGGAAACACCCGAGGGAGCCGGAGCTGCTCAAGGCCACACAGCAGGGAGGGTGGGGGACTCCGGAGGCCCCGCATGCCCTCCAGTAATGGGGCCACCAGGGGCAGGGCTGGCCGGTGCCGACCAACCTGTGGGGTCCACCCTGCAGCAGTCTCCGGTGAAGTCAGCCAACACCGTCCTGGACACCGGCCTTGACCATGGCCTTGGACAGAGAACTTCCAGGGCTCCTGCCGGGCCTGTCCTATTACCAGATCATGTAGGTGGACCGTCCTGTCCTGGCCTGTGCGTCATCCTGACCAAGTGTTTGCTCACATCTGTACTCAGTGCAGGACGCCCTTCCCCCTCCTCTGCCTGGCTAACTCCCCGTCTCAGATACCACTTCCTCCAGGAAGCCCTCCCTGCCTGATCACCAGGCTGCTTTTCAGTGTCTCTTGCTCGGCTTCCCATTAACTGCCGAGTCAGGATGCACTTGAAGTGTCAAAGGGGAGAGGCAAGGTGGTCACTCAGGGCCCCTCAGCCCTGACCTGGCCCCTGGAGGGGTGGCCGGCATAACTCAGTCACTGGGGAGAGCTGGCCCGCCCGAGGCTGTGCCGGGAGCCCAATCTCACTCTGGCGCGCTGTCCTGGACCTGTGCTCCCTCTGGCCGCGGGCCACCGTCCCCTCCCTCAGCTGTCCACTGCGGGCAGGAGGCTCCCTGTGCTGTCCGGTCTCCCCACCACCCGGGACCGAGACGCATGGAGGTCTGACCAGGGGACGCCGGCAGTCAGAGCTCCCCTGGAACAGTCTTTGCCCACCAGGGGCCAGGACCACCGTCACCCAGAAACCTGCTGGGCTGGCCATCACGTCCAGCCTGATTCTGGGTCTCTTGGGGAACTTTAAGAACACACAGGCTTTAGCAAAAGGAAGAGTCGGGACAGGCCTGCTTTGTAACAAACTCCGTGTGTGACCTTGGACAAACCACATTCCCCTCGTCTATGCCTCCATTTTGCCACTCACAGAATTGTTGGGGGCACCTCTCACCAGAGGTGTTACCAGACAGAGTCCATGGGAGGGGCTGTCCCCAACCTCGATGCTTGAGCCAATCTATTAAAGTAGGGGTGTCGAACTCAATCAGAGAAGGGGCCAAAATCTAAAATCCAGCCTAAATCACGGGCCGAATGGTTTACTGAACAGTCATAAACTGTCATTGTGATGGAAACGCAGTGGAGTGCAGTGATGACAGTGCGGTGCGGGCCACATTGCAAGGCCTGGCGGGACGGATTGGCCCGCGGGCCTTGTGTTTGACACATGTGTATTAAAGCAATGAACGCATGCACCTGCATTAAAGAAGCAAGCCCATATACAGCTGGCTTATGAAGCACAGGTGAGCTCCCAGCTAATCTGAAGACCAGGTTGGGTGGGGGTCCGAGGTGTTATACACCCTCCCACCTGTAGGTGTCAGAATTCCTTTGCTGACTATTTGGTAGATTAATTCTCAAGGTCCCTTCCCAGAATCCATGACAAGCACCTGGCAACTTTGTCTCGCAGAGCCTTGCTGACTTTTCTGCTTAGGGAGTAAAGCTGCCCCTTTCACATCTCCTCTTCCCCCTCCTTTCCTGCATTCTCTCATGAGGGAGGCTTTTAACCATTTGCTCTCAAGTGTCCTTGGCTGAGGGAGAAAATGGCTTTCGTTAACCAGCTGGCTGCCAATAGTTTTGCCTTGCTTTAACCTGCCTGTCTCAGTTTCCCTATTCCACCTGCCTTATGATTTCCCTAGCTCCTACTGCTCTGTAACAAAATGAAGATGGTGGGCGGAGTGAGCCCAGATTGGCAGGTAGACTGGCACCTGTCACTACCCAGCCCTACCTTGGACCACCCCATGCAAAAAACGAGGACCTCTGCTTGCACTCTCCACCGAAGTGGTGAGAATCCAGACCAGGACTGCTAAGGGGAGACCGGTGGACGGGCTGCTGGTCTCAGGGCCTCGGGGCTTCCTGCACTGTGGGCCTCCCTTTCTACTCTCACTGTGACCCCCAGCAGGCTCAAGGGCCATCCGAGGAGGGGCTGCGGCTCGGTGGCAGGTGCAGCACACCCAGGGGCCGGAAGCCAGGCCTCTGACCTGCTCAAACTCCACACAACACAGCCACACATGTGGGACCAGAGGAAATTTATTTAGGCCAACAAGCGACATGAGGGTAGAGCATTCAGGAGTGGACCCTGCAGCCCACGGCGGGCTTTCCAGACTACACAGGGCACAAGACTGAACGGCTCTCTCGGGGCCTGGGGGCACCGCCCAGGACACCGGCAGGGTGCAGAGCCTGTCCCCAGGGCTGGCTGGTAGATAGAAGCATGTGGGAGGCTCAGAGGAGGGCAGAGACTGCAGAGAACACGTGGGGCTGGAGTTCACGTGTGGGAAGTTTCTCCACAGACTCAACTAATAAAAGTGGCCTCTTCGGGCGACATTCTGTGCGAAAAGCAGCTTTCAAGCTGGGAGACCTCTCCATCAAATGCACAGCTAGCAATTCCTTTTGTTTTGGGGGATGGGCTGTGCCCTTTACACTTCCTGAAATGTACATGCAGACTGCAGGCTCCCTGACCAGCGGCCTTGAGGGTCTACGTGGCACCGAAGGGCGCTGCCGGTGCAGGGCTCCCAGGGCGGCGCAGGCTGGCTCTGGGCGGGCGGGGTGCCTGTGGGAGAGCCAGCGGGACTCCTGTCTGCCCAGCCCCGGCTCCCATGCGCAGGCAGCACACAGGGCTTGGCCCCTGACGGGAAGGATGGCCTGGGGAGAAGCAGTACTGACGGACAGGGTTACGGACACCAGGACCAGGAAGCTGTGACAGCCTACGTGGAGCAGTAATTGGACTGGGCTGGGGTTCAGGGTGAACTATGGCTGGTTATGTACAGATATAAAATGGGCGTTACTGAAAGTCGTAGAACAGCTTCCGGGGGGTCATGAACTCTTTGACGATCTCGTCTGTGACCTCCTTGCGCCGGGCCTGGTGCTCCGCGATCAGCGGCTGCAGGACATCCACGAGCTCCTTCTTGAGCTCCCCGGTGAGCATGGCTCCGCTGGTGTAATCCTGCGGGGAGACACCGTGAGCACGACCCGCCCTGGGCCTCGCTCAGCACAAAACCCTGTCTCTCTGAGCGTGAGCGCTCCTGCCCCTCACAGCGGAGGGCCGAGGGGAGGCCTCACTGCCCTGCACTGCAGCCCAACTCCAAGCCCTACTGGCTTCTGTCAGGTCTTCGCCGAGTTTCTGACCCAAGCCCCAGAGCAAGGCCAGTGCCTCAAGGGCAGTGCCATGGCTAACGTTCGGCATCGCTTAGGTTTTTTGTGGTGCACTGACCTCACTGCGTGTGCACTGACCTCACTGCGTGTGCACTGACCACGCTGCGTGTGCACTGACCATACTGCGTGTGGACTGACCTCACTGCATGTGCACTGACCATGCTGCGTGTGGACTGACCTCACTGCGTGTGCACTGACCATACTGCATGTGGACTGACCACGCTGCGTTGTGCACTGACCATACTGCGTGTGGACTGACCTCACTGCATGTGCACTGACCATGCTGCGTGTGCACTGACCTCACTGCGTGTGCACTGACCATACTGCGTGTGGACTGACCATACTGCATGTGGACTGACCTCACTGCGTGTGCACTGACCATACTGCGTGTGGACTGACCATACTGCATGTGGACTGACCACGCTGCGTTGTGCACTGACCATACTGCGTGTGGACTGACCTCACTGCATGTGCACTGACCATGCTGCGTGTGCACTGACCTCACTGCGTGTGCACTGACCATACTGCGTGTGGACTGACCATACTGCGTGTGGACTGACCATACTGCGTGTGGACTGACCTCGCTGCGTGTGCACTGACCATACTGCGTGTGGACTGACCTCACTGCGTGTGCACTGACCATGCTGCGTGTGGACTGACCTCACTGCGTGTGCACTGACCACGCTGCGTGTGGAATGACCTCACTGCGTGTGCACTGACCACGCTGCGTGTGCACTGACCTCACTGCGTGTGCACTGACCACGCTGCGTGTGCACTGACCTCACTGCATGTGCACTGACCACGCTGCATGTGGACTGACCTCACTGCGTGTCACTGCGTGTGCACTGACCTAACTGCGTGTGCACTGACCACGCTGCGTGTGCACTGACCTCGCTGCGTGTGCACTGACCACGCTGCGTGTGCACTGACCATGCTGCGTGTGGACTGACCTCATGCGTGTGCACTGACCACGCTGCGTGTGCACTGACCTCACTGCGTGTGCACTGATCTCACTGTGTGTCTGCCTGCAGCACCCACCCTGGGACACTTCCTGGGTGACCTGCCTCTGCTGTGTGGCCGGTCCTGAACTTGCGCTGCTACCATTTGGAACGCTGTTACATGAGGAGCCCTTACTCAAGCAGGGTGCTTCCCGGAAAAGTTCCTGAGAGCTGGAAAGCCGAGCACAGCTGTGGATACTCTTGGGGTTTTCCATGCCCGTGGCCAAGCCGCTGCCGGACACGCTGGGCGGGGGAGCCTGGCAGCACCTGGCTTACAAGCGTTGCAAATGAATCAGCAACACCAAACCCTGCCAGGTCGGAGGGGACCTGTTTTAACTTGGATGGCGCCTTAACTGACTCTGTCTCACAGCGGACTCAGCCCTTTTGTGTGGCTACCAAGTAAACAGCAGCCTGCAGTCTCTCTCTTGTGAATATCTGTTCATAAGGTTTCCTGGCTACAAACCAGTCCACCTCCTCCGTTCACTCTCGGGCTCAGGCCCCGAGGAAACGCCGACTGCCCCCGGCTGGCTGCCGAGCCCTCCAGCTTCCGAGGGAGCGAGCTGGGCTGTGGGGCCGGGCCGGTCTTACCTTCCGGATCTGCTCCAGCTTGTCGTCATCCTCCAGGAAAAAGGTCAGGTACATGAAGGACACGTCCACGTCGCAGTTGCCCCCAAACTGCCTGTGCTCCTCGACGGTGTCCCTCCCTCCAGAAAACGCGTGCTTGTTGACCTGCCAGCAAGAGACACACAGGGCTGGGGTTCTGGCCGCCCTGCGGAAGCCCAAGGGCTGGGGCTGGAGCCAGCGACGCTTCTGCCACAGGGAGGCTGGTGGGAGGAGCCCCACACGCAGACTCAGTGGGCTCACTGCAGGGAAGGGGCAGAGATGGGTTCACTTTGCACACCCCATTCCCCATGGACAAGAACAGAGTCAGGAGAGCTGAAATTTGTGGCAAATGTCCTAAGTGTTCTCAGGTGATGAGCTTTGGAAAGAAGACAAACACAAACCCTCTTCAGAGAGACAGATGAGCAGGGAGGGGCGCTGCCCGGGGCAGGTGGTGCGTCACTGGTGAACAGGATAGCACCCCAGCCTGGCGGCTGCCCTCCTCACTATGAGAGAGGACGGGAGAGAGGCACAGAGGGCCCAGGAGGGAAAGCCGACCCTGGATGGTATGGAGGTGGAGGACCTGCAGATAAGACGCACCCAACACTGGCACTTTCAGGAGCAGATGACAGACTCACAAGCTAACAAATGCCTTTCAAGACTCACTGAGGCCAATCTCAGAGAAATAAGGGCCAGGGTGAGAGGAGAAAAGCTGGATCGGGTAGACAAAGTTCCTCAGTGTTCTTTCAACGAGGATTTGAGAAGCCGGCTATGAACAAAGGGGAGTGGGGTGGGTAGAGTCGGTAAACTCCAAGTGGAGGTGTCCAGTAGGTCTCCCCAGAGGCCCCAGGACAGGCCACTACTGGGTGCTCTGGGACTGTCCAGAAGCTCAGAGAATGCCGGGCACGGGGAGGTCAGTGAAACCCATCCTCTCCAGGAGAAACCAGCCCCCTTCTGAGAAGAGCCGTATGCCCATGAGCTGCATTCTGCTCGGGAGAGGAGGAAACGGGGAAGCTGCCGCATGCTCAGTAGGCCTGCACAAAGGGGAGCGGGGAGAGGTGGGGGCTGGTGGGCAGGCCACCTTCACTTCCTTGACAAAAAGGAGCAAGTCATAAAATAAAATCAATGTACTCAAACGCAGAAACTATGGGAAATACAAAAGAAACAGGAAGAAGAGAAAAGCACTACGTATTGGGCTCTCCTGAGATGCACACCTCAGGCAGGGGCACTGTCTGCTGGAGCCTCTGGTCGTGTGGAGGCCCCTGCCCGCAGGCACCTTCCCGGCACAGACCCCCAGGCCAGGCCAGGCCAGCGCTGGGCCGCAGGGAAGAGGAGAGGTGGCAGGAAGCCTGGAGGACAGTCTCCTAGGCTTTGAGGGGAGGGAGCCACGGCCCTGGGGCAGTTCCCTGCCCTTGTCTGAGGAGGACGAGGAGATGCGCGTCTGCTGCCGTCTCCCACGGGGCACAGACACCCCCTGCCACTGGCCAGGCCCTCACCCACTGGCGGCACACGGAACCCCCAATGACTGTGGTCTCACTTTCTCCACGTGACAGTGAGGACATGAGGCCAAGGGCCCGGGCCTGTTGGAGCGGCACTGCATGGGGAGCAAGTGGACTCCTCCTGGGACACCAGGCTGCCGAGTGGCTTACGTGGCCCAGCGATGCTGGGCCTGCCTTTCAGGGGTCCAACAGAAAGATAGGTTTGGGCCATGGTGGAGCCAGTCGGTGGGGACTGAAAAGACACCGCCAGGATCCAAAACGATTCCATGTAACAGGAAACTGCAACAGGAAGGCTGTCTGGGCTGAGGGCGGGACCACCAAGAGACAGCGAGCTCCTGCTGCTCCAACCTAACGGGAAGGTCAAGTTGGCCTTAGGAGCCCGGAGACCAGGGCGGGGATGGGCCACTGGTTGGACAGGATCCACACGACAGCCCCCGGGAGGCACAGTGTGGCCCACCCGACAGAGGAGCTGCTCAACTTTCTGAGCCAAAAGCTTAAATCTGGGCTGCACTCGGCAGTTCATAAACGCGTTTTATGTGGGATCTCATGTAAGCCCTGCCTGCCTGTGAAGGGGACAACTGGCCCTCGTCACAATGACACCCCGACAGCCACGGCCTCTCTCCCACAGCAGGTAAGTGGCAGCCAGACAGCGGTGGCCTGGGTGAGTCCTGGCCCTCTGCTTCCCCTGGGGTGAAGGCAGGGCAGCTGCCACCCTGAGCCTTGATTTCTTCGCCTACAGGACAGACACAGCCTCCTGGGGGACAGGAGAGCTCCATGAAGTCCATGGGTACGTGCAGGCAGGCAGCACACCCCTGCAGGCTCACACAGCCACTGCTGCGATCCTGAGCAGGGCAGATGCCCTCTCTCGGCCGAGGAGGAGTTGAAGACGGGCATGGAGACTGAGCGCAGAGGCCTGGCCTCCCCGTCCCACAGCCACAGCGGCGTGACCCTGGTGGCCTCTGCAGCCCTGTGGCTCCTGACCTCACACTCACCACTCGCCTTCCTCTGAGTCTTTGCAGGTCTCTAAGCCAATGAAAAACGCCCCAGAGCCAAAGTGACTGACTTCAAACAACACCTCAAAAACAATACAAAATGCCTCGCTGGCAGGACCAGGAGTCCCTCCTCCAACCCCCCCCCCCCCCCCCACACACTGGAAGTTTCCGCCAGAAGCGAAAGGGAAAGAAACAGCTGTTCACAGTATCGAGGGTTTCCCTGTTGTCCACCAGGAACTGCTGGGACTTTCCAGAAGGGTTAGGGCCCGGCAGTGACTCAGACAGCTGCATTATGTGCTTCAAACACCTATTCCGCCCCTCCCACTGTAAACGTCCAACCCGCAGACCCACATTGGTTCCCAATGAAACGGCAACGGCTTTGCAGGGTGGTGAGGGGACTGCCATATCTGCAGGTCAGCACCCAGCACCAGAAGCGAGGCCTGAAAACACGGAAGCTCAACCAACTCCTCGTTCACGTTTCCCTGGCGGCTCGAGAGCCCGCTGCCTGCCGGCAGGGCAGGGCTGGCCCACACCTACCAGTTCTGGGGCTCAGCGAGCACCCCGGGAGGAAACAGCCCCTCCGCCCCCGCGGGTGGAGCTGCTCATGGCCAGCAGACGGCTGGTTTCCAGCGGAAACACGGCTCTGGGCCTCATCCTTCTCACCTTTAAAAGGAACACACCGCTCGCCCAGGGAGAAGTAACACAAGGAAGCATGAACAAAGCGCCTGGCCTGGCTCCGCAATACAGCTCGTGCTCAGAATAGAATTTTCTCTAGTGCCTGTGCGACTTAAAAAAAAACTGCTGTGACTTTGCTTCCAGAACACAGTGCTGATAAGAAAAGGGGAAAAAATACAAAGTCTTTCCTCAGTGAGAGGACATCAAGTAGATTCCCCTGCTATCTGGGAACAGGCACAGGAGGCCGAGAGTCAGCCGGGGGACAGTTTTCAGTCCAGGGTTTCAGCAGCCCCGGGGCAGCGGATGCCGAAAGGCCAGAGCACGGGTGTGGGCGTGTGTGCGCCTGAGCACATGCTTCTGTGGGCACAGGTGGCCCTCCGCCCCGGCAGTGCTCACCTTGTTCTTGATCTGCTTCGCAGTGTCTATGAGGAAGATGGAGGAGTTGGGGTCGCTGGCACTCATTTTGGTCTGGGCCCCCTGCAGGGCGGGGAAGAAGGTGGAGTGCAGCAGGGCTGGCTTAGGATAGCCGATCCTGGGGGCGACGTCTCTCGTCATCCTGAAGTAAGGATCCTAGAGAGAGGGGCCTTGTGAGGAAGGCTGGAAGTAACTGGGCCAGCTTTTAGGCCATCAGCGTCACCTGACAGGCCTCCACTGCAACCCCAGCCAGTTCACAGAGCCGATCCCCCAGCCCCCACCCCAAGCCGCCTTCCCACAGGTGAGGGCCCAGACCTGATCCCTGCTGCCTCCTGACCTGGTCGATGGCACAGGGGATGAGGCACTGGACGTCTGTCTTGTCCCCAAAGATCTGCGGGAACGAGTTGCTGAAGGAGGGAGCAGCTTGGATGGCAGGAAAGCTGATCTTCCCTGGGAGCGAGGACAGAGAACCTTACACACAGCAGCTCCTGTCTGGCTGGTTACCCCGGGGGAAAGGGAGGAGCAGAAACAGGCTTTCTTCCCATTAGAAAATAATCACCATGAAAGAAAAGCGGAAAACTCCAGGAAAATAAAAGAAAACTTATAAATCTCAATTTATGTCTCCTTTCATCTGTTTTCTCTATTTCTACTTATTTCAGTTGTGATTATACTATTTTTCCCCTTGCCCTCTTCACTGTGTAGTGTTTACCCAGGTTGTTGTTAAATATGTTCTACCCTATAAATGGATCCTCCACATTTAACCATTCTTTGCCCACTGGGCATTCAGACCATTCCTCATTGTTTAATTATTACCAATTATGCTCTCTTGATACAGAACGGTTTTCAATGTTGTGTTAACAAAGCCACTGTCATCTGCTGAGACCTGCAGCGGGGGAACTTCTGGGACAAAGGTTGTGGACCTCGGGGTCACCCCTGACAAGTGGCACCCAGCCCGCCCGCCCAGCGGCAGCACTCGGTCCTCAGGGCGCTCCCAGGTGCACGCCGTGCGCGGACCCAGGAACTCCCAAGCTGCCTGTACCCCTCCCACTTTCTTCCAAGCCTCACATGGGGGGCTGAGGAGAGGGGCGCACTGGCATCCTGGGTACGGCTCCACATGCCCAGGACAGAGGCCAAGGGCATCACACTGCCTCCTTACGTTCTGGTTTATTATTTAAAGAGACAAAGTGCAGCCGAAACCGGTTTGGCTCAGTGGATAGAGCGTCGGCCTGCGGACTGAAGGGTCCTGGGTTCGATTCCGGTCAAGGGCATGTACCTTGGTTGCGGGCACATCCCCAGTTGGGGGTGTGCAGGAGGCAGCTGATCAATGTCTCTCTCTCATTGATGTTTCTAACTCTCTATCTTTCTCCCTTCCTCTCCGTAAAAAATCAATAAAATATATTAAAAAAAAAAAAAAAAAAAAAAAGAGAGAGAGAGAGAGAGAGAGAGACAAAGTGCATATGCCACCGTCAGAGAGAGAGAGAGAGAGAGAGACAAAGTGCATATGCCACCGTCTCAGCGACAGCTCAGCTCTGGGCCACTGCTCACTTCTGATGGGCTGGGGCCGGGCGCAGGCAGCAGCGGCTCCTTACCGATAGAGTCACTGTCCGTGAAGCCAAAAATGCCTTTCACTTGGTTGAAGGTCACGTGCTTCTGAATCTTCACCACGTTCCTGTAGAAGCCTGGGCTCATCCTGCAAACAATTAGGATCAGACACAGGTCCGATACGCCTGCCCGCTGAGCCCCTTCCTTTCCTCACAGCGCTTGTTACCATGTGGTCTATTACCACCGGGTCTGTATCTGCTGGTGGGAAGGTAACCTACAGAGTGGCTGCTTCATTGTCTCACTGGCTGCTGTATCCCAGCAGCAGTCTGGCGGGTAGTACCGTATATCCCCGAAAATAAGACATCCTCCGAAAATAAGACCTACTTACAGGTTTCCTTCTGAGAAGGCATCCCCCCGAAAATAAGGGCCCCCTAGGCTAAACATGAGAGATTTGGTCCACTGATTCTGAAAGAAATGGAGTCACAAGAAATCCACCAGGAAATTCAGGAATTGGATTGTTATGATGATGTTCCAGAAGATGATGACATGATTGTCCTTGAATAAATGAGTAAATTCTTGATACTGTAGGATTCACAGTTTGTCTGGTTTGTGTTGACAACAACTGTACTACCGTACCTTATACAGGTAATAAATTTCCTTTACTTTCACTTAACAATAAATGTGTACCGTATTCTTCTTCATGGAAAAATAAGACATCCCCTGAAAATAAGACGTAGTGCATCTTTGGGAGCAAAACTTAATATAAAACACTGTCTTATTTTTGGGGAAACAGGGTAGCTGCTCAATAAATGCTGCTGAATGAATGAGCTGGGCGAGCAGGCGGAGGGTAGCTCACTGCCCGAGTCACACAGTAACCAGGAGAGGACTTGCTTCTGACACTCTAACGTCATGCTCACTGGGGAGGGGACTTTGTTTTGCTCACTTCTGTGTTTCGGGGGCCTAGGGGGTGCCTGCCACGGAGAGCACACTGTGACTGTTTCACCGACCTCCTGGGAGGGGGCCGCCCCGCACAGTGCACCTTAGATTAGAGGTGGCCGAGGAGGAGGATGGGTGCCAGAACCAGAGCAGGTGCTAGATCTGCCTGCCAGGGACGGCTCCTAGGGCAAGGAGATGCTTGATCACGGGTTTGGGAGAAAGTGCAGGAATGCTGAGCTGGGAGGGGAGGGGACGCTGGGCAGACAGGAACATGGACAAAGGGGAGGAAATGGAACTGTTCCACCTGGAGGGAGGTGGCAATGGCAGAGGCAGGAACAGGGCCCAGTCAGAGGGGCTGCGTGCTCAGAGGAAGTGAGAACTTGATCTTGAGGATGAGGGAGTGCTGGGAAAGGCCTGCGTGGGGACCCGAGCAGACCTGTGTTCTAGGGCGCAGGCTGGAGGGAACCAGAGGTCCTGAGGGGCGGTATCGGGGGTTGAGGGGAGGGGCTGGGTGGGAAGAGGCTGCAGAAATCATGGGAACGAGTTCTAAGTAATGGGAGGGAGAAATAAAATGAAGTGCTATGGACACGGTAATGACAGTGACACCTAAGGTCTCATCTAATCTATTTCATGCACCAGAAGCGTCTCACGACCATTAACAGACGAGGCCAGACTCGAACCTAGGCCCACCTTCTTTCCAAGTTCATATTTCTCTGAGGACACCGCAGTGCCTGTAGTCCCACAAGGAAAGTGATTTTTTAAAAAATCTAATAATTTTCTAACACTTTCTTGGTAGCCATTTGGGATGAAGTTCAAGACCTCAGAGTTTCAATTCAAGGATTTTTGGAATGAAATATTTGGGTTTTTAAGCAGCTGATTTAAAAACCTAGACTGGCCCACTGGTTGAGCATCAACCTATGAACCAGGCAATCACAGTTCAATTCCCGGGGAGGGCACATACCTGGGTTTCGGTCTTGATTCCAGGAGGGGGCATATAGGAGGCAGCAGACCCATGATTCTTTCATCATTAATGTTTCTATCTCTCTCCCTCTTCCTTCCTCTCTCTGAAATAAATTTTAAAAAATGAAAAAAATATAAAGGACAGATTAAAATCCTAGACTGGGAGGGAATGTGTAACCAGGGAGGTTTTTCTCTGTGAGGAAGGACAAAGACCCTAACTTGGTGAGACTGGCCATCCTTGGAGAGCAACCACCACCCGGAAGCACTTCTCTGTCACCAGCTGAGGGTGAAAACCGCAGCCACTTCCCCAGGTCACACTTACTACAAGCAGGACAGTCACAGGGCCTGAGGCCACCGAGGTGTTTCAGGCAGAGCCCCGTCCTGAGGACTAGGTGTCCGCATCTGCTCCTTCAAAAGGCAGCCACGCGCTCTCTCCTTACCCCATGTAGTCGAGGTCGGAGAAGATGAAGGTCTTGTTGATGTCAAAGCCGCAGGCGATGATGTCCTTGGCGTTCTCCACGGCGTAGCCGTGCGCCTGGTCCAGGGTCAGGTCCTTCCACAGGTACTTCTCGTCGTCCGTCATCTGGATGACCAAGGGTACATTGAACACGTCCTGCAGCCACCTGAGAGACAGGGAGAGGCTGACAACCGTTCCCCGGCAGAAAGACGCCCCCGGGCATCTGAAAACACAGTTCCAACCACTTCCTGCGTCTAGGCCTCCGTGTCTACAAAACCATGTGATCTTAGATGCTGTTTATCCGATTATCGGTAACGATCAGAGCACTGACATTTATTCAGAGCACTCTGCAGGCCGGCTCTAGGCTCGCTGTTCTACATGCTTTACTTGTAGCCTTACAGTAATTTTACGAGGCAGGGATTATTATTCCCATCTTGCAGATGTGGAAACTAAGGCTCAGAGCGGTCATTGGCCTATGGTCACATCAGGAAGAGAAGATGTGGCACAGGTCTGATGGTCTTCATCACCCAAGTGACACCAGGAACGAACTGAGTGAATGGAGGCCACAGAGGCGCCATGTCTCTGACACTGTGGTTTTTCAGCAAACGTGACCTAGTCCTGTCTTGTTGGTTCTAGACACAGCTTATACCCACTGCTCCTGACTTGCTAATAACAGCGAGGAGAGCCCCAGAGCCAGGACTCACTTTGTGAAAATGAACGGGATGAGGTGGCCGACATGCATGGCTTCAGACGAGGGGCCCCTGCCCGTGTACAGGTAGAACGGCTTCTTGTTTTCATAGGCGTCGAGGACTTGGTTCATGTCCCTGAAGGAGAGAGGAGAGGAAACTGATTTTTTTTTTTGGGAAAATCGAGTTGCTAATGTTCACTTGGAAACGTTCAGACAAACACAGGTAGGAACTAGTTTGCTATTCTTGCTGTGTCTGTAATGGTTCCTCCTGTGCTTGTTTTCAGAGCAGACATGGGAGCTCGGGATAATGTGTTTAAAGGATGGATGCAGTTGGGCAGCACGGGAACTCTTTTGGAATTCTTCCCAATATCAACACTGATACGCCATCTGCTCTGTACACTGTCCTGACACCAGGCCATCACTGCACAGTAACTGTTTGGAGTCGCCCAGCCCTGTGGCTCTGGAGAGCAGACTGGGGACATCCGAGGGTTCCACGGAGCTCTGCCTTAGGGAGGGGAGTGGGAGATATGACCCACAGGCAGGACCAGGTATCTTCATCTGGGAGTCATTCTGGAATCAACCGCCCTCCCCAGGACTGGGGTCCACTAACAAGGCACATGGGTCCTCCTTCCCGACTTTGCCTCAGTAGCACGTGGCTGCCGTTTCCATTGCACCTGCCTAGGCCCGCCTTCAGAGATGCTGATTCCAGGGCTGTGTGACATCTGGAATCTGTATCTTTAAAAAGCTCTCCCGGTGACTGCAACATATGAAACCACCCCTCTGAGGGTGACTGTCCCTTGTTTCTGGGCAAGTTTCCCAAAGTAACAAGGAAACAGTCACCTTTCCCGGAGGTCTGGGGGCCTCCAAATGGACTCTAGCCTGTGGCAGGGCTGGCTGCTCAGCGGGGCTGATAGGACCATGAGCATCCTGCTTTTCTGTGCTTAGTGTTCATCCCTCCACTCCCCAGGAATGAACACACTGCTTCTGAACCAGGAAATAGTAAAATACAGTTTCGGAGGGAAAAGTCCTTTGGCTTTCACAACTAACCAATCCAAATTTTGGGCTTCTAGAGGAGAAGAGCAGGCAGCAGTAACGTAAGGGCACTGCCATTTATTAATATGTAACCAGGAGTCTTTTCTCTGTGAGGAAAGACAAAGACCCTAACTTGGTGAGACTAATCATCCTTGGAGAGCAACTCATGTTGTATGATTCTATTTAAATATATGTTCTTATTGATTTCAGAGAGGAAGGGAGAGGGAAACAGAAACATCAATGAGAGATAATCACTGATCAGCTGCCTCCTGCAGGCCCCACACTGGGGGTCGAACCTGCAACCTGGGCATGTGCCTTGTTCAAGAATTGAACTATGACTTCCTGGTTCATAGGTCGACACTCAACTACTGAGCAACACCGGCTGGGCGTATGATTCTATTTAGTGATTTTATTTATATGAAATGTGCAGGACAGGTAATTAGACAGAGAAAGGAGATTCATGGTTGCCAGTGGTGGTGGGGAGAGGGAGGAATGGGGACTGCCTGCTAATGGGTAGAGTGAAGAAAATGTTCTGGAATTAGATGGTGGCGATGGTTGCACAACCTTGTGAACAGACTGAAAACCACTAAACTGTATACTGGGGAAGGTGAACTAAATCTCATTCAGGAAAGAGCTTTGATTACATTCTGCCCGTGAGGAAGGCGAATGAGGCCTGGATTTCTCTGCCACAGAATCTGAAGTGTGGGGCAGACTGCCGACCTGTGACCTTGTGTGCTCCTGTAGCCGTGAATGGGAGAGAGCGGAATGCTCTACCTTGGACCATAAGTTCCATAAACACAGCCTCGAAGATGGGCTGGCCCGAACCCAAGGTCATCTCAGGTGGGAGAAGCAGAAGCCCTTCTGGAAGCCGCTCATTTTCTGTTTTCTGCAATGCACGTACGGTCTAAAGTGGGGAAATTTGGTTGCATTTACACTCTATTAGTTTCTCTTCTGATATTATTTTTGAGCAGGCCAGCACAATAGAAGGAAGAGGGTACGTAGTTTCAGGAAGCCTACCGTGTGGGAAACAATGAGCTTGGAAAGAATCTGGCAGGAATCTCATCCTCTTTGAATGTAACCTTCACCTAGTAGACAGTTTTTTACTTTTATTTTAAAATCCTCACCCGAGGATATTTTTCCATTAATTTTTAGAGAGAGCGGAAGGAAGGGGGAGAGACAGAGAAACATTGATGTGAGAAAGACACATCGATTGGTTGCCTCTCACAGGTGCCTTGACCAGGGTTGGGGATGGAGCCTGCAACCCTTGACCAGAATCAAACCAGGGATCCTTTAGTCTGAGGGCTGACACTCTATCCACTGAAACAAACCAGCTAGGGGCATGAAATGGACAATTTATTGATGAATAAACTAAGGGCCAGAGGGTGAAGGGGTGTGTTACTGACAGGGCAGAGGTGGGTCCAAGTCTCTGACAACTGCATTCCATCTCCACACAGTACGACGCAGCCTGAGGGAATAGCGCAATCATTTTAAATATACACAGAGTGGGCAGATTATTATGATCTCTGGACACATAGTAATCTGGCCACTCAGTATAGATCCCATATAATATCCTATATAATAAAAGGCTAATATGTAAATTGTCCCCTCAACCAGGAGTTAGACCAGCAGGCAGGCCAGCCAACCGCCCATGTCCCCTCTTCCTGGCCAGGCTGGTTGGACTCTACCCATGCACGAATTCATGCACCAGGCCTCTAACACACACACACACACACACACACACACACACACACACACTGAGTGGCCAGATTATTATGCGTTCAGAGATCATAATAATCTGGCCACTCAGTGTGTGTGTGTGTGTGTGTGTGTGTGTGTGTGTATATCTATATGTATTGATTTCAGAGAAGGGTGAAAAGAGAGAGATATATCAATGATGAGAATCATTGATTGGCATGCACGAATTCATGCACCAGGCCTCTAACACACACACACACACACACACACACACACACACACACAGAGTGGCCAGATTATTATGCGTTCAGAGATCATAATAATCTGGCCACTGTGTGTGTGTGTGTGTGTGTGTATACATATATCTATATGTATTGATTTCAGAGAAGGGTGAAAAGAGAGACAGATATATCAATGATAAGAGAGAATCATTGATTGGCTGCCTCCTGCACGCCCCCCCCACAGGGGATGGAGCCCACAACTCCAGCATGTGCCCCGACCAGAAATTGAACCTGGTTCATAGATCAACGCTCAACTACTGTGCCACACTGGCCAGGGCCCGATCACTCTGTGAACTAAAGAGGAAGGGGGAGAAGTCCTCGGGAACGCTCACCTGTGTGAGAAGAAGATGCCCCTGCGCAGGAAGCGGTGTGGCCTCTGGCCCGTGGCTCTCTCTATGCGGTTGATCAGCTCTTTGTCAATTTTACTGCTTCCGAACCGGACTGGGAAAAAGAAGAGAGGACTGTCTTAGGAGTGGGAGGTTTAGTGACCAGGCATCAAGGGAAAAACATCGCACTGTTAATGAACTAAACCCAGGCCTCTGCTTCCAGTCCTTTCCCCCAACATGAAGTGCAGGGTCATGAAGTGCACTAACAAGATAGCTGGGATCACAACCAGCAAAACAGAAAACAAACTGCAGGATAAAATGCTGTTTTGTCTGGTACTGGATTCTGATGGGAAACATGTCTAGAACGCAGTCTAGCTAGGAGCTTCTCACGTGCGTGCGCACACACAGTTGCTTATTGTTCCCTAAGGTAAAGTTTATATACACTGACAGCTATATTTTTCAGTGTCTTTTAATTGTTGAATTTTCCCTATTGATGGTCTATATTTAAAAATCACGGAAAATGGTGTGACTTGGGTAAGAAGTTTTTGTTGACCCTTCGATGGTTAGCAATGATGGCAGAGTGAGGACTTTCTTGACAAGAAGCCCCTCCCGGAAGGGCCACCTGTGAGCAGTGACCCGCTTCCGCTGACTTGCAGAAGGTTAGCGTCTTAAATGGCACCACTGAGGAGAAACTTAAGTAACCTGTGACTGACTTGTCACCACCGAGTGAAAGGCAGTTTTAGTGACTAAAGTACCCATTTCAACAGATCCTTCTCAAGTTCTGAATTGTTAAAAAAGGGAAAAGAGCCGAAACCAGATTGGCTCAGTGGATAGAGCGTCAGCCTGCGGACTCAAAGGTCCGAGGTTTGATTCCGGTCAAGGGTATGTACCTTAGTTGCGGGCACATCCCCGGTGGGGGGCGTGTAAGAGGCAGCTGATCAATGACTCTCATTGATATTTCTAACTCTCTCTCTCTCCCTTCCTCTTTCTAAAAAATCAATAAAAAAAATAATTTTTTAAAAAAGTGTGCCTTCCTCTTAAAAAAAAAATAAAAAAGGAAAAGGTACTACTAAGTTATCTACGATAGATCCTTATTTTGCAATAAGCTTTATTTGGTTACTTTACTTAACAATCCTCTAGGAATATAATGCACCTCCAAAGTATTTTAGGATATATGTTTTTTTCTTGGCACTGAAGCTTGACTGGATTTATGATCAATATTAGAAACACCCATGGAACCAATACTGAAAGTCTGGGCTTTTCCCAGGACATACCAATGAGCTTGTCATAGTCAACGCCTTTTGCACTGCTCGTCTGTACCGTCCACGGGTCCACAAAGTCCTCTTCAGCTTCCGTGGCAGCTGGGCCCCTCTCACCCGCAGGTGCTGGGTTGTTTGGGGGGCAGTCAGGCTTATAGTCCTCCCCCATGGCCGCTTTGTAGCTCATCTTTAGTGATAACAGCTTCTGCACCGCAGAATCAAGTTCATCCTGAACACGGGAACCCGGGTGAAGGATGAAGACGTTAACAGTGGCTAACTTTTGCTGAATGTCACTGCTGCCACGTGGCAGGCACTGTGTGAGTGCCTTCACACACACTGCTTCGTCTAGTCTCACAGCAACCTTGGGAGGCAGGACTCGCTGTCACTCGTTCCACCTTGTGACTCAGAGAGGTGAAGGAACTTGCCCATGGACACACAGCAAATGTGGGCTTGAACGCATTCTATTTTTACCTGTCCCTCTAGGGCCACAGATTCCCACCAAACACGATGGGGATAGACACAGTAACACAGTCTACAGTGTTTATGACAGTCACTACACCAAAGAGTCTCAAACCAGATGCAGAGACCACGTGTGACAAGATCCTGTGCTCCCCTACAGAGGCCTGTGCTGACCTTGCTTTTACTGTCTGCGTAGGCTGACAAGAATAGTTACAGAAACCTCAACCGCCATGCCGCCAAGGACAATAACAGCAACTCAGACATCATGAAGACAGACAAAGGTCAGGAAGGACTAGGGCTCAGGTCCCAGCCTGAGAAGGGTCCACGGGAAACAGCTGTGCTGCTGCCCCGAGTGTTTGCCCGTTTGCTGTTTCAGAATAAGCATGAGGAACACAGATGTCAAGCGTCTCTGGGCATCCTGGAACTCTGCTGGCCTCCTCTCCCAGGAGCGCCCCCAGCCGCCCCCCGAAGCCTGGCATTTCAGGGGAGGCCTAATTAGGCAGCTTAGGCATGGACAGCCCTAAAGCTCCGCTCCCGTAATTGGCCCGGCTGGCTCAGCTCACAAACAGCATCCACAGTCCAATTTGCTTGCAAGGAAAATACAAATATTTCCATGTGGAGTTTTTACGTAATGTTATAAACAGGACTGCCAGTGGACACACGCCAAGGCTCCCCTCCACTCGGAGAGCCGCTCCGCCAGGCAGGACATCTGCTCTTGTAGGGTGGCTAGCAGACAGATTTGTGTTTCCAACTCTGAAACTATCTAGAATTCACTTAAACCAATCAGTGTTGTGTAATCAGTAAGCCTCCAGACCTCATACGAGACAGAATGTCTGGGTTAGATGGGCAGGTATGTCTGATTCACTTCATTTCTGCAGTGTTTAGGCTCAGCGCTTACAAAAAAATAAATGTTGAGCAAGCACGACCCACCCAGTTAACTGTGGGAAGAATGACCTCGCTTGGGAATACACTGCAGTCAATACACTGCCCTCCCTGGCTGTGTTGACATTTCACACCTAATCTCACCTAACTCTGCTTGCAAGCAGGTGGCTGGATGAAAGCTAAACATTTCACCGTGTCCCTGTTGGAAGGCTGGCTGGAGCCTGCATGGGACTGAGACAGGCAAGCGGGCTCGCCTCGTCTCTTCTTGTCCTCGTCCCAACATGCACTGCAACCCTGCAGCAGAAGTGAAAAGCTGATGTTCTGAAAAAAGCCAGGCACAAAAGACTATGTACTCCTGGATTATATAAAATAATGAACTATCCAGGGCGAAGGGTCAGGGTGGAGGCCTCCCTTGGGAGAACAGAGGCAGAGGCAGTGGCCGGGGATGGCTTCCGGTGCTGCCAATGCCGTTTCTGCACGTGGGCAGTGACACAGGTGTGGATCTTGTGAAAATTCAGTGAGCTGCCTGCTTATGACCCCGATGCTTTTCTGTATGATGGTGTATTTTGATTTTAAAAGTTTACTTAAAGTAAAAGGAGGAGAAAAAAAGCTCTGGTCTCTATCCTAACCCGGATGATCCAGTGCCATTTCTGAGTGCTGTTCAAACTGCTCACGGCCTCAGCCACTGCCTCCCAGAGTCCCCAGACCCTGACTTACCCCCTGATCCCCAGAGTGTCCCGACTCCCCCCATTTCCCCCGCCACCTCCAGAGCATCCCTGCTTTAATGAGCTGCTGTTGCTAAAAGCAGCGGGTCTCCCTCCCTCTGTACATGCCAAGGAGCACGGCCCAGACAGATGGCAGACAGTTGGTGAAAGCTCGCAGCACCCGCACTGGAGTTGGCCTAGAGTGGCTATTTTGCTTAAAGGGAATTTCTAAGACATCGGGTGCTTCTATTACAATCATTTTAGGGTTAGATACAAACTTCTGAATTCATTGTTTAACTCTGGTCCCAGTGTGCAACCTCTGCTCTCTCTTACTGAGTATCAGCTGACTCGGCTTGGTCAAAGATCATGCTTGGAAGAGTAAGGCTACTGTGCTAAGTATCATTAGTTTGCTAAAATAATGAACATAACTGTAACTAAGAATTATTAATGAAAATATTTATTAAATCTATTCAAATTTAATGTTAAATGGAAAAAATCATGGGTCTATAGAGTCAATAATCAACAGTTGGGTCCTTATTTTAGACTAGAGGCCTGGTGCATGTAATTTAGGTACAGGTGGGGACCCTAGGCCTGGCCAGCCATCAGGGCCTATCAGGGCCATCTTGCTCAGTCCCGATCAGGGCTGGCTGGGGCTTGCTGGCCGCTGGCCGAAGGAAGAGGGGGACCACGGGAGGTTTGCCGGCCAGGCGGAGAGACCGGGGGAGGTGGGCTGGCCATGGGAGGTTGGCTGTGGGAGCACAATGACCACCAGGGGGCAGCTCCTGCGTTGGGCATCTGCCCCTTGGTGGTCAGTGCGCGTCGTAGTGACTGACCAATCAGTCGGTCATAATGGTTGCTTAGGCTTTTATGTATATAGATTAAAAAAATTTTAGCCTTATCTACTGAGCCCTACCTGGTGTGTAAACCTCTTTTTGTGAACAAAACTCCCTTTTTTTGACATCACTTTCTTTCAGTATTTACTTCTTTTACAATGTCATGGTTTATTTGGGATCCAAAGAATCTGAAATGGTTGACACAACTGCTGTGGACATTTTCAAAACTAAGATCACAGGGGTTGGCAGATCACACTCTGAGACCCACGCCAAGCACAGCAAAGGATCTCCCTGCAGTAACCCCAGGAGGACAAAGGAAAGAGGAAGAGGACACCAGCAGCTGGATTTCAGAAGCTGGAAAGCAGACGGACGATATAACTGGCTGAATACGTGAGAACAAATGCTTGGATGTCCTGGAAATACTGGACAGCAACTGGACTTAGACGGGGTGGGGTCCCCAGGAGACTGGGCGCCAGTGGCCTCAGGTGCTTAAGGAAGTGAGGGTGAAGGGGGCTACAAAAACAAGAGAACTGGTTGAAAGCCTGTTTCATAAACAGTTATTCAGACTTCTGTCCTGGACTCCTGACACAGCTGAGTGATGCCTCTGCCCCCGGCCCAAGGCTTAGTGTCTAGCGAGGGAGAGTGAAAGGGGTCCACACCTGGGGCTCTCTGCCCGGCAGGGGCAGCACAGTGGGAATAGGGAGCTTTGGGGAAGAATCACCCAGCCCAGCTTCTCCGTCCTACTCAGAGGCACGATGCTGGCACCAGACCTGCACTCGGGATAGCAGACTGCAGGACCCCCTCTGGGGACTCGACTAATCTTGAAGAAGAGACCCGAGGACCCTGACAGTGAAAGTTCCCAACAAAGCGGAGCAGCCTGGAGGTCGCCAGGGAAGGGAAACTGCACCAATCAGCTCTCCCCATGTGCACGAAGACCAGCCAGCGTCTCTACTTCCTTTTGGAACACCAGGGCTAGCTGAGTACCAGCCGGCACTTGAGGGTTGCCTCTAATGTGAAGGGCAGAAGAAAATGGGAGTTTATAAAAGGGCAGAGAACATCAGGGAAATGATCCCAAGATCTCAGAGATAAAAGGACACTGCATCTATAAAGTAAGAACAGGGCCTTATGAGGAAAGGAACATTCGGAGATTTAATGAGCTCTTGGAAGTTGATAATCATGGGATAAGTGAGAAACCACAGGAGGGTCAGAAGTTGAAAGAACACCTGAAAGAAGAACGGAATAAAAATAAGAAAACTAAGTAAAAAAATAAGATCAGAGGACCTGCCTCTGAATTTAAAAAAATCAGCCAAGAAACAGAGAAAACAGAAGAGATAAAAAAAAAATACTACCACTTCTGAGGTTTAAATATCATGAACTTCTAGTTTGAAAGAGCACTGAGCAAGCACCCACCCCAAGAAACTTCAAAACACAGGCACAAAGAGATCCTGCAATCGCCCAGCGAGATAGAACAAAGAACCACCCGGATCTCCACAGCAACCCCAGCAACAGGGCTTCAGAGATGAAGGGAATCCACTTCCACTTTTGATTTCTATACCCAGCATTGTTATCAGATATTAGGTGAAACAAAGATACTTTCAGACTCTCTGAGAGCCCTCCACATTCTTTCCTTGGCAGTGATTTTTTCAGAAACCACTGGCGGACCTGTGCTGCCCAAAGAGAGGTCACCCTCGAGAAGACTCAGGCTCAGGAAACAGGCACCTATGGGGAGGTGAGGGAGCCCTGGTGGGCAGCGAGGAGAGCCTACGGTGGGCAGTGTGGGGGGCGAGCTGCCAGTCCAGGACAAAGTAGCGGGAAGGTCTGGGAGAGACCTTGATTGACGTGTTGATGTCAGGGAGAGCTTGGACCCATTATCGTGAGTCCATAAAAAAGCCAAGCAAAAATAAATAAAAATAAATTAATCAAGGCCAGAGAAAACAAAGCTGGCCAGGAAAGGAAAAGCCCTCTGTATACTCAGTGGGTCTGCCAGTAGCATTGCCATGGTTAGAATAAAGTCAAATGCTAGCATCGACCAAGGGACTCAGGTATCAGGAGACGGAGGGACCAAGGGAATCAGGTATCAGGTATCAGGGATGGAGAATGGGGAATCAGGTATCAGGGATGGAGAATGTTTGTGCAAGTGCTAACTCCTCATTTTCCACAGTGATAGCCTTCAACTGGGCAATCAACAGGGAACAATGTGATAAGCGTGGTTGTTTAGAGATATGGGAATTATATATTAAAAGAAGCAGCTAAGAGAATTGAAAATACAAAGGAACCTAATTTCTCAAACTTAATTTGTTTCGGAAGGCTGTTTGAGAAGTGATTTGTTTGAAAACGGAATCGTTTTTCCCATTAGAAGTAATGAAAACTGAATTAATCAGTCCCAGGCCCCAAATGATTCCTTTTCTTATATACAGTACGTTTCTAATGTATTGTTTATAAGTAAACACTACTTTTCTTAAATTTATCAAACCACCCCTTAAACGAATTTTTCACGTATCACTGCCTGGGAAATGCTATTACCGCTAACTCCTTTTTGTTTACCCCGTAACAAGAGATTTTCTATCTGCTCAGTTGATTGTGATTGCAGGTTTGTGAGCACTTTCACACCCTTAGCAACATTAGCACTGTTGATGGCCTGTTTATATTTTAAAATTGTGCTAATCATTTATTTCTACAGCAACAAAAGCGTTCTCTCCTTTATTTGTTGCCCGAGACACTTTTTATCATGTTGAGGTATCAGCATGAAAGGGTTATCAGGTCAAAAATGAAGTTTTGGTTTGACAACCGAGACTTTTTTTCTGTGAACAACTAACTTAGTTGAGAACCAAATTGTTCCAGATGAGAGACATTCAAGAAATGGGATTTGACTGTACGTGTTTCTGGGAGCAGGAAATGAGGATGGGCAGGTGGATGACTGCCATATTTCACTGGCTTTTCTTTACCTCACATCCTATATAATAAAGAGGTAATATGCAAATTGACTGTCACACTCTCACAAATGATGGCTGCCTATGACCAGGCTGGCAGGGGGTTAGTCCAAATGACTGAACAGCATACTGCGTGGGGCAACCAGGCCAGCTGGGGGACAGTTGGGGGGGCAATTAGGCTGGCAGGGGAGGCAGAGAGGGGCAACTTAGTTGGCAGGAGGGCAGTTGGGGGGTGGCCAGTCTGTCAGGGAGAGTAGTTGGGGGTGACCAGGCCAGTGGGGCAGTTAGGGGCAATCAGGCTGGCACCCAGAGGCAGTGAGGGGCGATCAGGCTGGCAGGGGGAGGCAGTTAGGGGTGACTAGGCAGGCAAGCAGGTGAGCAATTAGGAGCAAACAGACCAGGATTGTGAGAGGGCTGTCCACCTGCCAGGATGGGTCCTAAAGCAGCAGTAGGACATCCCCCAAGGAATCCAGGATTGGAGAGGCTGCAGGCTGGGCTGAGGGGACCCCCCCTCAGCACGAATTTCATTCACTGGGCCTCTAGTGCATCAATAATGTTGATAAAGGAGAAGACAAATGTAAGATTATAGCCAATATAGTTATAGTCAGTTACTGAGAGCACAGTCAGCGCTCAGGGAACACAATCCAACAGACTCTGCTGTGCCTGGGGGAAGAGCCCAGCAAAAGCACCCACCTTGGCCGCCTGCCCGGCTTTGAGGGCTCTCACGCGCTCTCCCTGGGCAGCTATGCTGTTGAACAGCTCCAGCGGGGAGGCACCCGCCTGCTCGTCCGCCATCTCCGAAGACCTAGGCTAACAGCTGGGCAATGGAAGAGTCGCTCAGTGGTCCTGACACACTGTGGGAGACGAGGAAGAGAAGGAGGGAGAGAAATTCATAAACGGTTGCAGCTGTGTTTTCTTTCCTCTATCTAGTTCTTTTTTCCCAAAAGGGTTGAGGTTGAGTCATAGGGTGTGCCCCACGCAGGGCCCAGGACAGAGGAAGGACTGTTTGCTGAGGGGCAAACACCAAAGGGCTTTACTGTCCCCACCATTAACAGCCCCAAACATATCTGTCAAATCGCTCTTTACTCTCTAATTGCATTGTGGACATGTTCTCAGACCTTTGCTGCTCTGACCAACCTACGGCTGAACAAATGGCTTCCTGGCTGGCCAGCTGCTCGGTTCTCAGACACGCAAGGTCTGGGGCAGAGGGCGGGGCCTTACCCTGCTGGGTTCCCAATGAGGTAAGAACTATATATTATATAACCTGTCATTAGACATGCTGTTTTACTTAACAACAAAACTTTGAAGAAGTACCTAACAGTCATTATTTACTCTTAATCTTGAAGGGGGGGAGGCCACCCGATGCTACTGATAAAGTTGGCCATATCAGTCCCCTCCTGGGTCAGTCACTTCCCCTTTCTGAGAGTCAGTTCCTCATCTATGAAGTCACACCATCAGGAACCTCTGCACCTACCCCAGGGGCTGCTATGAGAAAAAACGAAAAAAGGACATGGTGACATTGTGTAAACTGTAAAGCAAGAACTAAACCCAGCACGAGCGCTGTGCGTGAGGGTTTCAGGGCCGGCTGAGCCCCGGCCCCACCCGTAGCTGCTGCCACACCTGGGACACGGAGGCTGACTGGAGGCCACGACAGAGCGGCTCTCCCAGCACCTCTGTGACTGGTGTCGTTCTGAGCACTTTATACATATCAATTCACCTGAGGCTTGTGAGCTAGATTTATCTCCATTTCACAGGTGAGCAAACTGAGGCACAGAGAGGTTAAAAAACTTTCCCAACAGCCGAAACCGGTTTGGCTCAGTGGATAGAGCGTCGGTCTTCGGACTGAAAGGTCCCAGATTCATATCCGGTCAAGGGCATGTACATTGGTTGTGGGCACATCCCCGTTGGGGGGTGTGCAAGAGGCAGCTGGTTGATGTTTCTCTCTCATTGACGTTTCTAGCTCTCTCTCTCTCTCTCTGTAAAAAATCAATAAAATATATTAAAAAACTTTCCCAATTTAACACATCAAGTAAGTGATACAGACGGGATACAAACCGACACAGTTTGATCCGAGAGCCCACACTCTCAACTATTTCCCACAGGTTACTGAAATATGGTAGCAATCATACTTGGGTAAAAACTGCTGTTTGAATTTTAACCTTGCTATCTGACTTCGACCTTCGATTACTTGCTTAAACAATAGGGTAGTTACAGCAGATTGACTCCCACTGACTCAGTAGCTTCAGGGGTAGAAACTATAGATAATCTTTAGAGATTAACCTCTGAGTTCTGCTTTTGTATTATGGGCCCGATAGGGCCACATTCCAATGTTTCCAGCCTTTAGAATTTAGAATAAAGGGAAATTCCTGTGGTTTGAAGCTTTAAATAAAGGATTGCCTATGTGTGGATCAGTGCGGTCACCTGCGTGTGGTGCTCCCGAGGCCGCCCTGGCCAGTTTTCCAATAAACCCTTGCCTGCTTTTTTAAAATCAATCTTCAGCCTCCGGTGGTCTTATTTTGAACCCAGGGTTCGACCCCACAACAGTTACCTGCCTGGAATGAGCCTCAGCTCCTCCAATGTGAAGTGTAACTGGCATCGTAACACTAACTGCAGGCCGGTGTGTGGGTAAGTGCGATAACGCAAGGAAGCAAACAATCTAGTCCAGAACTGGCCCCGTGGTGGAGGGTTAATGAATGACTACTTTGTTAATTAAAAAATTATTTTCTGGCCCTGATGCGTGTGGCTCAGTTGGCTGAGTGTCATCCTATACACCAAAAGGTTGCCGGTTCCATTCCTGTTCAGGGTACACGCCCAGGTTTTGGGTTTGATCCCAGTAAAGGTGTGTGCCAGAAGCAACTGATTTCTCTCTCCCCCCCCCTCTTCTTTATCTCTCTCTCAAATCAATAAAAACATATTAAAAAATGTTCCCCTAGTAACTCTATGAAACAAACACATATTGAGGGGTGATTTACCGGTACTTTTATTTATCCATTGCTAAATATTTGTTTCAAAATCATGTAAATTTCACCAAAACCATTCTTTGTGTAATCAGAGACCACAATACTGAAGCCAGGATGCGTATCTTCCCCTTCTGGCAGACAACCTCCTCAATTCCCAGAAAGGGAAGTTTGGTGAGATAACAAACTGATATAACAATGCTCAGGGAAGTCTGTAAAAAAGGGGAAGAAATGAGGAAGAACCTTCTGATAGGCACTAGAGAGGAGAAATACTCAGGACGATATCAAATAGCAAAGTGAAGAAAATTACTTCTAGCCACAAGTGATCAAATATCATGTGCAGACACTTTACACATGATCCCGAATTTCCCCAACTTTCTTTTTCTTTTTAAATATATTTTTTTATTGATTTTATACAGAGAGGAAAGGAAAGAGATAGTTAGAAACATCTATGAGAGAGAGAGAGTCATCGATCAGCTGCTTCTTGCACACCCCTTACTGGGGATATGCCTGCAACCAAGGTACACGCCCTTGATCGGAATCGAACCCGGGACCTTTCCGTCCCCAAGCCGACGCTGTATCCATTGAGCCAAACCGGTGTCAGCATGATATTTTGAATTTAATTAAAAAAGGTCCGCCGCTTGTGTCCATAGACACTTAGGGCGTACAAATGGTTAAGCAAAATGACTCAGAACCAATTTTATCCTAGGGTAATTGATGTAAACAAGAGTTAAGTTCCTACAGCATCTCATCAACATTATCAGTCAAATTCTAAAGCCTGTGAGTAGGACCAAAATCAAGTACAGGTGGCAATTACCCTTACACATTCCTAGGGAAGGAGCCAGGTACAAAGGACAGCCAATCTTCCCTGCAATGGAACAGCTCACTGCAAGCGATCAACCAGACCAACTGGGCCTGCAGTTAGGGTCCAAGTTGTAGGGAAGAAAACACATATCTCTAAATATCAGAATCCCATTTCAGAAGAGGCACGTGGGAACTAAATCCGACTGAGGGAAAGATGAGGTCTCCCTGCTCTTGTGATCACAAGCCAGTTACTCACGGCACGGGAATCCCCAGGCTATAAATGGTGTGTGTGTGTTTCTGATGCAACTTTGTGAGTGAGTACATCAGGAATGATCAGAGACAAGGACAGAGCTACCACTTCTCCCATTTCATGCACTCACCCATTTGCCACTGCTTCTCCCATCTAGTCAATATCCTCCTTGAGTTCTTTGTTAGCTAACTTTAAGAATTAAGTTTACCTTCAGAGGTTTTTAACCCTGAGTTTGGAATTACCTCTGGAATTACATCACTATTTGCATGCACATTGGTATAAGTGGGGTTCTAAGCAGAGTATCCAGGTTTCATTACTTTTTCAAAGGGGTTCTGAGATGCCAAAAGGCTAAGGACCATTGTCTTAAGTTAGGGGTGTCGAACTCAATCAGAGAAGGGGCCAAAATCTAAAATCCAGCCTAAATCGAGGGCCGAATGGTTTACTGAACAGTCATAAACTGTCACTGTGATGGAAACACAGCGGAGTGCAGTGATGACAGCGCGGTGCGGGCCACATTGCAAGGCCTGGCGGGACGGATTTGGCCCGCGGGCCTTGTGTTTGACACATGTGTCTTAAGTGTTAACCACATAAACTGCAAATAGGGCTTTGAATATTTTTTTAAGGAAAGCTGCTCTATCTATTAAACCAAGCCTATAATCTAAAACAAAGAAATGAAGCTATAATCTGTGAAGTCATCTACTACCTCTTCTAAAAAGGTACTGGGAGTGTCAAGACCATTATGGCATACTTCCCAGTGGACCACAGCATACCTTGGAGACAAAGCTAAAAGGCTGTGAAAAATTAACTCCCGATTCCTCTTTCTAAACAACATGGATCTGGTGCTCATTTTTAATTATTATTATTTTTTATTTTAAATCAATCTTTATTGTTCATATTATTACAAAAGTTCCTCATTCCCCCCCCCCCCCACCAGGTTCCCACCCCACCCTCTGCCCTTTCCCCACCCCCTTGTCCTCATCCATAGGTGCACAGTTTATGTTCAGTCTCTTCCCGCACCCACCTCTCCCCTTTTCCCCAAGAATCGTCAGTCCACTCCCCTCCCGTATCTCTGATTCTATTATAATCAACAGTTAATATTGTTCATCAGGTTTTTTTAATTTCCTTGTTTTTTTTAAATTAATAAACTTTTATATTTTTAAGAATAAATTTTAAAATCTAATAATTTTAAAATAGATCCTGCCATTTTAACCAGTTAACTGCCACGATATTTTGAATTTAATTAAAAAAGGTCAGCCACTTGCTTCTCAGTTCCCAGCCATTTTTTCTGCCCTGGGAACTGAGAAGCAAACTTGTTTACATGTAAACTTGCTCTTGGGCTATCAAAAGGCATAGTCATTCAAGTGTAAATGGACACATTGTTTAAAGATAGCTGCTGGCTGGAATTGGATTACTTGTTCTGGGTGGGAAAGGCATGTCCTCCCCTGTCTCCATTAAAATTAAGGTGTTAGCTTTAAGACCTCTTTTTGGCAAGAGACCTTAAACTTTCAGAACTTTAAATTTTTCAGGTAGCAAATCAATTACTTAGCATTTTCTCAAATCAATAATACCTCCACATGCCCAAGGATACCCTTCAAACAAAAGACACATCCAAATACATCAACCAACCTCATCCAGACCCCACACCTCGTGCTCATTTTGAAAGGTTTCATTGTCGTGGGGGAACGTAACTGGACCTGAAGAAACTGGGATGAAAAGAATCACAGAGCCAAAACCGGTCTGGCTCAGTGGATAGAGTGTCAGCCTGAGGACTGAAGGGTCCCAGGTTCGATTCCAGTCAAGGACATGTACCTTGGTTGCGTGCACATCCCCAGTGGGTGGTGTGCAGGAGGCAGCTGATGGATGTTTCTTTCTCATCAATGTTTCTAACTCTCTATCCCTCTCCCTTCCTCTCTGTAAAAAAATCAATAAAATATATTTAAAAAAATACGAATAAGCTGTAAGCCTGACAAAAGATGGCAGGCAGTACATACCTGTTCTGAGTGAGACACTGCAGAGGTGGCCACCGGAGCAGTGGAGACTCCCAGTGCCGCAGGCTCTTCTTTTATAGCCTCCCCTCTCTTACTTTCAGTTTCCTTTTCAAAAAAGCCCCTTTATTCTCTTTTCTTCCTGTTTACCCCACCCAGCAACCATTTGCAGGCGTTTCTAGTAAACCACCCAGTTTCTCTTAAACACTTGAGCCTCTTGACCAATTCCCGACCAGACAGGGTTTTGTGTGTGTATGTGTGTAGGGGGGGCGGGTGGAGACCAATGAAATCCTCTCGAGAGCCCAACTATTAGCTGGTCATTGCATCAGCCACCCCATACGGCACGCTGGCCTCCACATAACCTCCTCGCCCGCTTCCCGTCTCACACCCTCAGTCTCAGAGTCAGCGGGGGGCAGAAAAGAGGGCTGTATATGCCCTGCGGCCCCTGGGCACGGGCCCCGGTGCAGCGACGGGGCGCAGGGCGGTGGAAAGAGCAGTCCTGGGGTCACGCCGACGAACCGGGGTTTCAAAGCCAGCTTGGCATTTTTTGATTTCAAGACTTTGGGCAAGTCAGGTTACCTCTGCTCCATCCTCAGTTTCCTCTTCTGTGAAATGGGCACAAAGGAGCCTCCTTACTTTACCGTGGAGGGGACTAAGGGTGATGTTATAGGCAAAGCCTCTGGCACGGGGCAGACACTAGAGGAGGAGAGGATGAAGGGTCGGTGCCTGCGGGAGCTGGCCACAGGCCGGGTGGGCGGCGGCGGGGAAGGGGGCGAGGGGCGTGGTGGCAGGAGCCGGGCTCTCGGGGTCCTCCGATCCCGGCGTGCAGGCGGCTCCGGGAGGGCGGGCCATCAGTCGCCGCCCCGACTTCCCTCCCTCTTTCCTTCCCTTCTTTCCTCACTTACCGGCCCATGCGGGCCTCTCGGCGCCGCCGGTTCCGCGTCTAGGCGTCTCCTAGGCGTCCGTGGAAACGCCGTCCGGCCGGAAGCACTTCCGGTCCGGCTGCGCTACCATTGGCTGTCCTCGCGGGGGCGGGACGGAGGCCACCGATGATTGGTTGGCAGCCTCGGCGCTGGCGGAACAAGGCTCGGGGGCGGAGTGCAGGTGGGACCAGCTCGGGCAGGACCGGCTCCGGGAGAACCGAGCGCTTCCGGTGTGTGTGTGCGGTGAGCGGCGGGCCTGGGGCGGGAGGGTGTGCACCCGGCGGCGGCGCGAGCCCTCCGCGCCCTCCTCGCGGGCCTCTCGCCGCCGCCGCTCTCCTCCGCCTCATCTCCGCTCCTTCCGAACGCGCCGCGCGCGGGATCCACCCTTACCTCCCGCTCTTGACAGCCCGGCTAACTCCCGTTCATTCTTCAAAACCCACCCGCCTCTGGTGGTATCTTGCTTCTTATCTTCATTAGTCCGTGGCCTCCGGCATAGGATCCGCGTTTCGTGTTTAATCTCTGGCCACATCAGACCCAGCACAAAGCTTGGCACCGCGTGGGCGATTAGGAGGTGTTTGTTGAATGAGAACGTCCTATTTCTTTACTTTCTCTGTGGCCCCTCCCATCAGGTGCTGGGGATCAAACAGTGAACAAAACACGAAAACTCCTGTCAGGCCGGCGAGGGTCATTGCCACTACCTCGTTCCTCCCGTGACCTTTCCTTTCCTTTCCTTCTAGCTGTACCTCTTCCCCTTTGTTTAATCACCCCGTCTTTCCATGAACAATTTTCCTTCCCACTCGCTTTTTGCCTTAGGAACATAAAAACCTATTCTTAGAAACAAACACATTCTCCTAAAATTTGTTTGACCCACCAGCTCCCCATTGTTGCCCGTTTTCTTTGAATCCAGATTGGTTCCCTTCTCTCTGACCCCACTTGATTGGATTTGTTCTGTCTGGCCATCTGCTCCCTGACCTCCTGGGAGCAATATTCAGCTGTCACCTGTCCTAGGCCTGCCTCAGCCCCCCTCAATGACACCCCAAACCCACTGCCACCTCTCTCTTTTACTTCTCTCCTTATGATTTCTCACCGTCTGACACCCCCATTTTAGTGAACATGACCTGTTTCTCCCCACTGGCATGTGAGCATGGTGGGGGCAGGGCATAGTTTCCTTGGTGCCTACTGTGGGGCTTGGCGAGTAGCCCGTTCTCCATCAGTGTTTGCTGAATGAATGAAAGGTACATGAAGCAGGTAGTTTTGGCATCCTTGTCGTCCACCCTCCTGCCTTCATTCCATCCTTGCTGCCTTGTCTTGTTAGGAAGTGGGGCTTCCAGTCCCACCCCTCTCAGATCTTTTGCTGTAGACCTTGTCTTTAATTCTGGCCGTGGGCTTCTGTGAGGGAACCACTGTGGAGGGCCTGATGGGTAAGAATCCATCCTAATGGCCAAGCACAGGCGCCCTCTGCCCTGGGGGTGGGGGCCTGGTGGGCTCTCTTGGACAGGAAGCGATGGGACGCTGAGTTGAGATGTCTGATCAGGGTGGGCCTCAGGATCAAGATGGGTATTTAGAGAACAGAAGTGCCAACTCATCCATGGTGCTCAGTTCCATTAGTGTATGATTAGTCCACTGCGTTATACATTAGTTCCATGTGAGACGGGCTGGCCCGTTTTAGAAGTTTTCTTTAGTCGATGGCTTTGTGTGTGGATTAGGCTGCAGGTGAGGGTGGGATTTTGGGAGGAGTCTAGCTTGTTTGGGGTTCATGGCATCCTTTGGGGGAAAGGCGTGGAAGGGGTGGGGTGTTTGATTCCAGGGGGACATGTGGAATCCCTCTCTAGGGGAGGACAGGCTGTCTGGAATGGTTTGACTGATGACCCAGAGGGGTTCCTCTGGTGCCGACCTAACCAGGCGCAGGGGAGGAGGAGTTCAGCGCGGTTTGTGAAGGAGGGAGGGCACACTGGGCTTTGTCCGAAGTTGGTCCTTGCTGAAGTTTTCCATGCTGCTCCACCGCGCCCTCTGCTGTCCGAGACGGGGCGTTTCCAGCATCCTTGTTTTCCTCTTGAGGCTAGTTCCTGTTAACAGCACAGAACTGAACTCCAGATGGAATACTTCTTTCTAGAAACTAATTGGTAACCGTTTCGTCATGTATGACGGTTCAGAATTTTAGGAAAATCTTTTTTTAGGAAGGGGAAACTCCCTGCTGTGTGAGTCAGTGTGTTGGAGTGAAACTGGCAGATTTGGAGGACACCCTCAGCACCTCCGCCTTGCCTTGTGGGTCTGTCCCTCCAACTGGCTTAGAGTGGAGATGGGATATCTGGGGGAGAGCGTTCCAGAGAGAATACAAGGAAGGACTGGAGCCCAGGAAGAGGGCAAAGGTGAGGGTAGCACGCTTTCCCCACCTGGTGGATCTTTCCATATCAGAGTTTTCAGACCTAACCTCATCCCTGTTGATGAGTGAATGGCTGGAAAGCTGCAGGCCCTTTATACATCTGTCTTTGCAAACATATGAAGGATGCAGTTCTATAGTGGGGATACTGCAGTAAAAATGATATATGTTTCAATTTATTTTATTTTTTGTTTTATTTTTATTTTTATAATATATTTTATTGGTTTTTTTTACAGAGAGGAAGAGAAAGATAGAGAGTTAGAAACATCGATTGGAGAGAATCATCGATCAACTGCCTCTTGCACATCCCCTACTGGGGACATGCCCGCAACCCAGGTACGTGCCCTTGACCGGAATCGAACCTGGGACCTTTCTGTCCGCAGGCTGACGCTCTATCCACTGAACCAAACCGGTTTCAGCTATGTTTCAATTTGTAATACTCGTAGGTACTCCCCAAATTGCCCTTCCAAAAGTATCTTATTTCTAAAATTATTATGATGTTTTACATTTTTAATTTTTATTAAGATACCATTGACATATAACATTGTGCAAGTTTAAGAAATACATGTGCTTATTTGGTACATTAATATATTGCAATATGAGTACCACCATAGCATTAGCTAACAACTCTATTACTCCCCAGAATTATCCTTCCTTTTTCTTTTTTTGTGGTGGAAAGGTTACCAGCATCTGGGTCAGTTAGCTGGCACTTCCTGGTTCTTACTCCTTTTTTTCTTTTGTATTGAATTTATTGGGATGACATTGGTTAATAAGTTTATATAGTTTCAGGTATACATTCTATAATACATAGAATAATATAAATACCATTATATATCACCTATAAATATCATCTGTTTATTATACCAACAGGCATCTTTCGAGTCCCGAGTCTTTCTGTCCAGGCATCGTGTCTACAGGTACGTGGGTCCTATTTTATGTCTTTCAATAAAGCTTTTGTTTTCTTCATGTAGGTCTTGCTAATTTTTTTTTTTTTGGGGGGGTGTTAAATTTATTCCCATATTTCCATGGGAAAATGACCCCTTCTGATTAACTATGCCCAATATACAGAAAAGCCCTCATGCTTGTGTGTTTATTCTTACGGTTTTTTCTGTCTTAGATTTGCTCGATGGCATGCTTTCTTTAATTTCGCCTGGTGGTACCTGTCCTTCCACGCATGTTTTCTGACGCCTGATTTTGGTTTTAGGTAGTTTGCCCTCGGAGGACAGCAGGAAACGGTGTCTTCAATGGCTTCATTGGTGGCTTATGAGGACTCGGACTCCGAGGCCGAGAGCGAGCCTGCGGGAAGCGTGGATGCTGCTGGCCAGAGGAGGGACTCCGGTGATAGGGTCCAACCTCATGGCCAGGATTTCGCACCGGGAGTCCTGGCCGGGACAAGAGGCACGCTGCCCACAGAGCACGGTTCCTGTGAGGACCCAGCCGGCCAGCGTCTCCCACTGGCTCGGCTCTGGAGGAGCCCAGGATCTTGCCCCAGCCAGAGGCTACAGTGGCCCAGGACAGAGCCCCAAGTCACCTTCCCCACCAGCGAGCCTCCTCGTCCTTCCCTGTGTGCCAGCCACGCTCCCGCTGGCCATGTACCCTGGGCAGCCGCCCATGGTAAGCAGATGAAACTCTCTTGGGGAACTTACGACCCTCCCGAGCCACCTTTGCATGCCCGACCCAAATCGGAGCCCCCAGGAAAAAGTGGCAGCTCTCTTCATAAGAAGAGGCCAGAGGACTGCATTGTACCCTACACCCCGAAAAGACTGAGGCACTTGCAAGCATTAAGCACAGAAACAGGCAAGAACAAAGATGCGGAGGCCCAGGGTCCTCTGCGCGCCCCCCGCCCTCTGTGCACGGCCCCCCACGTGTCCGAGTTCATCCAGCCGTACCTGGGCACCCCATATAAGGAGACCCTGATTTCCCAGAGGGTGCTCTTCTACCTGCGAGGCCACAAGGGCCCCGTCAGCAGCATCCAGTGGTGCCCTGTCTTCTCAAAGAGCCACCTGTTCCTCTCGGCTTCTCTGGATAAAACCTTCAAGGTAAGATGTGAGCGGAACTGCTCTTTTACTCTCAGGACTGAGCTGCCGGGATGTGTTATCCTTCAAAGCAGTGACATGGGGGGCTTACAGGCGAGTCATTTATTTTGGGGACTTCTGTAATTCTCTTTGGTGCATTCAGGAGCGGGTTCTCGCGGGTCCATTGAGCCCAGTGCTTCCCTGGCTCTCCGCCGCATGCTGGTCCTCCTCCCCGACGGGGCTGAGGACATCCAGACACACTGGCCTCCAGGGAGGATGTGGTTGCCGGGTGAGAGCAATCAGAGGGAGAGGGAAGCAGCCAGGGCCGAGCCCCGTGCACTCGGGACAGCTTCTGTGACTCCCGTGGAGTGCTGAGCGATGCCAGCTCTGTGCCAGGTGCTGTGCCAGACACGGGGGGGTGCAGAGGTAGGCAGACCTGGTCCTTGGCACCCTGTGGTAGCGGCTGCAGGTGCGTGGCGGGGCACCCAGAATCCTGGGCCCAGGGCTGTGAGGACCAGACCCCAGCCGGCCCTTCAGCGGGACACATGAATGCTACAGGAACCCATGGGGAGGGGTGGCTTCCGGCCTGGGAGGGCCTGTAAAGGCTTCAGAAGCAGGAGTGGTGCCCTTGGTGAAGGGGGGTGGGTGGGAGGGCATTCTTGGCTCTCAGCATGGAGGCCATAAGGGGCCCGAGGCTGGGGGAGTAAGGAGGAGCCACACCAAGGAGGACTGCGGTGGCCTGTTGGACACTTCCGGTTTTGTGTTGTTATTTATTGATTTTAATGTTGATGTGTCCTGAAGCAATGCAGACTGGCAGTAAGCAACCCCCACGGCACAGGCGGATAGTGTGACAGGTGTGTCCCACCTGCCTGGCACCTGTCTCGGCCCCTCCCAGCTGCACTCGGTGTCCCTCCTCACTCTCCTTGGCACCACCCAGCAGAGCACGTGTGTAGGAGGGGCCAAACAGATTTGAACTGAAGCTTCCTGGAGAGAGAATGGCTTTGGCGTTGGGTGACATGGCTTCCCATCCAGTTTTGCTGGGGAGCAGCGGGTCCGCTGGCCTCGCCTGTGCCCTCCATCCAGCGTCGCATCTGGAAAGAGCATCATCATACCCGTGTGTGTGATCACGGGAGAAAAACGCTCCCAAAGCCCCTGGCACAGGGCTAGGTGCCCCATGGGTGCTCCACACGTGTCTCTCTTCCCCACTGTTTTCCTCAGAGTGCTGGAACCAGCCTGTTCAGGACGCTGTCTCTGCGAGTTCATTTTTGAGCTTTTTCCCTAGGGAGGCACTTTCTGGGGTGAGGAAAGGAAGCCCGCCCACCGCGGGCTCTCTGATGGGAGCCGAGTCACTGGGGTCGTTTTTAAGGGGCCAGTTTGAGTTCTGACCCGACTTGTCTGTGTGCTTTTCAGGCAAGGCTGGTGGAGGTATGCGGGGCCATTGTCACGTCCGGGCTTCAGTTTGGAGCCCAGGGGTTTCCATGCAGGTCTGTGGCGCTCTTCCTGCGAGGAGGAGGCCCTGAAGTCTGCTCAGAGGCTTCCGGCCTCCTGGCCTCCTGCTGTGCGTTGTCACATGCTTGGCTCAGTCCCACAGTCCCGGGGCTTCTCAGCTCTCCTTCCTGAGAGTCTGTGCCCGCGGAGGGGTCTGCGTGGGGTCTGTGCATGGCCAGGCAGTGACCGGCAGGCCCCAGAGGTGGTCTGGAGTTACGGTGATCTGGGCTCGGGGTTCATTGCCATCCTCAAGAGCTTTGTGACCTTGAGCAAGGCACTTAACCTCTCTGAGCCTGTTTCTTTTTTAAAAAAAAATATATTTTATTTATTTTCCACAGAGAGGAAGGAAGAGGGATAGAGAGCTAGAAATGTCAATGAGAGAAACATCGATTAGCTGCCTCCTGCACACCCCTTGCCGGGGATGTGCCCTCAACCAATGTACATGCCCTTGACCAGAATCGAACCTGGAACCTTTCAGTCCGCAGACCAACACTCTATCCACTGAGCCAAACCGGTTTCGGCTCTGAGCCTGCTTCCACCTCAGTAGAACAAGCTTATGAATTGTGTGGCTGGGCTTCTCAGGTGGGACAGATGCCCATGTGCCATGTGTCTAAAGCACCCAGTCTGACGCTGGGCACATGGGGAGTCTTGTGGAGGGTAGTGTGGTCACAGCTGGCCACCCGAGGGATGCGGGCAGCCCCTTCCTAGTATGTGGAGGGAGGGGCGGTTTGGCAGATGTTGACAGCAATCTGGAGGAGGAAGCGAGCTTGCTGGAGGTCTTGAGGGACTGCAATGATTAACAGAGATGGATGGCGGGATGCAGAGGTGGCAGGTGTGTTATTACTGCTCACCTGTCCACGGGCTGTTTCTCCTGACGATGGGGAGCAGGCCAGGAGCCCAGTGGGGATTGGTCTGAACCTCAAAGCAGTGAGATCTCGGTGGGCCCTGTGTGGATCACTTGGGCCTAAAGTTTAGATTCCCTGGACAGAGGCCTCCATGATACTCTTTCAGACAGACAGCATCTGAGTGAAGCCACTGACGTGGGGCGTTGTGTTTGTGGAGCAGAGGAGTGGGCACTGGGGCTGTAAGAAAGGGCACCATGGAGGGGACCATTGAGCAGCCAACTAGCTGTGACACCGCTTGACCACCAGAGGGTGCACTTGGTCCAGCTTGGGAAGGCTGAGCCGGGGGTCCTGGGCCTTTTGCAGTGGGTCTGGGCTGGCCACAGTGGCTGTGCTGCCCTGTCCCGAGGAGGTGGCATGTGCTGGTGGGCCTGGCACTGCAGTGTTCGTCCCCTGAGAAGACTGTAGGGGTGGCATCGGAGGTGGCCCCAGGTGCAGAGCCGGGCTAAGTGACTCCTGATCCTCTTCTGACTGTGCTGTCCTGAAAATGAGGGCTTTTATAAGCCCCCGGTACAAACTGTTAGCCAGGGTTCTCTCTGCTTTAAGATGCTCGAGTTTTCAAGGCAGATGGGACTAGATGGGGACTAGGCGAGGGAGGTCCTGGCCGAGCCCTCGTATGTGCTGTGCCCTCAGGTTCCTGGGCAGGATGATGTCAGAGGGTGGGCAGTGTGGTAGATTTGGGGAACCTTGGGATCTGGTATACAATGGAGGGGGCATAGGAGGTATTTTGTGGGCACTGGATGTGGAGTGGAGACAGGGCTGTGGGTGCAGGTAGGAGTCCTGGCTTGCTGCAGTCCAGTTCTGGGTGGAGAGCAGATGGTGGGTGCAGCAGGCAACGCCCGCCCCCCTCCCCCCCAACTCTGCTCCCTTCCCTAGGGTGCCTTGCCCCTTGCCTTTGGTTAAAGTCTGCCAGGGTGCCTTCTTGCCCCCCTTCCCCGCCCTCCTGCCCCTGGGTCAGGAAGGAGGGAAGAGTATGGAGGCTGGGGTCACAATACTTCACTTTGGATGCTCCCTGTGCCACTGGCTGTGTGATCTCTGGCAAGTTACTTAACTTCTCTGAGCTTCCACCGTGTATGTAAAGTGGAGCTAATTACGCATGCCTTTCTGGGTTTTCATAAAAAAAAAACAAACCATAAATGACATTGGATGTGAGTTGCCTAGCCTGACACATAGTAGGCACTTCCTTTGTGCTCTTGTTCTTGCTCCAGGAATTTCCTCTTTTCCTTAGCATCGGTGGTCTCATTCTGCCTGCGTAGCCATGAAACCATATCTGCTGCACCTTGTAGATTTTAAGCTACTTTAGCATGGGATCTGTGCCAGACTCATTTTTATATTCTCTGTAGCACCTGGCACAAAGTTTTGTACATGTTAAGTGGATTAGTAAAGATTAAAAAAATAGTTTTGGGTTTTATTTCCAGCTTTTGGGAAAGGACTGTGCTTTAAGTGCACAAACCCCACTTTCCACCAGGGGGCACAGTGGGACTTAATATAAGCAGCTCTGAAGCTTCTAGAATCTGGAAGAATCCTTGATTCAAGGTAACAGCTACTGCAATACGATTTTTTTTTTCTTTTTTTCTGATCAGGAGAAAAACAACACAATCCATCTGATTAATCTAAAGAACGTGAAGTGCCAGTTCCTTCATCTCCTTAAAATGTAGCTTTGGAATTCATAAATTTCAATTGGGCACATTACAGTGGAAAGATACTTATTTTAATATGTTCTAAATGTTCTGTGAGCTGTAAAATATGCTCCTATTAGTTTTGAAAAATTTACAGCTGGAGATAGTAAGCAAAATAAAACAATGATTCATAACTCCCCACTGCTGCTCTGTTTTCATGTCAGCGACCCCTTCCTGCCCGCGTCTGCCGCCAGCATCTGTTCCCCGGAGCTGTGATCCCGGCACCGAGACCCTTTTATGTACTCCTCTCATTTCCCCGTGTCCCCGTTTGGCTCAACACGCCTGAATTCCCTCTGCACAGAAAGGTGGCATTCAGACTCCGAGGCCCTTTTTGAAGGAAGCAGCAGTGACGTGACCTCCCTGAACCAACCTTATTGTGGGCCCGTGTACGGAGCCCCCCGCCAGGTGCCCGAGCGTTCCCAAAGGCACAGCCTGCTGCTCGCCTCTGTGTGAAAACCCCGAGGGCCGAAGCACAAAGGACTCGGAGTAAAATGAATGAATGAGGTGTTGTTTATCTTTTTACACAGTGATTTCTTCAGGAAATTCTCCCAATAAACTTCCTTAAAGTGCTTACATGTAAACTTTCCCTTTTTTTCTTTTTCTTCTTTTTTTTGTTGGTAATTGATTTTGAGAAAGAGAGGAAGGAAGAGGGGGAGAGCGAGAGAAACACCCCCCTCCTGGGGGTTGAGTCTGCAGCCCTAGGATGTGCCCTGACTGGGAATCAGATCCACAGCCTTTCGGTGCACAAGATGATGTCCAGCCCGCTGAGCCACACCAGCCAGGGCTGAACTTCTCCTTTTTGATCGATAACGTGGTAGATGTTTACCGTGAGAAACGGGAAATACAGAAACTAGGAAGCACAAAGGATAAAACAGATGTCATTGCCAGTCCTAACCCTGAGCAGGCACCTCATTAGCGTCGGGGCCCACCCTGGTCTGGAGGCCGCCGTGCCTGT